GGATAAGCTTTAGGGGCAGCTTGTTAGGGCTGGAAAATGGATTTGCTGTGAAGAAAAGGGTTCTAGATATCATTGTAGAATAATATTCAAACTCCGTAGTCGACACGTTCAACGTTGGAAGCGTTCAACTCGTCAACCATGCCAGTCATATTGCTAAGCATCTCAAACCAGCGAGAACTTCAGAACTTCAAAACTTCAACGCAAACCAAACCAATCCTGTCATTATTAATATACCCTACCCCGACGCTGGAGCGCCGCCATTCTCTCCCCCGCTACCACCTCTTAGATTGGCCATGAACTCCTGGTATCTAAACACCTCCCCCCTCCCAAGCCCCTTTCCACCCTTGCCAAAAGCTCTCCGCCCGTTGAAGCCGTCAACAACAATGTCGATTTCGCGCTCAGTCAGTTTGCGCTCGCCGTTCTCTGGGAGAGTGTGTAGCAAGGCGTCCTTCAGCTCGGATAGGTCGATCTGGCCGTCGTCTCCGTCGTCAAAGGCCTCGAATGCGGCGCTCAGCTCGTTTGTACGCGACAAGCCACTCATCAGCTCGGAGATGGTGCTGAGGTAGGTTGCGAGGTTGATGGACTGAGCGCCGTTGAAGTAGGTGGCCAGGGTGGACGGTGTGGCTGAGAGACCGAGTTGCGAGAGCATGTCGGCTACGTCGGCGGCGTTCACGTGGCCGTCGTCGTCGCGGTCCAGGACGCTGAACGACTCGCGCATGCTGTGGAGGAGAGGCGGTGGCAGTCTGGACACGGCGTCGGTCGATATGCCGCGCGACAGTGGGGCTGGTCGTGTGGCTAGACGCGTAGGTGGTACGTCGACTGGAAATGCTGGGCTCTTTCTGCCGCCATTGAATAGTGCCGATGGGCTTTTTCTACCGCCATTGAACAGCGCTGATGGACTCTCTCTATCGGCACTGAGTAGCGCTGCGGGCTGATCGACAGGCCTCTCGACGGGTGGAATTGGGCTTCTTCTGCCGGCGGTGAAGAGTGCTGCCGGGCGGTCTATGTGCTTCTCTACTTGGAATGGCACACTTTCGTGGCCGCCATCGAAGCGCGCAGCAATGGCCGCTGTGTTCGAGGTGCGTACCGGCTGGTATGTGGAAGCAAACGATGGCTGTGTGGGAGAGGGAACGTCTCGAATGGGCGACCTGGGCGGCTCAGGCGCATTTGCTGTGCCTCGTGTGTTCAGCCATGAGGGTGGGTTCTGCGGGGCCAGGCCGATCGAGGACGGACGGAGCAGTCCTGGGGAAACAGGCTCTGGCGTGTCCTTGGGCTTGAGCGGCGACGTGCTTGGCGTGATGGGCTTCAGCGTGTTGGGCGAGTGTGCGCGGATGGAGCCCGGCCGGCGGAAGGGCGACTGGCGCGGGTTGTTGAAGGAGAGCGGCGAGGGCTTGTAGGGCGTGGGCGTCGACGACTGCATGGTGTTGGTACGAGACGTGCTGGAGGGGGCTTGATACTTACCATGGCGGCGTCGTGTGCTGTGCTGTGCTCAGTCACTTCGCAGCCCGGTCGGTGTTTGGTGTTGACGTTCGCGCCTTCCCCCCCGGCAACCGCCAGCAAACGAGGCAAACCACCCCTGCGCAGCCGATCAGGGTCCAGGGTCCACCGCAGTGCATCGCCCTGCAAGTGCCGAGCAATAAGCAACACCGCAACGCACATACCTCTCTGATCTCCCACTCTTCCACCCTTCCCCTCTTTCCCCTTCACTCTCTCCCTCAGGCCAGCACCTACACCAATTCCTCAGCCGACCCCGCAAGCCAATCGTCTCGGACCGGCGCTCCCCTAGCGTGCGACACTGGACCGGGAGACCCCACAGGATGTATCGTGGAGAAGATGGAAACCCTCATGGCTGAAGTCGGCGCCCGGAAGCCCAATGGACCCCTGTCCACGCAGGTGACTGGCCTGCAGCGCCAGCCCTCGTTTTCCTCTTTCCCGCCCTCGCGCTCGCCCTCGGTGTCTGTCCGCCCTGATGCGAGGAAGGCGCGCTCTCCACATCCGCCCGTCGTGCGCGAAGACGACTTCTCGGTGCGCTCGTCCCACAGCTCCTCGCAGTCGCTTGCCCCGCCCCGTGCCAAAGCCGGCCTGAGGCTGCGCTCCCAGTACCCGGACGACGGCATCGAGAACCATGTCGAGTACATCCTGGTCGCTTCGTTCGACATTGATCGCGGGTCGATCATGGAACATCAGTATCCTGCAGCTATTAGTGGCGACGAGACTACCCTGGCCGAGCTCATGCTGCCGGACCAGGCCCACTCGCGCGACTCGGACTGGACCATCTTCTTCTTGCACAAGGATACGACTGCCGACGAGGAAGAGAGGGAGGCCAGACGAGAGCGCAGACGGAAGCGCAAGCGGGGGAAAGACGGGGCCGACGACAATGACGACGCCAAATCTGGTGCCCAAGAGCACGGCGATGACGAGGGCAGCGTTGACGAGGGCGACGATACAGAGTCGAGCGAGGAAGAGCAGGACCCAGACGGCCCGCCCTTGATCTACGTGCTGAATCTGGTCAACACTAAGAAAGACAACACCATGAAGAGGTATGCGACACACTTCCTCGACACCAACGCTGACACACACTGACATGAGGCAGAGGTGCAAACGTCAAGGCCATGGCCATATGCACACGACACTCGTTCCTGCACATATACAAGCCGCTGCTGCTGCTCGCCCTCGAGGAGTACTTCCGAGCCCCGGTTCCTGAAACGCTGGCCTTGCTCTACAACGCCCTCAACGCCATGGACCTCTCTCTGCTGCCGAAGCTGTCACAACTCGAAGGCTTCGTGCTGGGCGCCTGCGACGCAAAAGACATGTTCATCGAGAAGTTCGAGCAGATGCTCAGACAGCGGAGGGCCATCGACGCCGCGCGCAACTCCGCCAACTCAACAGACTCTCAGCCGAAACGCAAAGTATACGCCCTTCCGCGAGATACACACGAGTTCGAGTCCAAAGTCAACTACAACAACATTCCAATCCCCGTCAAGATCCCAACAGCACTGAGTCCCGAGACAGTCGGCGACTTCTGCCTTGGCGACCTCATCAAGACCTTCTCCACACCTCATGCGCAACAACCCCAGCCATTTGCTCTACATCCACATCTCACCACGAACGGCGCCTACACCCATCCCATCGTCGTCCTTGTCAACGCTCTCCTCACACAAAAGCGCATCATCTTCGTCGGCCACGGTTTGCTGGCAAGTCAAGTAGCGGAAGCCGTGCTCGCAGCATGCGCTTTGGCGTCTGGCGGCCTGCTACGAGGCTTCGTTCGACACGCCTTCCCCTATACCGATCTCACCAAAGTCGATGACCTGCTTAAAGTGCCAGGCTTCATTGCCGGCGTCACAAACCCCACATTCTCACACAAACCAGAATGGTGGGATCTCTTGTGTGACCTTCCGACTGGTCGCATGAAGATCAGTAACCGTATTGAGCCAGCCTCGCCCACAGAAGGCTCGCTCTTTTTCCAACAACAAGGCATTCCTATGAGTGGGCCTGGCAGCTTGCAAATGTCTTCCGATAGTAAAGGTGCGTTGGACTTAACTGGCGACAATGCCTTTATGGAAATCCTCATCCAAAGCATTGCCAATCGTCACGGCGAAAACGCCGTCCGCGCAAAATGGCGTTCCTGGGTGCTAAAATTCACTCGCCTCGCCGCTGCCTTTGAAGAGATGGTCTACGGCGCCTCGGCCCTTTACATTGGAGCCCACGAAACGGATGTCGGCGCATACGGCGTCTCAGGCCATGGATACGTCTGGCCGGACGAAATCTCCAAACTCCGGGAACTGGCTGCAAACGTGCATCGCATCGAGGGCTGGCGCAGCACACGTAGCTACTTCAGCTACATACAAGATCTGGCGGGGATCTGGAAACGAAGACCAGTTCGGGGCATTGACTTGTACCACCAGCACGACAAACTGCGCTGGCTCAAACTTACACACGATCAATCCGCCGCCATCTATCTCGCACTAGCCCGCTGTGTCGAAGAAGCTGGTGCGCAGTCGTTAAAAACATCGCCCTCGGATGCTGACCTCTCGGCGTCGACGTCGCATCCATTCACACTCGCGAACGACCCAGAGCGCAGGCCTGGCCCGCAACTCCAGTACGACACTATCCTGCAGCTTCTTTGTGTCATTCCAGAGAGCAATGCAGGGCTTTTTTATCTTAGTTTGGGGTTGTTTCATCCAAAGCCGGAGGTTAGGATAGCGACTGTCAAGCTACTAGAGAGGATTCAGGAACATCCCGCTGGACGGTATTTCTGGGGAAATCTGGGGAGGTTTGCGAAGCTCGCGTTTTTTAGGGTCAAGAGGGAGGAGGGGCAGGTGAGATAAGGGTGGGTTGTTCTTGTCACGGTTGGGATGAAGATGGTCAGAGCAGACTTGTAAGAGACTCGCCACGCATATCCAATTCTCACACCTTTCTCCACGTCACGTATCTTCTCAAGATATATGCATGCTATATCTTCCTCGCAGGCTGTACAACACCGACACACTCTCCAAACCCCACACCCTCCCCAACAACACCCGTAAACACAAACTCATCCCCATCCTCCAAGAACCGCAACTCCCCGCCGTCACTCAACTTACTAGTCTTCTTTCCGCCCATGGTCAGCTCAAGCAAACACCCATGCTCATGGTCCCCATCACCACTCACAGTCCCACTCGCCACCAGATCCCCCGTCCGCAGTCCACATCCACCAACCGTATGATGCGCAAGCATATGCCGAAACGTCCAATACATCGTATCGAACCCGACCTCGCACGTCGTCGTGCGCGCCCCATTCCGCACAACCGTGCCCGAGAGCCTAATCGCATAATTCACCGGCCTCGGATCCGCCAAAAACTCCGCCTCGGGATTCATCCTCTCCGGCGCAGGGACCTCATACGGCGCCAGCGCCTCCAGCGGCACAACCCACGCCGACATCGACGTGCCGAAGTTCTTCCCATTAAACGGCCCCAGCGGATTCATCTCCAGGCCCTGAATATCGCGCGCGCTCCAGTCATTCACCAGGACGAGTCCGAAGATATGCGCATCCGCGTCCTTGGCAGCGAGATGCGTACCGGCTTCCACGGGCCGCCCAATGATGGCGCCGACTTCCATCTCGTAGTCCAGTGCGCGCGACGCGCCGAACACGATCTTCTTGTCCGCTGCGGCCGCAGCGGGGTTCTCAATGTACTGGCCCAGCGGCCGTGTTATAGGCGCGGGGGATACGCGGATCGAGGAGCAGCGCCCTGCGTAGCCGACGGGGAACTTGTGGAAGCCTGGTGGTAGTGTGCGCGTCCCTTGGATGGCTTCGCCGGCGTTGAGCACGTGGTTGCGCGAGGCGGAGTAGTCTGTGAAGTCGCCGATGTGCATGGGGAGGTGCATGGTTACATCGCTGATGCTTTCGGCGTGGGCGCTGTGCTGGGAGGTGGTGTGCGCGTGTTGGATGGCGGCGCGGACTTGGGTGTGGATTGCGCGGGGGAGCGCGGCGAAGGCGTTGAGGGTTGAGGAGCGGAATAGTGAGGGGAGGTCCGCGGGGATGGATGTGAATGGGGGGGTTTGGGAGAGTGAGGCGAGGAAGATTATTGAGTTTTCTATGCGCGTTACGCATTGGGGGGTGGGGTGTTTGGCGGAGCTGGCGATGCCGTAGGGGATGTTGTTGGGACCGAAGTGGGATGTGTATGGGTCTGCCATTGCTGCGGTTTGCGGGCTGGGTTGTTTTCTTGCTTGGAAATGGCGATCAGTGGTGAGAGAGTTTGTTTTTGGGGTTTTAGGAAAGGGTTCTGAGATTGTTGGTCGTGTACTTAGTGTGCTTGTATTGTTGTTTGGTCAAGCTACCTGTCTTGGACAACCTCCTCCACATCGGTACCCGACAAATCTATTCTGCGGGGTAGAAAATGTCTTGCCGGGATGTTGATGGCATATTGCGGGCTCCCCTTTACCTCTACTGAACGTGTATGACGGTGCTGCTCCGACACTTGTCCGTCATGGGAGTTGCATGTACCCTCGAAGAACGTCAGACAAGAGGTCATACTAGTCCATGGCCTGTTCCTCGACCTATGGCCTGTTCCTCGACCTGACAAAACCACGCCCATGAATTCATGCCCACATGCAAGCCCCGCATTGTAAAAACCGTAAACTCCGTTATACGAAGTACCCCACAATTGCAACTCGTCGTGTCGGACGGGAGATCGAGAACCAACCCTCCACATCGCGAAACCATCTATTTTCCCATTGCCATCCACCCACCACACGAAACTTCTACAAACCAACCACCTACAAACCCTTCAATCTTACACTTCATCAAACATCCCTCAAAGCACCTTCTTCCCAACTACCTCTTCTCCAGCAAATCCTCCCCCTATTTCCAACCATGTCCCCACCCACCACCGACGCAGTCCCAGAGAACACGCTCCCCCAAGTACACCGCTACATAACCACCCACGACACCACCACAAAAAAAGCAATCTTCTCCTCCGCCGTCCCCTCCACCCAAAAATTCGACATCCTCCCCACCGGCGACGCCGCCTTCGGCCTAGGCTACATCACGAAAGGCTTCCCGGTGGATCTAAACAACGACGCCGACCTCTCAACCTACACGCCCTACCTGACCAGCTCCCCGGGGCTCGTTGTATCAGGGGGCACGGTGCTGCGCTACGTGGACATGAAGCCCGGGCACACGTCGCCTATGCATCGTACTGTTTCGTTGGACTATGGTGTTGTGCTGGAGGGCGAGGTGGAGCTTATTCTCGATTCTGGGGAGACGAGGAGGATGAAGAGAGGGGATGTGGCCGTGCAGAGGGGCAGTATGCATGCCTGGCGGAATCTTAGTCAGACGACGTGGGCGCGGATGTTGTATGTGCTGCAGGAGTGTCGGCCGGTGGTTGTGGGGGGGGAGGGGCTGGGGGAGGATTATGGGAGGATGGAGGGTGTGCCTGCTTCTTCTTAGGTGGTGGGGTTGGGGAATTGAATGGTTGTCTCTGTGATATTTGGCTTTGTGAGATTATGTGGTGATTTGGTAATGTGTCGGAACTGTGAGATGTCGTAGTATACTTTTCTGAAGACATTGTCATTGCGTCCTACAAGACTCGTGTCAACTTGCGTATCCGCCTAACTGATGCTGTACAGTCTGGTTCTGGTTGCCCACATGCGTCGTATAGCCATCCTCGAAACTACGAAACATGCCCACCCCCACATCCCGAAGGACCCCTCAGCGCCCCACGTTTCGGCCGTCAATCATGGCAGCGGTACCGACATCCACAACACGCCATAGCCGTTATTATATAGTAAAAAAGTTGCTGAAAGTTGCGCAGACATACATACCTTTCACCTCATTGACATACTCGCAATGGCCGACACGCTCGAAGTCAAAGACGCGCACACCGTCGACGAAACATCCTTCCCATACATCTACGAGCAACATGTCCCTGTCCCGCTGAAGACAAGCTCAACCGGCATCATTCGATGCAACGTGTACCGCCCGAAGTCGACCAAGGAGGGTGCGAAGTGCCCTGTGCTGGTCACGTATGGGCCGTACGGGAAGGATATTCCTTACAAAGAGTATGTTTTGTTCCATCTGCATGTATGTCAGACCAACAGCTAATATGCCTGTTCCAGCTTCCACGGTAAATCCTTCTCAGAAGTCAATCCGGAGCATCACTCGGAGCACTCGGCATGGGAGACGCCAGACCCCGGGTTCTGGACCGCGCAGGACTACATCATTGTGCGTGCTGATGAGCGCGGCTTGGGCATGTCCCCGGGGTTTCTGGATACGATGTCGAGGGGGACGAGTGAGTGTTTCTTCGATGTTGTCGAGTGGTGTGCTGAGCAGGAGTGGTCTTCTGGTAAGGTTGGCTTGCTGGGTATTAGTTACTATGCTGGTTCGCAGTGGCGCGTTGCTGCTAGGAAGCCGAAGGGCTTGGCTGCGATTATTCCCTGGGAGGGAATGAGCGATTACTATCGTGATCGCTGTAGGCATGGAGGGATTTTGAGCAATAAGTTCATTGACTTTTGGTGGTGAGTACTCCTTCATCGACTTGCAGATTGGGATTGTGGTTGCTGACGTGAATTTTCACCCAGGAATCGTCAAGTCATTACAAACCAGTACGGTCGTCCCGGACGAGCGGCGAGAAACTGGGGCCCGGATGGCGTCGATGGCGACTTGTCCGAAGAAGCACGAGCGAAGAATAGGCAAGATCAGAACATCGACAACGCCAACAACCGGTTCCGAGACGAGGACTATTACGCCAGCAAAGAGTACGATATGGCGGATATCGAAGTGCCGCTCCTGTCGGTCGGCAACTGGGGTGGCATCCTGCTCCATTTGCGTGGAAACATCGAGGGATACACGCATGCGGGATCCGAGTTCAAGTACTTGAGGATGATTGTGGGACGCCACGACTTGCCCTTCTACTACAAGGAAGAAGTCGAAGTGCAACGCAGTTTCCTCGATGCGTTCCTCAAAGGTGACGACAGAGTAGGCTGGTCCGTGAAAGGCAAAGTCCCAGCCGTAGACATGGTTTTGCGAAAAGGCGACGTGGGCTTCGACAACGCAGAGAAAGAAAAGATCTACGAGCGACGAACAGAAAACGAATGGCCCATTGCACGAACCCAGTACACAAAGTTCTTCCTCTCGCCCTCGCAGATACTCACCCAAGACCAACCCACGACCCCCCGTCCACAAAAGCTTTCCTACGAAGCGCTCGGCAACCTCGAAAACCCTAAATTCCTCCAATTCACAACCGCGCCCTTTGAGGAAGAGACGGAGATAACAGGCCACATCGTCGCGCACCTAAACGTCTCGCTCTCTCCCCACGCCACCAGCAAAACACCCACAGACATCGACCTCTTCCTCACGCTGCGCTACATTTCCCCCGCCGGCAAGGAGGTAAACTACACCGGCACAGCCGGCGACCCGATCCCCCTCGCAAAAGGCTGGCTGCGCGTCAGCCTCCGCAAGACGGACCCCTCGCACCCAAAGCACCGCGAATACCTCCCCTGGCGCAACTACTTCAGCACCGACGTCCAGCCCGTTGTCCCCGGCGACGTGTATGCTGTTGATGTGGAGGTGTGGCCTACTAATGTTGTGGTGGAGAAGGGCGGGAAGATTGTGTTTGAGGTTGCTAGTGGGGATACGCAGGGGAGTGGCATCTTTCAACATGGGCATCCTGAGGATCGGAGTGAGGCGAAACTTGCGGGGATGAATCATTTGCATTTTGGAGAGAGGTGTGTGAATTATGTTACGTTGCCGGTTATTCCGCCGAAATGAGGGGGTTGTTTGGGGTGGGTGTAGAAAACTAGAAGTGTGGATAGCATGTTTTGTTGGTATGGAAGAATGTACTGGAATTCTTGTATCTTGTTTTCCAGAGTTGGTCTGTTTTCTGTTGGTGAGCTCAACAAATCAACGTCTTCGCCAGTCCGTATGTCAGTACAAGGATTGGACTCTTCTGTAATTGTAGACACTCTGCATGATAGAACATGATTCCCACTCTTCAATGTAGTCGGAAACTCATCCTGTATAGCCATGTCTGCCAGGTAGTTGTGAGGCCCATATTATCTTTAAGAATTTCTACCAAGAATTTACTACATAAACAATTTCTCGTGTACAACTTAACGAGAATTGTTGGCGCGCAGAAAACCTCACTCTGAAGCCTTGCTACCCGTCAGCTTTTAGGATTGAACCTTCTTCGTCCTGGGATACAAATTGAAAGAAGAGAAGTTTCTAGCAATTCCAGTGAAAGAGTCTGGGGTAAAGCTCCCAGAAGGTTACACATGCTGTTCAAACGGCCTCTGAACTTTAGTGATAAATATCGCTGCATGCACAGTACACGCCTAAAATGTATACTCTCTCTTGCGATGTGTAGCCAACAATCTATTACCTTACGCTTGTCACAATCAGTAAGAAGATCCATAAAATTGCACATCGGACTCCTTAAAAGATTATGATATATTTAAAAAACTCCATCCATCTGTTGTAAGATCCAAACGTTACTATCACAAACAAAGGTAACCCCAGACGCCCTACGCCATTCATTTCTGACTTCTCAAGCCCACTTGCCAAACGAGAATTGACTGTTACACATCTGGCACAACTCCCAGTCTTCAGCGCCCAGCTCACACTTGTCGCTGCTCTTCTCGGACGCATCGATGGCCCCAGCAATAAAACACGCCGCCATGTAATGGTCATCAGTGGCATGAGCGTCTCTAAACATAGGATGCTTCATCAACCTTGTGATACCTCTTGTCACAGCTCCCTTCCTCCCGCTCCCACTGCTCCGCACAAACACATCCTCGACGCTCTGTCGGAACTCCAGCATCGGCGCGTCAGGTGGGTAGGGCTGAGCAAAGTTGTCCGAGTACCGCAGCATTTGCATCCAGTTGTTGCGGTACAGGTTATGCACCGCGCCGCCCGTGCCGATAATGAGATACCCATCCTCTCTGAACGGCGCAACAAGACTACCCACACGCGCATGCAGATGCGGATCGAACCTAGAATTCATACTAACGATTGTCGTCGGCGGACATCCCCCCGGAAACATGCGTATGAGGATAAGAAACGTATCATGGATCCAGTCGAACGAGTCGTTTGGACGAGCATCCAGACCGCCCTCGCGCAGCGCCGCGATGACCTTCTTGCCTGTTGCGAGGTCCGGGTTGAGCTCGTAGTTGACGTATTTACTTGGGTGCACGTAGGCGACTGGGGATTTTGCCGGCTTCGGGTTCATGGCGACATCGATGCGGTTTGTGCCTCGCGCGTCCCAGTGAGCGCCCATCATTATCACGCCTTTGACGTTGTTGCGGAGCGCGGCGTCGCCACATGCTTTCCAGTAGTCGGCTGAGCGGGAGGCTTCGCCCAGCATCATTGTCGAGCCATGGGAGAAAAAGTGGAGGGGTGCGGAAACCATGGTGGTGGTGATGTGTGAGATGAATGTAGAGCTGTGTGCTGAGTTAGTGGTGTTTGGATGGCTGGAGGTTTCTTGTCAATGGGCTTACTGAATAAAACCGGGTTCTTTCCGGGGGCTGCTCTAAGCACCTGCTAATGATTTTGTGAATGTGTTTCTCCCGTTGATGAAGCAGTTAGAAAACGCGCGTCGAACCAGGCTCAAACTTCTGTTACTTGTGACTGAATCTCCACCTCTTGTGCAACATGGATTGTGCTAAAATCACATACCTCGATTATAAGACTCGTGATGTGGAGACTCGTCGGGAGCCCGCCCAGTCGTCGGCCGAGGTCTTTGTTTGGCCACCCATCCCCACGCGTCGACCCACATGTAGGGGCTTGTAAACTTTCGTCCCCGCTGCATGTCAACCCCAGACCTTCCTCCACTTCGCTGCTCCGACGCCACTCACGCCCGACGCGTTCCATCGTTCCCGAGTACAACTGTCACACGAGAAATGGCCATGCCATCGCAGGACCAGTTAGCGGCGCCCACTACTGATCCAGACCAAGCAGCACGCCTCTTTCAGTGCAGCACGTGTAAGCGCTCTTTTACCAGAGCAGACCACCTCACACGGCATGTGAGAGCGCGTACGTCTCCCGATGCGATTGGCGTGGCTGAGATGCTTTGGAGGAATGCAAGCTGTCCGATCGACGGCGAATTGGACTACTTCTAAACAAGAACGCGCAATCTTGTTCTGAGTTCGTACGACTGACGCGTAACGAGCAGACACTAAAGCGAAACCCTATGTATGCCCTGTTTGCTCAAAAGGCTTTGCTAGAATGTAGGTGTATTCCCTGCTGGTAGAGGCAAGTCGTTCCTTCCTGTTGCTAACTTTTTGCAGCGACTTGCTCAAGAGACATGTCAGTAATCATGATTCAAGTTCTACCAACAAACGACAACGGCGAGAAATTGCTCGCGACACTAGAGTAGTGCAAGCTTGCGAGGCTTGTTCTCAAAGTCATCTGCGATGCGAAGACGATAAACCGTGTAGCCGATGCAAGAAGAAGAACATTCCTTGCCAGGTGCCTGAGGTTTCTACCATGGATGACAATGAGAGCAATGAACTCGATGCTGTCCACGCCGCACAAGATCTGCTTGGCCTTTCGACAGGCTTTGAATATCCATCCACTATGCCTAATATGGACGAGAACGTGACTCAGCCTTCGACACTGAGGCTGAGTACACAGAACACCCCTTTAACACTGGTGATGGGCGTTCACCATCCTCAAGACCATATCACTTTCCCATCAACCACGTCCACGGTTCATGGAAACCGGGAACCCTCCCGAACGCTGGAGCAAGGTGATCGTGAGCGGTCATCGATCATGTCTAACAACGCTGTACCTAGGGACAGCATTGTATTAAACCAACCGTATACAGGTGATGCAGCGGACCACCAATCTTTCTTCGATGGACCCGATTCAAGCTTCGGTAATACGCCGTCCATTGATCCGTTCCTACCCGAGCACTTTCGCAATATGCCTCCCTTTGAGGCCTACTTTTCTGGTCAGGCTACACCTCGTGGTATCATGGACCTCAGCTTTGACTTGGATATCGGTCTTACCGACATTGACCTCGGCTTGTTAGACCAGTACAACTTTCAGATACCATTCACAGCGGGAACACCGTCAACCGATGCACAAGGGCTCGAGCAACAGCTCTCCGAGAACGACAATGCCCCAGTCAGGAGCGAGGCTTTCAAGCAAAGTATTTGGCGCTATCTACCACAGCGAAACCAAAACTATGTAGCACAAGAACAGCACAATTTGGCTTTTGCGGACGCGCATAAAGACAACGGCCGCCGCGCGCATATCACTCAACGCCGAGTAGTTGCGGAAAAGCTGAATCGTTCTAGCCGTGACAGATTGCTGGCCCTTGTACTAGGAGCATGTGGCCCGGCAAACGTCCAGCGCATAGCCTCTGCCTTCCCGAGCGTTGAATTGCTTGACAGCCTTATCCAATACTTCCTTACCTCGCCATCTATCGATGCGCAATCATGGTTCCATTTGCCAACGTTTTCTCCCTCCAAGCTGAGCCCACATCTACTTGCGTGTACAATAGCTACCGCTGCCGCTACAACCCCAGATGTGCCTTTGCGGAAACTTGGTTTCGCGATGCACGAAGCAGCTAGGATCGCCCTTTCCTCCGCGTTTGAGTACGATAATACCGCAATTAGGGATTTTGACCATGTGCGAATTTTTCTTGTTGAGCTCGAACTCGGAATGTGGAGCGGTATCAGTCGCAAGATGGAAATCGCAGAGAGTTTCTTCCAGGCGTTGTTGACTATGCTTCGACGTGGTGGTCGTTTTCGGCGATCGACATGGAAAGAACTGCTGCCTGTGGTGGAGGATCAGGGAGCAGAACTTGAGACAAAGTGGCAAGAATGGGTAGGCCAGGAATGTTTCCTGCGCATGGTCTACCGTACTTTTGAGCTTGACAGGCAGTCCTCGATGGCTCTGCTGAAGCCGCCCCTGATCTCTTACGCGGAAATGCAGCTGCCCTTGCCTAGCTCAAACCTTCTTTGGCACGCCAAATCGGCCGTCGCATGGAAATCTGTCCATCTGGGTATGGTACACAACATAATGAAACGACCGTCGGCAATAGACTGCCTTTCGGACCTTGATCACCTGGCTCGGCATGAGAGTGCAAGTACAACATACCTCTACATGATGTGGGGTATGATCTGGGAGTATCGCCAAATGAGTGCACTATCGGCCAAATCGTCTTCCCAGACAAACAACAACCTCATTTTGTCGTCGCGCTATCAAGAGCTGGTCAAGAAGCTCGAAGACTTTCGGGTCAGTAGCCTTCACTTGAGCAAAAGTGCGGAGATGACGATGGAGCTTATGCTTGTGCATTTGAATGCACCTCTAGATGACATCCAGCTTTTCGCGGGTATTGAGGGACAGGAGGAAGCTCGATGCGCATACCCAATACTACGGGACTGGATCAAAACTGATTCGGCCCGTCAAGCATTGTGGCATGCTGGTCAGATCCTCCGCGCTGCCGAGAGTCTGCCCAAGGCTTTGCTCTGCAACTTCAACGCCGTCGCTGTTTACCATGCTGGACTCATCCTATGGGGCTACGGGTTTCTTAAACGACTGACCTCCAATGAACTCACTCCAAACTCAACTCCACAAGCAGTCGTCATCCTCAACGGGACCGATTCCCTGAGTGCTCGACGATTCATTACCATGGATCGAGGGTTACCTTCAATAAGAAGTCCGACTTCGCAGGCTACCACACAACTCAGTGATGTGTGCGGAGTCATGGATGGGTTGGTTCGTTTACTTCGTGCGCCTCACGATACCATAGAAGAGTGCCCGCCGCTTGTGGGGAATTTAGTGCAGCTGCTAGAGGGGTTGCGCATCGCTACCAAATGAAGGGTTTGCGACTCAGTCTTTATTCTGGATACGGCCTCCAGGAGTGGCTGTAGCTATGGTGGTGTGATGAGCCAGTTGGGGATGGGTAGTTGATTTTACGTCATCGGGGCTGTGCGCTCCTTCTGCCAACCGATCGACACTATCATCGTCCAGAGTCACAGCAATGATCAGTCCCGCCTGCTATTTATAATCTATTCCTCGAACGGATACCACCCGTACCTTTGCTAAGTTTTGATGCCAACCCAGCTCCAAATAAAATTCCATTGCCAAAACCTTTTCTACAACCATGGCGGAAGTAAATCCAGCAGACCTTAGGGATTTACCGTCTAGGTACCAGTCATCAAGAGGCTTAAACGACGTCCTGATCGGTGAGGACACCGCCCTCCCCCTTATCAACACAAGCTCCACAGGAGACATCACGACGCTTCGGGGTATGCTGGAACAGTCTCCCGAGATTGCACTGGAGTCGCCGCATCGCATTTATCACGAATATCGTCCAGCAAAGGATAAGAACGATGTGCGAGGCGTGTTAGCAATGAAAAGGTCAAACCTCCACCAGGCCATCTTACGAGCAGCCGAGAACGGCTATGCCACAGCAGTCTCGATTTTACTCGACTTCGCGTCGCGAAACGGCGTCAGGCTGTCGTCCGTGATTGACCGGGTAACCATCAAGAGAACTATCGAAACTGGCCACGCTGCCGTATTCGAGGTGTTAGCCATGGCAGACCCGACCGTCGCCACCCACAATGATTTTCAGGGCCGACTACCACTTGACTTAGCTATAGCGTCACACGAGATCGAGGTCGCCAGAGTAATCCTTCAGCACGGCGGAGGTCGCGAATTCGCGAAACCACTTCACGGTTCGACCTACCCAAACTCTCGGCTATGCAAGGCCACCAGATCTACCGAGAAAACCATGACAGAGCTACTAATACAACATGGTTATGCTGTCAGAGGGTCAGGAGCATTGCAAATGGCTGCGGATCGCGGCGCTCTCGATACCATACGCCTCCTCGTGGAGGAGCACGGAGCTGACGTGAACGAGCGACTTCCCGCAGAAACTCTCCCACGTGTCGACAACGCTTTATTCGCGAGCTGGACACCTATGCATTTTGCGGCAAGATGGGGTAAAGAGGAGGCAATGAAGCTGTTAGAAAGCTATGGGGCGAAAACTGATGTGTTGGACGTGAATGGAAAGACTCCTTCGCGACTACTAGAGGAGCGAAAAGAAAGAAGCAAAACGTAATAGCGCTCGTCTGCGTACGTAGCAGTTGCCGTTCCACGAAGCAGATGGGAGGTCATGATGGAACCGTACCATATACCAAGATAGCATATATTCGCCCTGAAGTACTCCAACTATCCCTCAGCTTTCTGCTATCGCAAGAAGGCGCCTTTAGTATCGCCTTGCGCACTTCTTTTTTTCGTTCACAGGTATGCCCGGTTATAATCTAATCGCGAGAGAGCGATCGGTCTCTGATTGTGACGGAAAAGAGTGTGCGAAGCAAATTAGTGCGAAAAACGCTGGTGAGTGAGGTTTTCACTAATACTCTTTCACCATAATTTAACCGCGATACTGATTACATCACAGATTCAAATACTTTCGTAACTCTGCCTCGCATCTGCTACTCTGAAGGATGTACATTTTTTGGGCATCGTCCTGGAGGCACGTGGCACGGTTCGGATGTAGCGACAGTATTGTGGTTTGTCGCACATCCGTGGGCAATACTCTGCATCCTTCTGCGCCTCGTTGGCTTAGCGGCTGTGGTAATAAAGAGATGTAGGGGATCTTGGCAGGAAAACACGACATACTCTAAGCTGGAATAAGAAGACACTGGAAACGGAATTTCCACAACACGCCATGTGTTATGGTTGTTGTTCTGGCATTATTCTGCAGGAACATTGCGAGACGTTGCGGACAAGAGGCCTTCGTGGCGCTAACGGATATCTGTTTACCGCAAGGATGCAGGTGCATAACGCGTATGCCTACGGTGACAATCCCGTGCTAGTGCTAGCAACGACCTTGCGACGCTGTTCTATCTTGCATTACTCAGAACCAGAACCTGACATGGCGAATCGGGTTGTCATCAAAAGTTGGGTGTGCAAAGTGAGGTATGGGTTCAGCGTCATTAACACTGTCCCCAGTGCTGTCTGCAAAAGCAGGTTATCTTCAGATCACTGGACTAATCCAAATGTCGCCTTCTATATATGTGCAATCGTTGTACGAGCGTGTCGTACGAAGGTTGGTCGCAGTCAAGGAAAGATAGGCTGCTCCGGGTTTCGATGCAATCCCTAGCTCATAATGGGCAGACTGGGACCAGGCCAGGCCTTGATGTCATGCATAATCTAGCCTTTTTCGCCAATTTATGCAGGTGCTCGCCTAGTTCACGCATCTTCACTGACACATCTGCCCGGAAAACTTTCATCTGCATGAGATATTTGATATACCAGTTTGAAGGAAGACCTCAGCCTCATGATCACTTTGGAGAAAGATCACAACGTTATTGTCGATAACATAAATTCGACGTGAATATTAAATCGCACATCTCTATTTATAAACAAGGACTCCACTTGGCTCACCGAGAGGGTATCACGACAACATTATGTGCGGTCGAATGCCAACCGAAATAGTGTCTTTTCGGTGTACTTGAAACCGCACACAATCCTTATGGACAGCGAACAAAAAGCGGCAGAGGCATACGGTACTCGTACCCCACACGTCCCGATCAACCCCATGGGGAACACCAGACCGTGCACAGACACGAATTCACCGCCCTACCAATGATATCCCATTCGCCAGTCCCCTGTACTAATTTACCTGTCAGATCTGCACTGCACGTGCCGATCTCGCAGGTGTGAATCTTTGGGGATGCAGCCACAATCGGGAGGTGGAGTTTGGACCAAGTAACCAAATTCTTATTAGTGGCTGGCTAGGTACAACGGCCTGCTCTATAACTTAAGGCCTGTGCCGACCCTTGTTAATCTCCTATATCGATACGAGTGGAAGTTTTGTCAGTCTCGAGGCAGGACTTTGTTTGTTCCATACACCATCGTCGTCACTCACAATGACAAGTCTGCTTGGGGCCTTCCGGCTCTCGAAGGAGGAGGTCAAGCTCGCGAAACCACCTGGAACATCGACACTAGTTGGTGAGCAATGCGTGTTATTAACGTCTTCCTGAGCACTTGACGCTAATACGTAGAACCAGAACATCTCGAATGGACAGCATCCCAACAAGGTCACGATGAGATCCGCCTCGTACCGCAACCATCGGCCGATCCCATGGACCCTCTCAATCTTCCATGGTGGCAGAAGATGGCCATGTTGATCACCTTGTCGATTCATCCTTTTGTCGTCAACGTTACGGCATCGTCTATGGGTAGTGCGCTTCCCGTTTACGCAGCGGCGCCTGTATTTGGACCCATTCCTGTGCCATTTGCGCGATTAGGGTACCTCATCGCTGTCAACGTCCTACTCATCGGAGTGTCCAACTTGTTTTGGGTTCCTCTTGCAAACACTTTTGGTCGTCGCAATATCAACCTCATCAGTTTGGCGATACTCATCGTCTCGAGTGCTTGGGCTGGGTTAGCCACAAGCTTCAATAGCCTTTTGGCAGCTCGTGCTATTATGGGTATTGGAGCGGGTCCTGCAGATGCTGTAACCCCTGACGTGTTGGGCGAGATCTTCTTCATTCACCAACGCGGACGAGCAATGGTAAGTCATGACTATTTATCCAAGACACATGTACGAGTGTCGATGCTAAACCAATAAGCGCTGACAACCTCTGTTACTAGGCTGTCTACACCATGGCGTTGACTTTGGGCGCCGGCGGTGGCGGATTGTTTGGAGGCTACATTGCTTTCAACCTCGGCCTATCATGGATTCACTGGATAAACGTCATCATTTGCAGCGTTACCTTCGTTCTCGTTTTGCTTTTTCAGGCTGAAACACTCTACGACCGCCATCAAACAACTATCGAGGTCCCCAGAGGAGATGCGGATGATACGGATAAGCCAGAGGTGGACAGGAAAGAAATTATTGTGCTAGCCGAGTCCGCACCGCCTTCCTCATACCAACCGTACTCGTACATGCGTTCCTTGAAGCTTTGGACTTACCGCCCTGGACTCGGCCACAGGCTGATGTCGCCTTACAAAGTCGCGAGGTATCCCGGTGTCTGGTTGGTTACTCTCTGGTACAGTGGTCTTGTTGGTCTCGTGGTTACGATGAGTACCATTGGTCCTTCGCTGCTTGCTGCTCCACCGTACCTATGGGGCAAGAATATTGGTCTAGTCAACATTGGCGCCATTGTCGGCGCAATACTCGGTGCTGTAAGTCATTCCAAGCTGTGCTGAGTTCACTCAGCTTCATCTCGTGTGTGTTATTCATTTGCTGACCAACGCTTCAGGCCTACACCTACCTTGTCACAGATTGGTCGACTAAGCGTGCGGCTCAGAAAGACCGAGACGGATTCGCAGAGCCCGAAACTCGTCTCATCAGCGCACTTCCTGCACTTTTCCTCGCCACAGCTGGCGCCCTTGTCTACGGCTTTGTTGGCCAGAACCCTTCCAGGCTCGGTTGGGTTGGTCTCAACGTCGGTCTCGGCATGGTAAATTTCGGACTTGCGCAGGTGCCTTCAGTGGGCTTCAACTACGTGATGGAATCGTACAGCTCTCAGGCTGGAGATTGCTTCGTCTTCATCACATTTGCGAGAGGTATCGTGGCCTTTGCCTTCTCTTTCTTCGTGGGCGATTGGGTCGCTATGAGCGGTGTTGCGGAGCCCTTTGGTATTTTTGCCATGCTCATGGGGGTTTTCTCGCTGCTCACTATTCCTGTGATCTTGTATGGCAAGCGACTCAGGCTTTGGACTGCGAAGTGGGTACCTGAAGGGACTGCTATGTAATTGAGGGTTCGTTAGCCAAATTGATACCTTCTACACACTATTCTTGAACGCGCAGAACATTTTGATAGGTCTGATACCGTGAGAATGGTGGTTGCTTTTGTTGTCGTCATTTTAAGAAGATCCAAGTAACAACTTCATACAAATGAGACGTGAACTCTCCATTTGGATCTTTTCCAAGGACTCTATTCGATGACCTACTGCCTACATATCAGCAACCTGGAGCTCAGGGCTAAGTGTCTGCCATGTCAAGAAAAAACGTTCGAAGCTTTCATACAAGTCTTACTCTGGTACACTCCATCACAGCCGCAAGATCCCGATCCCACAAAACAAAATCATTGAACACAAGATCAAGTGCACACAAGCATGATGTTGCAAGATCAGATTGAGTGACTCTCGTTTTCTCGCACAGAGTACAGACATAAACGACTTCATCCATGCTTCACAAGTCCTATTTCCTCCATCTTCTCAAACCATAACTCACACCATATCCCACACCATGGTACAGCGACGTGCCAAAAGCCGCCAGGAGCGGGATACCTACCAAGCCTAGTCCCAGCAAGATACCCTGTTCGAAATACCCAATCGCTATCCATTCCGCGCGCTTCTTCTCTTTGATCTCCTGTGTGGCTTTCGCTAGCAAATCCGCCGATGCTTTGCGCGAATCTTTGCTAGCAACAGCAGCCGAAATTGTGGTCTGCGAGGATGGTGGAGTGATGAATGCTGGTGACGCCCGAGTGAAGTGATGTGTTGTATACCGCTTCTCGATATCGATGGCTTGGGTGGATGGAGCGGCTGGGCCGAGAAGCAGGCGGTATGGAATGTGGTTTGCGAACGAGACGTCTGCTTTGATGAATTGGGAGAGGTATTTCCCCGCAGATGGTGTGCCGAAGAAGTACGCAGCGAGTAGTGTGTCTTGGGGCTCGGTGTCTTCGTCGATCAGGCTGATGGCGTGCTCGAGGGATGTTGTTGCAGATATGGAGAAGATGGGTTGGCTGGACTTCAGTGGTAGGGCAGTGAGATCGGAGAGCTCAACGATGGCACCGTTATCACCCTGTGTGACCACGCTCAGGTTCCAGTCTTCACTGGAAGAAAGAGCCTGGAAGGCTTCTGCTGTCCGCGAACCTGGCTTTTGTGCTTTTGTGGTCGAAGTGTTTGCACTGCCGTTGGGACCCGCCAGGAAGCGGATTGATTGTCTCATAACATGTTCTAGGAACTCCTTCTTCACAAACTCATTCACAAGTACCAGATCGGGAGCGTATGGGGAAGTGCCACCGAATGAAAAGCGCGCCGTCACCAAGTGTTCAGCTGCTACGGCGAGGTCGGCAGTGCGGTCCACAACAGCGATAACCCTGCTCTTAGGAGATGCAAGTTGCGTGTAGTTGGGTTGGCTAATGTGCGTTTCTTGCCTTACTTGAAGACATGTTGCCAGTGATTCAGTGGAAGGATCCGAGGAGACGACGGCGAAGGTATCGGCTTCGAGAGCTTTCGAAAGCAGTGTACGCAAAAGTGATGGGAGAGTACGCGTGTTGTTCTCAACCTGGTGCGGTCATTAGCATCATGTCTTCTACCAATTGTGGAATATCGTACTTTCAAAGCAACGCAATTGCCAGCCGCCAAAGCCGCACTCACAGCCACAACTGTCGAGAAGAAGGGTGTATGGGTCCGCAACGGCTCAATATAAACGACGCCTAGAGGCTCTCTCCTGTCGCTAGCATCCTTGCCATTTGTGACGCGATACTCCTCCGCCAGCTCTTTCTTTGCATCTACGGAGTCGTAGTGCTCTCTCACAACGTCAAGGGCTACGGCAACTTCGGTAGCTGCCTCCCCCTCGGACACATGGCTGTCTTGACTAATTGCGTCCTTGATGACAGAACTGTCGTTGCGCAAGACATCGTGAAGGGACTTTAGTTGCTTTTGACGGAAATATGCGTTGTGGCAACGTGCCGTGAAGGCAGTCGCTTGGAGGCTCGCAAGTGCGTTGTCTGAAGTCGACGGCATTGTTGTATATCCAAGAAAAACTAAAAACGATGAGTTCCACGAGAAGGGGATCCGAAGTTCGATATGTACGTTCAAGACGCGTCGTACTCGGGGTTCGGGAGAGAGCGTAAGCCCATTGGACGACTGAGGTGGTCGGGCATCTCAACTCCCCACATCCCGAATTCTACTACGTCGGCTTCCCCACGCCCCACTAACTATCACCCGCTGGCGCATGTCGAACCACGCGACGCGACTTCTGGATCTCTAAATTCCACTGCCCTGATAATTCTCCATCGAACAGTGTTGTGCCATCTCTCCACTCGCCAAAATGTCCGTAACAACGACCGCCAACCCAATACACTACGAAGTGCAGTCCGTCCTGCGGGACTACGACATCCAGCACTCCGCTGATGAACCCCTCGACACATCGCTCAACGCGCACCCAAACCCAAGTCCTCAAACGCAGAATCCAAGCCACTGGCCCGTTGACCATAATCGAGTTCCTGCGTACCGTCCAATAAATACAGAGCTTGATCAAAGCGAGCGGAGGGTGTATGCGAATGGCTTGGAACAGGCGTTCATAGGCGTCATGTTTACTGGGGTGTATCTTCAGTCGGTAAGTCAATACCGATGAAGCTGTGGTACAGATATATTTGCTAATCTCACACCAGGCCGCGTCGAAGATTTGGAGAGGATCGGTGGGCAGGATCTGGGATGTTGGTTATGCCAAGGGTGGGGAGTGGTAATGGAGACAGGCTGTTGTTGGGTTAACTTGATGTTCGGATATGGTTGCTTTTTTATGAGGCGCAATCGATAGGCGTACTGTAATTCTCAATGTTTGAACGTGATCTTTACAGTCATTTGTTTCTGTAATTGTATCCGCCCAAACAGTCAGTGTATTCCTCGGTGACATCGTACACGTTGTCCAGAAGAAGCCAACGATTTTCGTCCACACATACTGGTCTCGTTCAAGATGGTCACACTACCGACAGAGATCGGTTCCCCGCGATTTCCGGCAAGTGGAGGGGGGCGGCATCTCGTATGGGGGACAGCAACAGTTACCAGAAACCGTAGACTTTCTTATGGACATTAGCAGAACAGCCACCTCCTAAGTTTAGATTAAATCACCTCTCATCCTCTTCGTGGTCGTTCGTCACTCCCCTTTTTGCTCTTTCCCCTCACACACTCCTCTACACACGTACAGTCCGTCAAGATGGACTTCACTCGAAACCAAAGCAGTGACCACTCGGAACCCAGCACAAGACCTCTCAATGTCACAATAGTAGGAGCAGGTATCGGTGGTCTCACTGCGGCCATCTCTCTCCGGCAGCAAGGCCACACGGTGACACTTCTTGAACAATCACGTCTCGCCAGCGAAACCGGCGCCGCAGTGCATCTCGCACCAAATGCTCAAGGACTGTTGCGACGTATTGGCATTATCCCCGAGGACCAGGGTGCTGTAAATGCGTCCTCACTGAACCAACGGCTGTTCAATGGCAAGCCAATGTTCCAAGTCGACCTCGAGAAAGATGCACACCGATGGCAGTGGCCATGGCAACTCGCACACCGCATCCACCTCCACGAGTCCCTGAAAAAACGAGCAACGTCCGAGGACGGCCCAGGCAAGCCGGCTGTTCTGAACACAAGATCCAGGGTTGTGGATGTGGATCCTCAAGAGGGAACAGTCACATTAGAAAATGGCGAGAAGATCCACGGAGACGTGATCGTAGGCGCGGATGGCGTGCACTCAAAGACACGGCGCAAGGTCCCTGGCGCCGAGAATGTCGAGACGTTTGGCTCAGGCAAGAGCGCATACCGTTTCCTCATCCCCCGGGAACGGGCCCTGGCTGACCCGGATACGAAGAAGTATGCGGAGAGGGAGGGCGAGCTATTCATGTTTATCGGACGCGACCGTCGCATTGTTCTGTATCCGACCTCCAACAACGAGTTGCTCAACTTTGTCAATATCCACCCGACGGCTGACTCGCAGATCGTGTCCGAAGCCCCAGGAAGCGGCGACTGGCAGAATACAGGCAATATCGACAAGATGCTTGAGGTGTACAAGAACTTCGAGCCTGCCGCGTTGAAACTGCTAAGTATGGCGGACGAGGAATCGCTCAAAGTGTGGGAGCTGCTGGATATGGAGAAATTGCCTACCTGGACGGAGCAAAAGTTGGTGCTCATCGGTGATGCGGCTCATCCCTTCACACCTCGTATGTCAACTCCTTTCCAGCCAGTCACTCCAGAGATGTACTGACAAACATTCTTTAGACTTAGGTCAAGGCGCAGCTCAAGCCATTGAAGACGCCATTTCTCTTGCCGTCATGCTACCTAGAAACACCCCGCTTGACTCGATTCCCGCTCGCTTGAAGCTCTACGAGAAATGTCGTTATGAGCGTGCCTCCAGGGTCCAGGAGGTTTCTCGTATATTGGGTGAAGACCGAGACGGCCCCCCTCCGATCAACGCAGCCCAGTTCTCGGATTACAACTTCGGACACGACGAATGGGACCACTCAACTCAGATACTGCGAGAGTGGGAATGGGAGAACAAGAAGAATCTGTGGTGGAGAATGCCAACATCCTTCGGCCCAATGCCTGGCCCAAGACAAGACTTCCAAGGGCGGCCAAGGGACGGAAGCAAGGCAACGTTCAAAACCGCCAGTATCAAGTTCAGATCTTCCGGCACGATGCTGCGCAACCTTTTTCCCACTAAGAATTTGAAGTTCGCGCTTCCCAACACAAATGTCTTTGCTACTTTTGCAGTCACCCACTTGAACAATCTCGAGTGGCTCGGTGGAAGGGGATATATACATTTCGGACTGTACATTCATGGCGCACAATATACCAAGGAGGATGGCGAGACGGTACAAGGCACATACCTCCCAATCCTGTTCGAAAACTTGGCAGATCCGATCATCAGCGGTAGAGAAGAGCTAGGCTTCCCAAAGCTGTTTGCCGACCTTGACCTCCAACAAGATGGACAAAATCTGACGCTGAATGCAAGCTGGATGTCGTCGAAGTTCTGTAGCATGACATTCTCGGGACTGGAAGATTCCGTGGCCGCGGAAACATCCTCCGATACAGACGCGTCATCAGCCCCGAAGGATGAGGGCATGTTTCTGCACAAGACCATCCCTGCTTCCAGCAATGATGGGAAACAGGCAGACGTGGAGTACACAACCTTCCTGCCGTTTGCAGAGGATGCGAAGACAGTGGAGAGGAAGTTTGAGAAGAGTTTGACAGCGAAGAAGGCGGAGATCAAGTTCGATGCTCTGGACTGGAAGGCATTGCCCACACTACATCATATCATTGAGAGACTGCAGGAGATCCCGATATACGAGGTGGTCGAGGCCAAGGTGGTGGAGGGTACTGGTGTGAGTGATGTGAGCTCGATACAAAGGATTGAGCCGGCATTGTAGAATAAGTTGCATGTAGAATCGTTGGTACAACGTTCATCGCTCATGAAGATCCATGAGTTGGATGAGTCTGAACGTGTTCCATAACATATCGTGCATTTCTCATGTGTATGTCAGCATTCTCGCAAAATTGACCTCAAGTATGGAATACATTGAAGTGTGAAGGGATTCGGCGCATCGCAAGATGCCAAGATAGACAAAGAGAAGTCATATGCAAGTCAGCTCTAATAAGTTCATACAACTGTGACATGTAATCACCAATTCTACAGAGCTTCATACATCACTAAAACAAGGAACGAGAGCTTCTCGACATCGCTTCGTAGATTCATTAGCCGCCTATACGCTCGGCATGACTCAAAAATAATATAAGTTAAAGCAAATATATTCGATTCAAATAGCTGGCTCAATATGTCGAAGCTGGTCTCCATAAGGACGACTGCGATGGCCTATCGACAGGTGTGGGATCTGTCGTGACTTGTATGCTGGGCAATGGCTCAAGATCCAGATTCAGACGCGGTAGCTGCGGGGCCCCTGTTTCTAAGGGACTTTCGTAATTTGGTGGGTGCTCATATGCTGGCGCCTGTTCTCTGGGTATCTCGACGGTAGGCGATGGGCCCCTGCTTCCGCTCCTATTCCTCTCCTGGTCCAGCGATACGACTTCGAAGCCGTTATTCGACTGCGAGCGTGTGCGAACGGCTTCCGGGAACTCAAATTCGCTCGAGGCGCGGGAGTCGATGGAGTGGGAGACTGAGGTGACGGACAGACCGCGGTGATGTGTGTCGAGTGTAGTGTTTGTGTGGGAACGAGAGTGACCGCTTTGACCGGACATAGACGCGGCGGAGTCGAGGAGTGGGCGGTTGTCGCTTTCGGAAGAGTTTGCGCGCAGCCGTGTGCCGTCGTGTCGGGCGACGCCGAGGTCGCCGTAGGCTACAGAGGAGACTCGTCGGTCGCGGTTTGCGTTCTGGTGTTCGGCGATCAGCAGTTGCGAGACGGACAAATCGGCTGCTTCTTCGGCCCGGCGGCGAATATCTGCGAGTGTCTGGGAGTCGCCTCTCTGGCGAGCTTCGCGCCGTGCTTGCCGTCTTGCCTCCCGATCTGCTGCCTCGACGCGCCGCGCCAGTCGGATCTGATACAGAGACTCCATTTCCTGCTCGCGGCGCATCTCCTCGTCGTCCAATGTCTCTGGCAGCTCGACAACATTGTCCATTCCTGCTCTTTCTCCCTCCCGCCCCAGTATCCGCTCATCCTCTCTCGCAGCAGGCGTGTACGCCGGCAATGTCATGACGCTGCGCACCGAAGTGTTTCTATCCACCCTGCCTGTACTGCTGTTCTGCCTCTCGGGATCTGCCGCTCCACTCATCTCCCGGTTCTCTGCGACGCTATTCCCACGATACTCGGTGTCCTGCAGGCTGGTCGAGTAGTCATGGCGGCGGGGTCGTTTGCGAAAGTTCTTCCAGGAGAACAGCGAAGCTGGTTTGTCGCTCGTGCTTGCGCTGGAGGCCCGTCTAGCTCGGAGTTTGGCTTTGAGGAGGTATGTGGTGATGAGGATGACGAAGCCTGCTATTATGATGACTGCGATCTGCGCGACGTTTGTGTCAGCAACCATAATCGACCAGAGACATCCGCGACAAGTGCACGGAACAGGAGACGATTCAAACTCACAACAATGAATGTCTGCTTCTGTGAGGCCGACCCCATGTCTTCCCTCGCTCTTAGCACGGGTACCAACATCGTGCTGACAGGTACAATGCGCGGTACACGTCAAACGTCAACCGATTTACTCGATACTTGTCCCAGACGATTTGTTTGGGTTATGCGATCACTCGTCCAGAGAAGGAAGATCGCCCTCGGCACCCGATCCGTCGGCTTCCTCGGTGCTGTTACGAGCTAGCAAGTCTCGACGCCGATACAGTAAACGTCGATGTAGGGTGGACAGCTGGTTTTGCAGTCGTGATCGGTGAAATTGGTGAGGGGAATGACTGCTTCCAAAGGATATTACGCAACTAAGAGGCAAAGTCGAGAGAGGATCTAGGCTGAGCTGCGCCTGGATGAGTGCTTGGCTTGAGCTGACCAGGACCGGGATGCAATGCAGGGCTGATTGGAAGAGCTGACAAGTGTGGCTGTGATGCCTATTTTGCCAGGGATCGAAAGCAGGGCGTAGCCAAAGTATAAACCCTTTTCCTACCGTTTTGTAGGAGGGTGATCTTCTCCCGCGCCTCCACAGCGCAATCGTCAGACCGCTCAGCATCGAGGCCAGATTTGCACATTACGTCCAAAAACCTGCTGCTATTTCGGGGGCCTTGCTCGACTCCTAGCGCAGTACCCTGATTGGGGATAAGCCGCGAGGTGATCGCATCTTACATGCTATCGCGTACGAACAATTACGATTGGAGGGTACTGTTAATCTCACAATTCGTAGCGTTGGTGTGCAAATGTTTCAACAGGTCAATTGCGCCGTCCGTTCATTTAAAACTAGATTCGCTCGCTGAATCGCTACAAGTACAAGTAAACATACGAAAAGGAAAATTCGGCATTTTACTCAAAATTTCTTGTCCAGCTTTTTCAAAAATTTGCCAATGCCCTTCTCGACCTTGTCTACTCGTTTTCCGATGTTCGAGTTGGGCTGCGATGTCGACTCATGGTCGTGGGCATTGGCTTCCTGCTCACTTGGTCGATACAGTTGCTGGTGCATGTTGTGCGAGTTGGCTCCTTGAGCCTGTTGCGACGTACTTCCATACTGATACTGGGAAAATCCACCTGGTGGAGGCGAAGCTACCGGTTGATAATGTTGTTGCGGTGCAAAACCAGGAGATGGCAACGGAGCTACTGGCATAGTCGAGTGCCGTTGAAGACTTGGATGTGCTGGAGCCTGCTGTTCGTATTGAGGAGGAGGGGCGGATTGTGGAGGTGGGGCAAATGACGGAGGGCTCTGTGGTGGAGACGGCATCGACCCTGCTGTATTCGTACGTTGCACGCTTGGGTTTGGTGGACCACTGAAGCCGTATCCTGATGATGGCGGTCCAGGTGTATACGGTCCCGATGTCGGCTGAGGTGCGAAGGAGGCCTGCAGTGGATTACTATATTGCTGGTTATGGTGCTCGTGCACAGCAGCAGCTCCAAGGCCAGTTCCGTTGTCAGCATCAGGAGGGGGAGGTGTTTTCTCGCGATGAGCGATGGGTTCAGGCGCGGCAGGAGCTGCAGGATTGTAGGCCATCGGTGCGTAATTCTCAGCTGGTGGACTTGCCATGCGAGATGGGGCAGTTGGTGGACCGGGGAACGACTGTGTGGTACTGATGCTTGGTTTTCGATGCGATTGTGATATGGCTGCCTTTTCTAGATTTGCAATCACTGGGTTCATCGCATCGACCTTATGCTCGAACAGTGGTGGGGTTGCCTGAGGGTCGCTGACGATCTGGAGCTGATGCGGTTGCAACACTCGCCGTATAGAATCCAGAAACATGGACGCATCCTTGGGAGTCCAGAAATACAAGTCAACTGTGTGCAGTCTATACATGTATTTGTTCTGGTTCATTGCATCTAGCGTAGGAAGATGCCATTGAGACGGGTCCTGGTGTGGGCTGGACGCTGGGCTTCCACTAGGGTTGCGAAATGCATCAACCGTCATAGTGAACAAACATGGATGCTTATATGTTTGCTGAATCTTCACCGAGTCCAATTCTAGTTGGTAACCAAGGTCAGCTCATGTGTCAAGTGATGTGCCTCCTGGTGAGGACTTACGACCAGCAAAGGCATCCTGGCTTGGTGTCCCAGCATGATTCGCGATCTCTACACGCCCACTCTGTCGCATAGGACTGTGGTAGAGGTAGACGTAGGAGCCTTTGTCGAAGCGGTGATGTGGAGGACTTTGGGTGGGCGGGGAGAAGTAGTAATGAACATCTGCAAAGCTGTCGAGGGATTAGTAGGCGTTGTGAGCTTTGACGAAGCTGATATACTCACAGTGTCGATAAAGGCACTTCTCCTTGCTGTGGAGGCATCGTGTTAGAGTCACAGGGTAGTCTTTCAGGCTGCAGGTGATGTGAGAAGCCCAAGATGCGGAGAAAGAAGCTCAAGGCTATGCAGACGAACAGCAAGAATTAGCAAGCAAAGATCAAAGGCACGACGTATGAATATATAGTCGTTTACTAGGCAAATTAGGGACTTGACCAACTCCTGCATGGTCTTCTATTTGTGTCGACTTCGAAGCGCCCAAGTCGTTAGGGCCATTCGCAGGCGCCAAACAGCTTTCTGGAAATGCTCCTCACCGTGCACGTGATGCGGACTCCCGCAACCCAAAATTTACTGCGACGAGCAAGCATCAACGCCCATCCGCGCAATTAACGCCCCGCACTCCCGCCGGTATCGCCATCGTCACGCCTCTATCCGGACGAACTAGTCGGCGTGTTCGAATTCAGTGACCGCGCCCACCGCGTCGCCGTCGCCCCTCGAGGGCAAGTCCACCACCCGCAGCACCGCCAATATGTCCCTCGTCAACCTCGCACACGTTTGCTCGCATCTACAAAATGCGTCCAAGGCACGACTCGGTCTGACGTCAATTCCCGTCTCCAAAATGCACGTCAATCTGGTGCTCGGCCTACAACGCGAAGGCTTTCTATCCTCCGTAACACTAGGCGGAGTCACACCACCAAAACCCTTCCTCCTACAAGCACAGCCCGACCCTGAGCAACTAGACAAGATGGCGAACAAGCTGAAAGAGGAGCCATGGCACGCATATGCCATTGGGGAGGACGAGCCACAGCAGACCACACCAAATGCGACAGAGAAGGTGCTAGGCAGGGAGCTAGTCCACTCAGTTCACGTACCCGAAAACCCAGCGAAGCGGAGACTATGGCTCGGATTGAAGTACTGGCAAAACGAGCCCGTGCTCAAGAACATGAAGCTGGTGTCCAAGCCCACCAGGCGGATATGGTTGACCTCTGAGGATCTGGGGAAGATTACCAGGACGCGGGAATCGAGCTACGTCAAAGGGCTGACGCATCCGGGAGAGTGCATGTTCATCACAACAGACCGGGGGATATTCGAGGCGAGAGAGTGCGTGGAAAAGCGGATGGGCGGCATGGCACTGTGTAGGGTGTGGTAGTGCAAGAGCAAGGGTAGTTTCCTGCATGCATGAAGGGATCTTAGGTCGGGGGCTGGCTTGTCGGTATGCATATTTGCATGGCTATGGCGTTGTAAGACATCATGTACCAGTACTCAAGAGGCGGGCAACGTGTATATGGAATCACGTGCGGATTATCTTGCATCCGCGTCTGTAGGAATATCGACTCCGTTTCTAACAAGTCCATGGGCCCAATCGCATCTGACGTTTGATCGGATGCACATGAACGAATCGAAAATATGACATCTTTCAGGGCCATAAATTGACTGTTGGTAATTGGTCAATATCGAATCTCTGAACAAATAAAAACTTCTCGCAAGACAGCTTACTGAAAGCTATCACTGACGAGGTTTAGAAAACAAATGCATGAATCGTCACACCCCTTTCGTTAGAGGTAAGAACAGAAACACTTCCGTCTGATTACGAGTGAATTTAGTCACCATCTCCATCATCACAAAAACCTCCCATTAAGATCAAACAACACACATTACAACCGCTCAGTTCGTTTTTCTCATCCCCTCAAACCCCCACAATCAAAATCATAACGTTCTCACCACACGCACCTAGCAAACCTCAAGTTAACTCCGCCCTATGCATTTGTTTAGCCTCCGACTCCCCAACAGATAACTCGTGTCTTGGACTTTCAACAGCATCCGCTTCATGGTACCCGTACGTGACCTTTTCTCGTGCGCCTGGTGCGCCTGTGTGGTCTGTGTAGGCGGTACCCATGGCAGGTTGTGTGTAGGCAGAATTCAAGGGAGGATGCGCGTAAGCAGAGTCTTTGGCAGTCTTTCTCTTCCGTCTCCGCAGGAAGAAGAAGACTAAGAATCCGCATATGGCTAGAAGGGCGGCGCCGACTGCTATCCCGGCGATGGCGCCTGTGCTCAGAGATGACGAGGAAGCTGGTGAGGGGGAAGCTGAGGATGAAGAAGCTGGTAGTGAGGAAGCCGAGGATGAGGGACTGGATGTCGCCGTCACACTGGCGGGAGTACTGGATACGGGTGTAGACGACGCAGTGGGGGTCTGTAGCTTGTTAACCCCTCTCTCTCTTCTAGCAGCAAGCGAGTGGGAAAACTCACGATGAATCCATCCACATCTGCGTAGAAATCTGCGCCCTTTGGACTTCCGGCACTACGCCCATGTTAGCACGTGTTTGCACATCTTCAACACACCATAGACGTACCTATCGTTGATCTCGATACCCCACACCGAACCCTCGTCGCCGACCTGCATACTCGGTGGCCCAACCGTCGCGTTCAACGCCAACAGACTGCCATCCTCCCGCAGCCCATTACTCAACGTCCACCCCGCTCCATCCCCTGACTTCGCAATCGTCCACTGCTGCGCCAGCGCTCCACTGCGCGGGTACAGCCGTGGCACGTCTTTACTCGATTCCTGGAGTCCGAGCTGAAACCCAGAACCGTAGTCGTAGTTGCGAATGAAGTAGCGGCCGTTTTGGAGGTACAGCTGCCAGTTCTCCGAGGACGAGAAGTTTTCTATTCTGAGCAGACACTTGTCAGCGGACGGAGTGCGGACTAGGAGATTCGAAGTATCTACATTGTCATGTTGATTGCGCCATCTGAGCTTTTTAGTACGCCAGCACTGATAGTGTTACTGGAGTTGAGGGCGTTGGCGAAGCGGTAGTATTTGTCGTTCACAAAGTCCGATGTAGTGTCGCGGGCGCGATGACGGCGCTCCATGAGCATTTCCATTCCCAATGCCGTTTTCGTTGCCTTGTACAAGAGGAGAAGTCGAGGGTGAGAGAGAGAGATCCAAGCCTCAGAATGTGATCTCCATATATCAGGAAACCCGGCTTCAGAAAGCGAACCTAGCAGCGGGAAGAGTGGCTAAAGATAACTAGAATCCCGTCGACTGGTTACACCTGCCATTACTTTCGAGGTTCCTGGCTTGTTTTAGCCCTAGTACCTCCTGGATAGTGATAGCGTACGCCATCTCATATCGAAATTGGTGTAGGGGCCTTTAGCAGTAAGGCTGAGACGCACGACTCGGTGGGGGCCTAAACACGTTATCGAATGGCTACGCATCGTTAGACGCCTGACTGGCAGACATGAGCACGGCTGACAGCAAGTCAAGATTTATAGCTGGCGAAGCGGGCTGAGGGTGACCCTGAAACCGGGGCTGTAGCTGGTTCGGGAGCACTGCCTTAAGCCACAAACGCTCCTCAGGTTTACGCCTGAGATGTTCTTGTGGCTACGCATGTGTGACATATTTGTGTAACACGTTTTCCAACGCGCTTCGTCGAGTGCTTGCTGCAAGGTAATATGGGTCGAGTAGAGGTGACGGAAAAATTACGACGTCAGGGCATCCATCGTAGAATGGCAGATCTGAGTTGAGAGACGTCTTGGCTTCCGTCTTGATCGTAGATACTGGTTGTTTGTTCAGCTGACATACAGGTCACATTTCAGTACCCTGGTCTCTCATCTGTGTTCACAGATGAGCTTCACCTATTTAGTAACGGAACTCAGACTGCTATTCCAGGTCAAGAAGTGTTTGTTGTTGATTTCAAAGCTCTAAGTAAATCGGTCGAGGTTTTCGAGAAGGATGTAGGTTGACGTTTTGCCAGCGTTGCTGGAATAGATTCGAAGGTATCAATTATGTACAAAACTACAGAGATTTACTAACTCTCTACTAAATCATGGCGCATATCGTAATCGTGCAGTCTCGGTCAAAACAAAATGGTATGCTATCCGCTGGTATCATATCGCAAAAAAAAAGCAGGTCCAATGAGATTCGTGCTCAGTCATCTCTCGACTCGCATAAACGTTTTTTTTTAAGTCGAGACCAAATCCGTAGATTGTTCTCTGACTGGTTTGTATTACTTCTGGTTTCGAATGTACTGCTCTAGACGTAGCTACGGCTGCGGCTTCGGTGACTCTGGTGCGAGTGGCGAGGGCTGCGAGAACGTTGACCGTGACGGGAGTGATGTACTTCGCGCTTGACGACGACACGGTCAACACGGTCGTTGCGGTGATGACGGTGGACGAGAAGGGCCAGGAGGAAGGTGAAGAAGAAGAATATGCAGTTCCTGAACGAAGATTAGCGAACCGCTTTTTGAGAAGAAAGTATATGGCATGAAGACTTACATGATGCCGAATGCCCAGCTGGCTTTGAGCATGGCGCACTGGCGGTTGATAGACCAGTCATACGAGTTTCCAGATACAGTGAACAGTCCCAGGTTGGTGCTATAGGTTCCGTCTGTCGTCCAGCCCGAGCAGTCCGCATTTGCAATGCCCCGTAGTACGTAGACGGCCCCAATGAATGCACCGACGAAGAGGAGATCGATGAAGGCGACGAACTTGGCAGAGTGCTTCGCACGAGCATACAGGAATAGTGTCCCTATTGCCCATACTGCACCTAATACCGAGACGATGAACAGGACAAGAATCGAGGTCGGTGTGAGAAGACTGCGACTGTTGTACCAGTCGACGAACCAGGCGAGCATTCCCAGCGTAGGAATTAATGTGATGATCTCCATGACCCGCCAGAAGATGAAAGCAAGACTGGAGATGGCCATGTTGGCGGTTGGTAGTTCTCCGGAGAGATGCCTCGAAATGAAGGTTGTTTGCGTTGGTGGAACGGAAGTGTGATGAATGACGACACAAGTTGAGGGTGGGAAGCGCTCCTTATAAACGTGCAGCGATCGGTATGCAGCTGCTACGTGACCGGATTTTCCCAGGTAATAAAGCAGCAGTAAATTGTGGTTGTTGGCGTGACGTATCCTTTAAAGCTAGGAGGGGCAGCTTGCGATAAATATCAAGAATGGCGGGGGGAGGCAGGTAAGTTGCACGCGAGAGGCTGGGTTGTGCCTGCCCTCTTGATTTCCGACCAACAACACCGCGTACAACGCATTGCTGCCGAGCAACCCAGCAACCATGACGCTTCAGACTTCCTCAAAGCCTTGGACAGATGTTCCGCCTTCTGCTCGGAGATCTAGCCGTACGTTTGACCCTGATGCGTCGTTTGCCAGCCAGCCTCTTCCCGCACCCGACTGAGTTGTCCTGCGCTTGAGTCGTCGCATTCCAGCGCGTTGGGCCCATGCTCCACCGCTCCACTCTAGGCCGCTCTCCCGAACGCGCAAGCGTACCCTTGCATGTTATCTTGGACTGTTGACAATAAAACGGCTGGAACGGCATCCAGAGTATTATGGAATGCCGTTTATCGTGACTTTTTCTTTCTTCCACCAAGCTATCGTCCGTCTTCTCTCATCCTCAGTTGCAGCCTTGAATGGCGATTGTCGCGTCGCTGCCGCCCACGCCCATCGTCCCGAGAATCAGCCCTGCCTTATCACACGCAGGGCTTCCCACTTACCCCAGCCTGGCTTGGACTGCTCTCATTCCTACAAACCAAATATGCTCTTGGCTCCGCAGTTGTTCTGCGGAGTGATCGGCTTCCCCTGTGGTTGCAGATGGATCACGCGTTTGATAGGTTAAGCACTCATGCTCGGAAGCGTAAGGTCTTATCAGAAGATCCTACACCAATCCAGGGGGCCTGTTCGCCGCTCCGGGACGCGTTCTGTGTAGGTAAGGGACGGGACAATGAGCCAATATATCATTTCTATTTCCCCGGCTGGCATTCTTTCTTCTCCGCAGTTTATTTCTCGTCCCTCCTTACACCGTTCGTTCCTTTCTGCGTCTGAGCAACTGCGAGCCCTCGTTACGCGATTTCTGCGCCGTGCTATGATTGGAGAACATGCATATCATGTTTTGAGCAATACAGATCCGCGCTCCTTTCCGTCTAGTCAACGCTTACTTGCTGATCGCATTCTCCACTGTTGATTGTGTCTTGGCTCAACCGTGAATCTCATCAAAAGGTTCTGCTGTTCCTCAATTGCGCGATCGTCTGAACCCCAAAATCAAACGCTCTTTATCCACAAATGTCGGCCAGAGGGGCTCGAAGTCGCAAGGTTCAACAGAAAGATATCGAGAAAAAGGAAAAAAAGGTCGCTGTACAGGGCAAAGCCGTACAGACTTCTAGTCGTCAAGATGAATATGCTAAATGGCGTTCTACGCCGGTCTCCAAGAGTTCAGGTCACACCGAGATATCGCGATCAGTTACGGTATCCAGTCATGCGACCTCGCGCAGCAGTTCCACAAACAATAGTCAAAGGCGATCGCAACTAAATGCTCTTCGCTCGAGCGGTTCAATTGAACTTAAAGCACCCAGGGTACCGCGCTCGACAAGTGATTCAGCCTCAGTCTCTGGTGTTTCGTCAAGAGAAAGAGAGAGGGTTGGCCATGATGCAAATGGACAGGCAGCACGGAGCAGATATGTGGGAGGGGATGTTTCTGCTTCACACGGACCGCCTCAGTACCGAACAGAGCCCATTGGCTCATATCCTACTGCCAACCAGAAAAGTTGGTCAGGCTTCAAAGTCTGGGAGGGAGGGGAGGAGGGCATGCGACCGTATCTTGGTTTCGACCGCGTAAGTCTTCACTTGAACTCGAAAGATGCGGTCTGTCTGACACTATGTGACAGGACGAGGATATGCAAGAGGGCAGTGTACTCGTCTATTTCAAAGAGGAACAGGCAGATGAAAATCGCCCCCTTCCTTCCCTTCGCGCCGATCTGAAAATCCTCGAGAACTCCGGCTCAACATGGATAAACAATGCTCTTTTGTACGGCCGCATCGACAATGACGATGACGAATGGACACTACCGAGTAGTCCGGAATCGATGATCCCACCGCAGCCTTTTCACCATGGAAATCTATATGATGGACAAAGGAAGATGCTAGCGCCGGTCTCCCCTGGCGGACAGTCACCACCACCGCTCGATATTGATCAGGCGTACGGCACCATCTCATCGAGAACGACTCTCCAAGCCCAATCGTATTCTGACTATGATCGCTCAGAGCGCCCAAACTCCCCGGGTCTGTTCCAGCGAAGTAGTCATCGCAACCCGACTCACGAGATCTGGTTCACGGCACCAGCCAGCATTAAAACAGTTCAAGATCAACGGTTACACCATGTAGCTGTTCGAAACTTCCTCGCCATGCTTCACGGCAAGCCCATTGTGGGGGCCGATTTATTCGACATGCTGAACACACTTCAACCTGAGATACAAATCATGTACGACCTCGAGAGCGATAGCCAGTCAAGCATAACGCCTCGTGAGCGTAGTGTTCAGATGCTAACAAACTACCTCGGCCAGCACGGAGTAAACGATATACGCAACAACGTCAAACACGCTTTGGGGCTTCTAGCATGGTCCGAACAGGATGGTGTGAAATGGCGTCAAGGGTATCTGGAAAGCTTCGTCCATCTGGCAGGTCTGATGAGCCCACATATGGAGGCGCTTCCGGAGTTCAAACGCTTGTCCATTGTAACAAGACGCAATCTCGGAATCGCCGGAAAGACGCTGCAACTTCATGTTATGGAGGCTGAAGAGAAGCTCGCAGCTTTCGACTTTGATGATCTCTGGGAAGAGACGCCTAAACTTGGCAGCAGTCCGGTTTATCAGAGTTATCAGGCCTTTCGCCAGTTTCTCACAAATCACTATACCCGTACGTATGGGAAGTGGCCGCCGGATTCGACGAATTCCTGGCTCGATCGCAAGATCGTGCTCGAGATGCAGGAAGATCTGGGCTCGTTGTACGACTACCTGGTTGATCGAGACGTGGTCTGGAATCCCCGCGAGGAGCGCGCAAGCAGGAAGTGGGAGATGGCGAATCACAAGGTGGACGACTTCAAAGCGGATCTGCCTGAGCTCGGCATGACGGACATGCTCATTCGTTTCGACAGCAACCATGGATACACACACATACCGCATCCATACCCGCTGCTGCCAAAAGATGTGGCGAAAGTGGCGAAAGAGAGCAAAAAGGGCTTCTTCGCATCGCTAAAAAAAGACAAAAACAAAGTCAAAGACACCACAAAAGAAGCCAAAGCCCACCTCCAGCTATCCATCGTCTTCGGCGACGCAACAAACATGGAAAAGCTAGGCGCAACCTACACCGGTACGTCAACCCCCCCTCCCAGCACACACATGCAGTACACTAACAAACACCCCCTAGGCTCCGTCCTAATCGACAAATTCGAGCACTTCGAACTAACCACCGACCCCAAGCACGCCACCCCCCGCGAAGCCCGCCTCGGCCGGTGGGTGCTCCTCTACGCCGTCCTCCAAGTCCTATCCACGCTCTCCGTCGACATCCAAAACCTCAAGCACACAGACGACGTGCGCTACTTCCTCTGCGCCGACCTGGCCCGCTGTCCAGACTGGGTCACGCAAGGCCAGACGGCCTTCCTGCAGGCCTCCCAGCGCCGCTCGTGGTGCTGGCAGCGCACATGGGACCTCACGCCCGTGCAGACCGCGCCTGTGGAACTCGATGCCGGGCCACATCATGGCAATGGTAGGAATCAGCGCGACGACGATGATTTGACGAATATCGTGGATAGATACCGCACTACGCACCCTCCCCCGGCGCAGAGTCTTGATGGCGCGACGCTCGCGCAGGATGATGTGCGTCACCTTGCTGACCGCCCCCGAGACCAGAAAATAAATAACGTGGACTACGCGGACAGGGGGTACGCGATCAGACCGGATCCCCCGCCGCGTAGCCCGCTTAGGAATTCGGCGCATTTGAGTATTGGTGAGTATCCGTTTCGCACTGAGGAGGGGGAGTGGCCGGTGCCGCCGGTGCGGGATACGGGGAAGGAGGGAGAGGGGGGGAAGGATGGGGGGTGGATGTAAAGAGGACGAGGTTGGGACGGTGCGATACCCTATTTTTTTCTTTGGTTGGAAGGTATTTGTTTGATTATTGCAAGGAAAGAAAATGTGGATGGATGGATGAATGAGTTAGTTATGTATAAAGATGGGGAGATGGCATGTTTTTCTATGTACAATGTACAAGTAGTTTTTTTGTAATATATACTTCTATTTGTCATTTAATTCTATCTTATTGAAATATAACTTCCCACCTGATCCAGGGGTATCTAACCACCATCCACACCTCACGTCCCCCCTCCCCCCAGCCTAAAAAAACCCCTCCTCTTCTCCCTCGCCCGCTCCTCCTCCGCCACACTCTCCCTCCCGCGCTTCCCCCTCTTCCCCCCCACCTTATACTCCCTACCCCCCACCTCCGGCGCAGTATCCTGCACAGCCTGCTTAATCGTCTGACGCGAGAGGCAAAAGTCAATATGCGCATTGAACGTCTTGTCGAGCGGGGGTTGAGGGAGCGTGCATATGGGACATGTCCACTGTTCTTGTACAGGGGTATCTTGCTGTTGCTGTTCTTTTTCATGTTCCTGGGATAAGATTTCCAGGTCGTTCATTTCGTCTGCGCGTTCTTGGCGGGCTGCTTCTTCGAATTCGAATTCCTCGTCGGGCCAGACTTGCCATCCGCTTGTTGATGTTGATGTTTTTGCTGGTTGTTTCGCAGCGGATTTCTGGCGGGCGAAGAAATCTATACCGGGTTTCTTCGTGCTGACGAGGTGGGTAGCGCGCAGTCCCAGAAGGCGGAGTTTGAAGTTCGGAATATCTTTCATGAGCTTTTCGAGCATGGGGAGGCTGTACTTGTACAAGTCGTCTGCCCTATGGACGGCGAAGGGCGGGGTAGTCTGTCTGGTGTGCAGTTCATACGTGTGTAGCTTGACTTTTATACACAATGTTCTACCCTTGAACTCTGTGCGCTTGAGGTCATTTTCCAGCTCGTCTGCGACGTAGCGTAACTTCTCGCGCAGGGCGTCCGGGGAGCCGAGTTCGCGGAATGTAGTCTCGGTGCCGACGCTCTTGCGCTCGCGGGCTTCGGCGCGCTGGATTTGCGTGCGGCCTAGGCCTAGGTAGCATTGCATTAGGAACTGGAAGGCTTTTTGGCCGAAGAGCTGCGGCAGGTAGGAGCGCTGGGCGTAGATGTTTCCGCATGTTTTGACGCCGATGGCGTCTAGTTCGCGCTCGAAGACGCGGCCGATGCCGTTGACTTTGCGGGTCGGCATTGTCTTCATGAAGTCCATGATTGTCTGTCTGTCGCTTTGGAGGAGGAATTGTCCGTTGGGCTTGTTTATGTTGGAGCAGATTTTGGCGAGCTTCGCGTTGGCGGCAATGCCAGCCGAGACGGTGAGTCCTGTCTTCTCGTGCACTTCTGCGCGCAGCTGGCTGACTGCTTCTTCGGGGCTCATGCTGTGCTCCTGGCAGTACTGCGTGAGGTTGAGGTAGGCCTCGTCACAAGAGGCACTCTCGAAACCGGGATCGTAGAGTGCCAGTACTGTTCGGACCTCCTCTGCTTTGGCGCTGTACTTGGCGAAGTTCATGGGCACGCAGATGAGCTGTGGACAGAGCTTCATGGCAACGAAGCCTGCCATGCCCGAGCGACAGCCAAACTTGCGCGCATGGTAGTTGCATGTGGTTAAGACGCCTTTCCCCACAGCCATGGGAACATGTTTCAGCTCAGGCCTGTCCAGCTCCTCAACAGCAGCATAAAAAGCATCACAGTCAAGATGCACCACGACCTGGCTGAGGTCGCGGGTCAGCTCCAACTCGGCGATGTAGTCGTCTGCGCGGCGCAGGTCGGACGAGAGGTCGAGCTGCTCCAGATGGCGCTTCTTGGCGAGGGTCTTTGTGATCTTCTCGGTGAGGTTCTTGTCCTTGAGCTCCTCGTTGTTGAAGAACTTGGAGCCCTTGGAGGCGTTGTAGATGACCTCGGAGACCTTTTGCTGGTCGACCGTGTCCTGGCCGGCCTTTGTGAGCGAGGGCCCCAGCAGGTGGTACTTGAGGGAGTCGTGGGCGGGCGGGTCAGCGTCCTTGGCGGCACTCATGGCGGGCGGTAGGGCGGCAACATGGTGCGGCGACGGACGGCTTGGAGGACAAAAGCGCGCAGGGCGATGCTGGCGTCGCGGTTGGTGGTGGTGGTGGTCGGTGCGGCGACTGACTCCGCATAGTGCCAGGACTTGGCTCCTGAACCCTTTCACGGCGAGCCTCCCTTCGCACCTCGCAGCAGCCGGCGCCCGAAGCACCACGATCCCCCCCGTCGCCGCTTGTTCGGAGCCATGGACAGGACGAGCACGGCGCCCAGATCCTCCCCACGGCCGTTGTAGCAGCCGCCCGCCACGCCATACCGCCATTTCAGTCACCGGGGGAACAAGCAATCTTGCCAGCATAGCGCCCGCGCCCGCACCGCACCCGCCTGGCCATGAGCGCTCTCCACACACACCGCACCGCCGTCCCACCCTCCGCCCTCGCGCTCGCTGTGGAGGATGCCCCAAGACCGACACTCCCAGAACAACCCGCGGCCACTGAAGCCCGCGCCCGCTAGCACCCGTGCCGGCTCTGCAAAGACGCCCCTCACGCCTCGCCTGGCCGTCGCGCCTGCCGCCCCTGCCCCGACGACGCGCCCCCTTCGTACCAGCAATGGCGCTGCCCCGAGGCTCGCCGTGGCCGTGCAGGACGACGCCACGCCCGTCAAGAGCGTGCTCGGCAGCAACGTCTCGCCGCGCTCCGCCTCGAGGAAGTCGCGCATAGGCGCCAGCAGCACCGCCTCTGCCTCCACGTCCAACGCCCCGTCGCGTCCGCCCTCTGCCCTCGACGCCTCGCACGGCCCCGCCCCGCCGCGCCTGGCAGTCAGTGGAGGCAACCGCCTGCGCGCCTCGCCGGCACAGACGCCCCGGCTGCCCCTCGCCAGCGTGTACCCTCACGTGCCCTCTGGCAGCGCCTCGGCCAGGCTCGCCTCCCCGACCTTCTTCCACGCCAACGATGTCCGCCCTCCGCCCGAGCCCACATCGGCGCCCTCGCAGAAAAAGGCGTCGGCCTTCTTCTACGCAAACGGCAAGCAGGACGATAGCCGGAAGCATGGCGCGCCCTCCCCGCCCTTGTCTTCCATCGGCAGGGCACAGTCGGAGAGCAAGTTCTTCCACGCAGACTCCATCTCGGAAGTGCGCAGTACCCCACCAGTACTCACCCCCGTCTCGACATCGCCAGAGCCCCCGTCCACCCGGAACCCTCCCTCACATCGACCGGCATCGCCGACAAAAGACTTCTCCCATCTCTCGTACCGGAAAGGCGCTTCCCAGGTCATGCGGCCAGCTCTTCATTCGCGCAACTCGGGACTGTCGGTATTGTCTGCAGCCAATCCGCCTGATGTTTCTGAGCAATCGAGGAGGAGATCTAGCGCTGCTTCGTCTATTATGAGGGCAAATCACGTCAAGAGTGCTAGTCTGTCTTCTATTGATTCCGTTGTTGAGTCCAAGACGGCGCCGTCAAACGACCAGACATTTCTGATGCCCAGCCCGCTGCACACCGAGAACCACATGTCCAGCAATGGGTCGAGGCCGGAAAGCTTAGCATCAGCGCCGTCCCCGCCCATGACTACCTTCTCCGGGCTGCCGTCTCCCCGCACAAGTGTTGGTGGTCAAAGTGCACTGGAGATGATGAACGAGCTGGCCGCCAACGCGCGACGAGAGCGCAAGGTGCTCGACCTGGAGATCAGCAACTCTTCACTACTCGCCATCAACCGCTCGCTGGAGAAGGAAGTCCGCAAGCAAAAGGCCGAGCTAAGGCGATACCGGCGTTTGACTCTATCTGGTCGCTTTTCCACCGGTCCAACCGACCCTACTCTCGAGAACGACTCCACAGCAGAAGCCAGCGACACAGGGAAACTGTCAGACATGGACGAGGATGGCGAAACTTCCGACTCGGAAGATTCCGACTCAGACTCCGAACAGGAAGACTTGGAAGATTCCTCCGAACACGCCGACTCCATCGACGACAGCGCACAAAGCAGCAGCGACCGCTCCTCCTCCGCCCCCACCCCACACCACCACATCCGCGACGAAAAGCGCCTCCAACTCGACCTCACAAAGCACCACTCTCTCCTCCTCGACAGCCAGAAAATGAACCAGAGCCTCAAGCGCTGCCTCGGCTGGACAGAGCAGCTCATCAAAGACGGCCAAAAAGCCCTCGCCTACAAAGTCCACGCCAGCGACGTCAAGCTCGGCGGCCGCGTCCTCGTCGTCGAAGACGACGCTGATGCGAATTCCCTGCTCAGTCCGTGGAGTCCGCTGAAGGGCGCGGGGGATTCTTTGGATTTGGTGCCCGTGGATGGGCTGGAGAGGGCGGGCGATCGGGATAGTGGGGTGGATGTTAGGGGGTTGGCGTTACAGTTGCCGCTTGGATCGCCGTTTGAGGACAAGATTCGCAGGTTGTATGATGGGATTGGGGAGCTGGAGAGGGCGTGACAGGTGCCGTGGGCGCTGCTTGTGGGCGCTGTTCTTGCGTGCTTTGTGGCGCTTTTGTGGTATGCATGGCGCACTATAAGTTCCACGACGCTGTAACCACACGGTAATGTCTGGTACTTCTCACTCGGATCCATGGCCGTTGCTTGTCTCGTCCAGTCCAGTCTCATCCGTCCCCTTTCCTTTTCCTCATATCTCTAACTAAACCGGGCATTGGCGTTTCTTGGGGCTTCGCATATGGGGTTTTTGATCTCTTCGCGCTTTGCATAGTAAGGGGGAAAAGATCTTTTTGTTTGCTTAGTTGGTTGGTTGGTTGGCTTGGCTGGCTTGGTCGTGGTTATGGCGGTATTTGCAAATATCTGTCTTGTCTGGTTGTCTTGTCTGTACATCTTTATGAGATACCCCCCCTTTTTTACCACACCCCTTTACCTTTTTTGGACTTACTCTTATACATACGCATACATGTACATACAAACATAGCAAGACAGCAAAGTGTAGAGAATAGCGACTGCATATCTACGTACCTGTGAGTGAGCGACTCGCTAAGTGGAACAGTTCATTCATTGCTTCATCCTTCATTTCACAACGCAACGCCACGCTATATAATCAATCGCCCGGCAAAAGAGAAACATGGATACCGAATAAGACCAGCGCTCGTCTATCTTTCTAATGTGTAGGGTATCTATGATACGGTATGTAAAGACGCCAATTGCACCATTCAGAAAACGGACTTGATAACGCCGCACGCCACGCCGTGCCGCCATTCTCGCAAGAAAAAACACGCAACGCACGCACACAACGCAAAAAAGCACAGACAGCGAGATGTTCACGCCCAATACCCCAGTAAAGCCATGATACCTGCCGAAAATTAGTAACCGGCCAGGAAAAGAGTGGATAGGAAGAAACATACCAGCGCCCAACATCATCAGCCCAAAAGCCCACAACGTCCTACTCAACGGCCCATTCTGCATATACGGGCTAAACATAAACTCATGCGCCATAAGCTCAATCAAACCCGTGTAGATCAAAATCCCCCCACTGATAGAATCAAACACGCCATTAACAATCAGCGTCGTGCGACTCCCAGGCGCAATGCTCTGCCGCGCGCCCAACCCGACCGCAATCGCAATAGGCGTAGACACACCATACCCCACAGCGAGCAGAAACGGCGTCCAGCGCTTCGCCCTCGGCCAAGGGACTTCCGCGAGACGCGTGCCGAGACCCAGGCCCTCGAAGGTCTGGTGGAAGACGAGGACGACGTAGAGGGTGACGAATTCGTCGCCTGCGACGGCGAGTGTCAGGCCGATGAAGATGGAGTGGAAGATGACGCCGAACTCGAGGATGAAGATGGCGGTTAGTTGTGCGGCGTAGGTTTCTGGCACGAGGCCTTGCGCTTCCCAGGTTGGGGGGAGGTCCTCGTTGGCGATGTGGTCGCGCTGGTGGCCGAGGTGGTCGTCGCCGCGGACGTGCGGGTTGCTGGTGCTGGCTTCGCTGGAGGGGGGGCTGTGTTTGCGGTCTGCGAGGCTGAGGGTGTCGGGGTTGGTGGGGTGGGGGGGTTCGCTGGAGTGCGAGTGCGAGTGGGAATGGGAGTGTTCGGCGCCGCCGAATTTCGCGAAGCGCATCGTCATTAGTTCGAGGAAGAGCATCATGAAGATTACGATTAGGGGGATGCCTTCGGCCCAGGGGTAGGCGACGATGGTGCCTGTTAAACATGGGTTGCTGAGCGCTTCGTTGGCGGGCGCAAGGAGATGGATGAACGCTGTCGCTATGATGATTCCTGACCCAAAGTACTTTACTATGAAGAACACCCATTCTGGTACTAGCTTTGTTTTCTGCCGCCTCGCGATTATGGGGAATACTGCGCCTGGGCGGTGTCAGTGAGGGCAGGGCGTTCGGAGTGTAGCCAAGTCACCAACCTAATGTCGATCCAACGAAAATGACAAAAATCGTGGATATGCGCAGAGCCATGCGCCCGTCGTAGTCGTTGTCCGAGCTGCATTCCACCGGCGCGGTATCCTCCTGGCGCAGCACAAGCCGTGCCATATCCCTGGTGACGGTCTCCATTTTTCCCGTGTTATGTGGTGGTTACGCAGAAACGCGATAAAGCGCTCTTGTAATCGACTGAGCCCTTCGATCCAGTACCAGACGTCCGTCCCACGGGATAATAACCAGATTCCGACGGCGAGTTTGCACAACACTCAGTCTTTGGCGCGATAGTAAGTAAATACCAGCGGGAAGTCTTTGTGCTGTCGAGTGTCAAAGCGGAAGGATACAGGCTTTATTTGTCGGGAACCAGGGGAGATGAGCACATTGATGGACGTCCGGAAGGAAAGCGCCCGCATTGCTCGGTATATCAGTGTTGAGAATTTTGGCAGGTGTCGTTTTGGAGCACCTTGATGTCTACGCTAGGCGGGAACCCACTCAAGTGCCGAATGGACATGACCCGGCGGGATTTCCGCATTCTACCGAGTCGTCATGATTTGAGATGGAGAACAAGCAACGAGTGGAGGAGATTAGAACAAACGACGCGTTTGGAGGTTTGGTGCAGTGAGGATTGTGTGGTTATCGCGACGTGGAGGCGAGGCGGATTGACGGAGATATACTGCTGAGCCCCCTGTCAGATCTGTCAACCACTCTTTGACTAAATAGATGGTTTGACCCAGTCCTGACGTAGCCAATTGTCACGCCCCACTACTAGGTCCATTTATCCTAATCCAACGTACGATGGTGGGTTATCTTGAGGAGCCTCGTAAGGCACACCGGCGACATGAATTTGTTTGTTCGTTGTACAACACCTGCGCGACTTGAAGCGATGAGGTTTGTATCGGGCGAAATTCACCGGCGGTTTCCTGCCATCTCTCCCCACGTTCTCGGGAGCTCTACATAGTAAGACACAAATCTACATGCGACAACGATATACTACTGAGTGTAAGTTTTGAGAATTCAGAATCAGAACATCGCATCCGTTGGTGTGTTTGTTAGTGATCGACTGGGACTTGTAAAACTCAAACAGCGAGGCAGTGGGACATTACACTGCATACCTTTTAGTTTTTTACTGAACATATGATATAGTAGCTATCAAACTGCGCGAGTCTCGTCACGATCGAAATAGCTAATGATTGTATATGCTGGGTACACAATACTGCACTCGAATTGATATGTCCTAGAAAAAAAGACTCGTTGAGGCTCTCGATATTGTCACATTCTCTCGGTGAAGATTTCCACTTCAAAGCTGCAAAATACACCACACTGAGTGTCAAATCACATCACATACATCAAACGCCATCTTCACACCCGTACCGTCAAGTTCAACATAATCACCGACTAAAAACCGTGACTACCACCAAATGCCCCTATCAACCCACCCCCCTACCTCTCACCAACCTCAACCCCCACACACCAAGCACCATGAAACCCCTCACACCGCTCATCCTGTACACACTCTCCACCACCACCAACCCAACCATCAACGTATCCTCAAAAACCCCTACCTTCATAACATCTATCGTAACGGCGACAACCCCCCAGACATCAGTACATACCATATCAAACACCCCAGCACCACCGAACAAGGAGACAAACAGCATCATCCCCGGCACTCTATTGAACTCACATAACGAACCCAAACCCCCCGAACTCTTCCCCGGCAATACATGCATCTACACAACCCTCCCCCTCCCCGCGCACACACTGACAGAGTTCTGTGCGAACGTTTATGCAAAGAAACCGTACCGAGGGCGGTTGGGTGTACAGATCCTAGGCCGTGAAACGGATGTGCTCGTCAGCGAGGAGAACGCTGTGGATGTTTGTGGGAGGTCTGCGGATAGTGGACTAACAGACGAGGAGAGCGAAGGTGGGGATGGGGAGGTGTATATCGGGTTCCACGTCCCCTGGCCTGTGGTAGAGGAGCAGGAACACAAGGGCGAGCCATGGGTGGAAGGTTGCGCATATCCAGTTATGCTCCTGGTAAGTCGGGAGGATGCGGTGGGGGTGTGTTGTGCGGATATCGAAGGTGCTACTCATGTTGTGGAGTTGTCGGTTCGGATGCAAGCTGCTACGACGACGCAGAACTTGTGTCTTGCTTCGTTGGCGGGACGCTCGTGTTTCTCGTCAGTCTTGAGTACGACTATGATGGCGCATCCTTCGACTACAAGGCAACACTTTCCCCTTCCAACCTTACCCTCCACCCCAGTTCAAAAATACTCATCACCCACAACCCCGGCAGCACAAGGCGACGACGATCAACATCTAACCTCATCTACATCTACATCCACAGAAGAGCAGAGCTCTTCCCAAGAAAAGCACGTCAGTGTAGTTTGGGGCAGAGTAACGCACACCCCGATGGCGTGGACCGTGTATTTGGGGTGGGTGATGTTTGGGATGCAGATTGTGGGTGGGATGTGGCAGTTTGGCAGGCACTTGAGGGGCGATTGGAGGGTGGGGAGGTGGTTTGTTTTGTGAGTGTATGTGTGGGAGGAGGTGGTTTTAGGACTCGAGTTGCGATCTGATGAATTGGGTGTGGAGTTGTGAAGCCTTCCAATTTCTGTTTTCAAATACCGAAAGTACAATCGGCTGGATATTCTTACTCTGCCGTCTTCCGTTAGAGTCCGAGTTGAGGTGAACATGGTAGAGCTGAGATGTTGTTGATATTCAAGTAAAGCTATGCTGATGCGATGCTGTGCGTGTATAAACCGTCTAGTGTGGGTATCATGCCGAACCTGCTCAATCCCATTTCCAGGTTCAATTTAGCAGAATTCTTGCATCCTCTTTGTTGATCATGACCTCCTCGCCTTCCCACGAATACTTCCGCCGAACGAGTTCAAACACGATCAAGCCAGCGCTTGTACTCGGCACCTGCCGAATGGTGCCCATGACGAAGCCTTTGTAGAGGTATCTTCTCCACCCACCAGCTCTCTTGGCTAGTATCTTGCACTGGGCAAAGGTCTCCTCATAGGCGTGGTAGTATCGGCGCATGATTTGCGAAGGCTTGTTCTCTTGGAGTGCCTGGAAGTCGAGGGCTTCCAGGCGGCGGTAGTGTACCTCTTGGATCTCGGTGAGGGGATGTTGAATGAGTTGCGAGGTGATGGACGCAGATATGCCTGCCAAGAGGAGAAATGCAGGCTCCAAGGCGAAATGGGGCTTGATGACAGGCCGGTCATCGTCGTCGCCGTGGTACTGAGCGCCTTTCTCGACTAGGGCGTCACGCGTCCGACTGCCGTAGTAATGGGTGACGTATTCGTAATATGCTTGACTCTTGACAGTCTCAAAGGTTCCGAAGAAGACTGCGGCGCCGAAAGCGTCTTTGAAGAGACTCAGAGTCCAGCCTGCGAATATGCCCTGTAGACCGAGAGAACGCAGCTTGTGGCCTGCAAAATGCCACATGGTCTTGTATCTGCCATCGAGGATGTCGGCGGTGCGGAAGCGGGTTTGCAGGGCATCGAAGGGTGCGGCAACGATAGACTGAAACCCGCCTGCTATCAGGCCAGCAGTGAAGGTGACTGACGGAGATGGTGGGGGGTAGATGCGCTTGGTCTGGTAGGAGGAGGGTTCATGCAGCGAGGAGAGGCTGTGGAGGTAGGCCGTGTAGAGGACTGCACCGATGCTGTTCAGGATCAGCGCTGGCGTGCTTTGTGCGTGTGAAGCGCATACCAAGTGTTGGCCATCAACGGCGGTAGCACCTGGTTCGGTATGAAGGCCCATCCTTTCGTGCGTATGGCATGCGCCAGGACGGCAGGCGTAGTCATCCTCCACGACCAGCTTGCGTTGGCAGCGACATAAGGATTGATGGCCCTCGCATAGCCCATGTAGTCGATGCGACCGCGGAAAAAGGCCTTGACAGGGGCTCGAAAGTAAAAGGCGACCATGCGAGCAGCTACGGCACGCATACCAGCGGCCTGCACACCCGTCGCGGGCGCCTTGTTGGGCTGCTGCGGGCTGTCGGGCGATGTATCACTGCGGCCATGGCTGCGAGTGGAAGTGCGAGTGCGAGTGGGAGTTGGTGTGGGCGTGGGCGAGGGGGCGGGAGAGACTCCAGCGCGCACACTGGAGCCGGTCGTCATCGCATAGCTGGGTGAGAGAAAGCTGCAGACCCATGGGTGAGGGGCTGCTGTGCTAAGAGGTGAAGGTGGATGCAAGTGGTGTCTAGTGCGAGGCGCGTCGACGCGACGCCTTGGCATCCGTAACCTGAGAGCTGTCGCGACTTTTCTCACTCCTCACTCTTTGTCTCCGGCTTCCCTCGCCGCCGTCAACCCGCTCCAGGCCTCTACGCGCCTCCTCCCACCACCATGGCCGATGAAATCGTCATCGACAAGCAGCTCTTCCACGAGCGCCTGAGCAACTTTGTCGCAAAGTGGAAGACGGACAAGCGCTCAGGCGACTCCATCTTCCAGGGCGCAAGCTCGATCGCAACTGTCGTGGGCAAGCAGAGCGACCCAGGCATCTACCTCAAGCCCGCCGCCTTCCAAGTGAGTTTGCAGCAGCGAGAGAATGCGCATAGGAGGCTAACCACACGATTCCATAGTTGTGGTTGTTAGGCTACGAGTTCCCGTCGACTCTGCTTATTATTACGCCCGACCTGCTCCAAATCGTCACAACCAAGAAGAAGGGTGCGTACCAGAAGCCTGCCTAGATAAAGGACCAACATGCGGCTAACACGGGTGACGCAGCTTCGTACTTGGAGCCGCTCAAGGGTGGCAAGGTGCCCGTTGAGATTCTCGTTCGCGGAAAGGACGCCGATGAGAACAAGAAGCAGTTCCAGACATGCTTGGACACGCTCAAGAAGGCGGGCAAGAAGGTCGCCGTGCTTAAGAAGGACCACTCGGCTGGAGCCTTTGCCGAGGAGTGGAAGGCTGCGCTACAGGAGGCTGCCATCAAGGAGGAGGACCAGGTCGACCTGGCGCCTGTTCTCTCCAACGCCGCCTTGTCTGTCAAGGACGAGAAGGAGCTTGTGAGTTGGCTGTATTCCCTGTGAATGTGCAAAACACCTCTAACCCGTTTACAGCGCATCATCCGCGATGCTTCCCGAGCCTCCAGCGCCCTCATGACCAACTACTTCGTCGAGGAAATGTCCGACATCCTTGACACGGAAAAGAAGGTCACCCACCGAACCCTCGCCGACAAAGTCTCCAACAAAATCGATGACACCAAGTTCTTTGAGAAGCAAAAGGTGTCCAAGGCCTTTGACAGTGTTCAACTTGACTGGTGCCTGCAGCCCACGGTACAGAGTGGTGGAACCTACGATCTCAAATTCGCCTCCGAGCCCGACGACAGCAACCTGCACGCAGGTGTCATCATCTCCTCGCTTGGTCTCCGTTACCAAACATACGGCGCCATGGTCGGCCGGACATATATGGTTGGCCCCAACAAGGAGCAAGAGAACGCCTACAAACTGCTATTGGCCATCCACGAACTCGTCATCAAGTCCATCAAGGATGGCGTAGTGGCAAAGGACGTATACAGCAAGGCTCTGGCCCACCTGAAGTCGAAGAAGCCAGAATACGAGAAGAACTTTGTCAAAAACGTAGGATACGGTATCGGTACCGAGAACAAAGACAACACGCTTCTTCTCAGCGGCAAGAACCTGCGCGTTCTGAAGGATGGCATGACATTGGTCGTCCAGACAGGTTTCCAGGACCTGGAAAATGGCAAGCCGCAGGATAAGAAGAGCAAGAGCTACTCACTTGTTCTGACGGACACTGTTCGCGTTGGGCAGGGAGACTGTGCAGTCTTCACTAAGGACACAGCTTCCGATCTGGATGCCATCTCCTTCTTCTTCAACGACGAGGAAGAAGAGGAGGCGAAGCCCAAAGTAAAGAAAGAGCGTGCTCCCGCTATTGCGCAAACCAACATCACCAAGACTCGTACACGACACGAGCGAACGACCAATCAAGATGCAGAGAAGGAAGAACAGCGGCGACAACATCAAAAAGAGTTGCATGCCAAGAAGCAGCAGGAGGGCCTGGAAGAGTACGGCGAGGATGCGAAGGCTCTCAACGGTACCGAGGAGAAGAAGTTCAAAAAGTTCGAGTCGTACAAGCGCGATAACATGTTGCCTACTTCAGTCGCCAAGTTGGAGATTGTTGTGGACAAGAAGGCCTTGACTGTCCTTCTTCCCATCATGGGTCGGCCCGTACCATTCCACATCAACACAATCAAGAACGCCTCTCACACTCCCGAGGCCGACTTCACATCACTCCGTATCAACTTCCTCTCCCCAGGTCAGGGTGTCGGCAGGAAAGACGATCAACCTTTCGAAGATCCCAATGCACACTTTATTCGTAGTCTGACCTTCCGCTCACACGACATTGATCGCATCGACCAGATTACGAAAGATATTACGGATTTGAAGAAGGACGTCGTCAGACGCGAGACGGAGAAGAAGCAACTGGAGGATGTCGTGGAGCAAGACAAGCTCATCCTTCTGAAGAGTCAGTATATACCACTGTCAGATTGTACCCTATGCTAACAAACAACAGCCCGAAAGCCCTTCATGCTCGATCTTATCTTCATCCGACCTGCACTCGACGGCAAGCGTATTCCCGGAAGCGTCGAGATTCACCAGAACGGTCTGCGCTACGTCCACGGTGCCAACGGCTCCAAGGTCGAGATTCTGTTTAGCAACATGAAGCATCTGTTTTTCCAGCCTTCGCAACACGAGCTGATCGTCATCATCCACGTCCACCTCAAAAACCCCATCATGCTCGGCAAGAAGAAGACCAAGGACATTCAATTTGTCCGTGAAGCCACAGAAATGCAGTTTGACGAGACAGGTAACCGCAAGCGTCGACACAAGTTCGGCGACGAGGAGGAGTTTGAGCAGGAACAGGAAGAGCGCAGGCGGCGAGCAGCTCTCGACAAGGAGTTCAAGAACTTCGCCGAGAAGATCGCAGACGCTGCGCGGAACGAGAACGTCAGCGTCGACATTCCTTACCGTGAACTTGGTTTCAACGGTGTGCCATCGCGCTCATCGGTGCTCGTGCAGCCCACCACAGACTGCTTGGTACAACTCACTGAACCTCCGTTCACCTGCCTTACACTCTCCGAGATTGAAATCGTTCACCTCGAACGTGTACAGTTTGGCCTGCGAAACTTCGATATGGTCGTTGTTTTCAAGGACTACAACCGTCCTCCCGTACACATCAACACCATCCCTGTCGAATCGCTGGATCCGGTCAAGGATTGGCTAGACTCCGTCGACATCCCCTTCAGCGAGGGACCACTCAACTTGAACTGGGCCACCATCATGAAGACGGTCACGTCAGACCCGCATTCCTTCTTCGCTGACGGCGGTTGGTCGTTCTTGGCCACCGACTCCGACGACGAGGACGGCCAGGAGGAGGAGGAAGAATCTGCATTTGAGGTCTCGGAGTCTGAGCTCGCCATCTCGGATGAGTCGTCCGAGGAGAGCGACTTTGACGAGAACGCATCCGACGAGATGAGTGACGAGGGGTCCGAGGATGATTTCTCCGAGGGCGAGTCGTGGGATGAACTGGACAAGAAGGCGGCCAAGAAGGACAAGGAGACGGCGCAAGACGAAGATGAGGATGACGGGAAAGCAAAGAAGAGGAAGCGCTGAACTGACACCGTGCCGGATGAATAGTCTAGGCATATTGCCGGTACAGCGCGCGCATGCGGTCTTGGCCATATTTGGATTATCTTCCGGGCAAGTCACTTGGTTTGCTTTCTCTTTTTTTCCTGCTTTTTGCACTGCTTCATGTAATATCGGGCACGAGTCGGACTCTGAGATGCGGGCTGTGATACCGGATTCAAGTCGGGCTTTGGCGTTTGACACACTTTTTTACAAAATGATTGGTACTTTAAGTTCGCAAATATGTGCTACCGCTTCGAACTAGCTCGTCTTTTGGGCTCTGTGATGTTGGCAGCAGTTCAATCTCTCCAGGATGAATCAGGACTGCGATCAAGAAGTGTCTATCTATCAGTTAATCCTGCTACATGCCCACCGCAAAAGCACAGCCTCTTCCCATCATCCACGAACAGCCGATTGACTTCAATGGCAGCCCATTTCCAGCGCCTCCCGTTAAAATCATGATGAACCTCTACTCCATTATATCTATACCGACCTCCATCTCCCCGTGGCAGGATCAAGCAGGATTATACCCCTTACTCCACTCCGTACAATCCAGATCCAACAAACTCGTATCCAGATTCCTGCACGTCACCAGACTCGACCCGTTAATAGTCCGAATATCCACATTCTCCGCGACAATGCCCGAGCAGGTATCCGGGCTCGAGCAGACAAGGTGGCCAACAAGGGGCGCAAAGACACGATTCGAGCGCCCGCGGATATTGCGGAATGTGATATCCGTAATATTGAGTTTAGACTAGTAGTTTTCACGTCAGCCAAGAACGGCGAAAGAAGGACGGGGACGCGCCAAAAAAAAACTAAAAAACTTACAGGATGCTTGAAACACTCCTCCTCATCATCCTGCCCATAGCATTGCGTAATCGTCAGCCCGTAGTCGACGTTATCCAGAAACATGCCGTCGTACGTCACATTGCGGACTAGCCCGCGTCCGCCGCCGCCGGACAGATTGTCTGATTTCTCGGAGAAGGAATCGGGCCAGACTTTTATGCGCGCGCCTTCGGACGAGTTGAACATGCTGATGTTGCGCACGAGGATGTTTTGCACGTAGTCGATGCGCGCGGGGTATTGGCCTAGGCTGCCGACGGAGATGCCGTGTGAGCCGTTGCAGTGCAGGTTTTGGACGAGGATGTTTGTGGAGTTGGGCTTGAAGGATACGCAGTCTGTGGGAGTTAGTTAGTCGTGGGTTGGGGGATGGGGGATGGAGAAAGGGGGAGGGAGACGGGGGACGACATACCATCTCCATTTGTGATTGTCGAGTTCTCTATGACTATACTGTCGGACCGGTAGATGTCCCAGCCATCCGTGTTTTTCTCAAAATTCCCGTTGTTGCTGGTGGAGAAGAGGTCCAGGCCGGAATACACCACGTCGGTGGAGTTTATGACGACGTTGTGCCAGAAAGGTGAGTCCCATAGTTTGATGTTGCTTATGCTTCCGCTGTCAAGTCCTACGATGGCGAATAGGACTGGACGCTTGATCTTGCTGTCTTTCGCGCGTCCGTCGTACCACGCCTGGCCGTTACCGTTCACTTCTCCCCCACCGAAGACATTGACGTCTTTTCCGCCCAGCATGAAGAATGAAGTAGCGTTCTGGTACTGCAGGTCGAAGGCGTTGGCCTGCCAGTAGGTCAGGTTGTCCGTAAAGGAGAGACGACCTTGGATATCGAGATCGACCGCGGAGAGACCGGTGAGGTCTAGCGGAGAAGCGATCGTGTATGTGAAATCCTCTCCGAAAATAACATGGCCGCCATGATTGCACTCCTGAACTGCTTGGATGATGTTTTCGGCATCATCAGTCTCGAGGTCGTTGTAAGATGCGGCTACACACGTTCTGTTGCGAGATGGCGATGACTCGGCGTGGTGAGGACGAGGGCTTCGTAAGGTCTCAAGAAATGTCTCGGTTACTGTGGCCGAGGACACCAGGGGAGACAAAAGTAGCAGTGCACCTAACACTGAAGTTGTATGAGCCAACATATTGAAGACGAAACTTAAAATATTTGATGGCCCGACAGATCACCAAGCCCATTCCCCGGGCTCTGGGTTCGTATCTATTATACGCCATGCCCAGAGATTCGTCCCCACGATCTCCCGGTAGTAGATGGTAGTCTCTCCGTCCGTAGGATCTATCATTGCCACTTTTTAGAGCCCTGGCGTCGCGGGGTCAGGTCAACAATCGTGTTTAAGCTTTTTGGAGTATCCACAAAAGTTTATGCTTTTCGGCGTTTCGGAGGAGACATACGCACTGGGGTAGTGTACCCCATGGGGTAGCGAATCTTGTGGGGGTTAGCATGTCCAGATCCCGGCCGTGGAGGTTGATAGATCGTGACATTGTCCTTGAGAGTTGATTCAAGTGCGAAGAGAAACCGTTCGCTGGAAGTTATTTGTAGACTGCATGCATGCAGTATATGATATAATCGAGAAATCCATAAGTAGCCATACGCGCATGGTGGATGCGATAATGCTGGGATTGTGAGGTCGAGTCGTCTTCGGCAACGGAATCGACACGATTTGATGTAGGATCCTGGACGGACTCCACATTGTTCCACCAATCGTCAGTCAAGGGCTCTTCAGGCCCATGGTGTCCATGCATGGGCTTTAGATGAACCTGCTGGAGACAGATCTTTGGGCCTGCGACGATATACTCGAGCCATCGGAGTGTGTAGCATGGATGGAGAGATGCATACATAGGTACAGTTGTTGATGTTGCTTTTGGCTCGCGTGTTCCCGAGCAAGGATTGGCGCTTAGCTTCGCTTCCACTGTTCCTCCAGCCAGACGTCATCTTTGCTGAGCATTCTTCTGTATTAAGAAACGGAACTCCTGTTGTCGCGGGAAAAAGATGCTATCACTACAGTCAAAACCAGATCGCTCGCCTTGAGAGAATCACGTAAAACCAAGAAGCACAACATCTGTAGATGCGATATCGGCTCCGATATTTATGCCTGAATGCCAAAACTGGGACTGCCTTTATCGCTTCCACCCTCACTCCTGTTAGATACATACGACACTCTGTCTCCCGCACTATGGATTCTCCGCTCCCCATTAAGCTGGCAATCCTCGACGACTATCATAACATTGCATTACATCACTTCTCTCACATTGACAGCTCAAAGATCGATATAACAGTCTTCCACGATACCCTCCCCGCCTACTCGCACCCTAAAACCACCAATGCCGACTCCAAAGCTCTCGTCAACCGCCTCAAGCCCTTCTCAGCTCTTTCCACGATGCGCGAGCGTACCGCGTTCCCAGGCGAGCTCCTCCGACAGCTTCCCAATCTCAAAGTCATCTTCGCGACAGGGGCCAAGTTCGAGAGCTGGGATTTGGATGTAATGAAGGAGCTGGGCATCAAAGTTTGTGCCGCGCCAGGAAAGGGAAGGACAGACGGTCGAGGCAGACAGTCTCCACGGTCCTTACCGGTCAAGAAGGGTGGTGGACATCCTACGACGCAACATGTTTGGGCGCTTATACTGGCTTTGGCGCGGAACGTGGCCGCTGATGACGCTGTCGTGAAGGGGAAACACAATTCTGCGGCATGGCAGACAGAACTTGCGATTGGCTTGCAGGGAAAGACTCTGGGCCTTGTTGGTCTCGGAAGAATTGGTTCGCATGTGGCAAGAGTGGGTGTGTTAGCGTTTGGAATGAAGGTCGTCTGTTGGAGCGCGAACCTGACACAAGAGAAAGCGGACCAGCTGGCAGAGGAGGTGGGTCTACCAGTCAGAGGAGGAGGTATGGCTGGTGACGACGAGAAGACGTTCAAGGTAACGAGCAAGAAAGAACTGTTCGAGACGTCTGATGTGATCAGCGTGCACTATGTGCTCAGCGAGCGATCCAGAGCTATCGTAAGTGCACAGGAACTACGCTGGATGAAATCCTCCGGACTTCTGGTCAATACATCTCGAGGTCCGCTTGTTGATGAAGCTGCGCTTCTGGATACACTTAGGAACGGTCGGATACGAGGGGCTGCTTTGGATGTCTTTGACATTGAGCCGTTACCGGCGGACAGTCCCTGGCGGACAGAAGACTGGGACGATCCATCTAAGAGTAGAGTGTTGTTGACTCCGCACATGGGATATGTGGAAGAGGGGACATTGACAACATGGTATGAAGAGACAGCAGAGAACGTGGAAAGACTTGTCGAAAGCAAAGAGCTGTTGCATTTGATCATGTAACAACTACTCTCAACATTTCGGATCACAACAAGGTACGCCAAAGTCAAAATGAGATCAGTCCACCGGAGAAAGGAGAGGGTATATTAAATGCTATAGATATAATGGTCAAAAGTTGGTATCATCACGCGAAACACTCGACCCCCACTCTTCATCGGTGACATGGAAACTACGCTCAACCATAATTTGTAATCCGTCATTTGCATTGCTCTGAGCACTCTGCCAGTTTATATCCATCTCGCTTCCACGGTCGTTTCTGTTGTCGTCGACAGCGTGGCTCGGCCAGTCTGGCGACCCGTTACGGTCGGTGGTTTTTCGTAGCGACTCTTCGTCCGAGTGCCTTGTTTCCGCTACAATAGACATTTTGTACATGCCGAAATCATTCTGACTTGGTTTTGGACGACTGCTAACATTTACGCTGTCTGCAGGTGTAGATTTACCGTATGGCTTTTGGCTTGGAAGTGTGAGGTTTCCAAATTTCTGAACGATCAATTGGAATAGAGGACGGAGAGCTGCAAGACTGCCTGCTGTGATGCTCAGACCTTGTTCGACGGTCGACCATATCGCAATGTCGAGTGTGGCCCCTAGATAAGTCAGTTCAAACTCATTCACGAGACGGACATACAGATAACTTACACAAAAAGTCTGGTGACCCGATCTCGGTAAGAAACGGCAATCGAGCTGTCACTGCTGCACTCGCGCTGACAGAACTATGAGCTTTGAACGCACGTCGAGGATGGACTACTCACATGACTCCCATGGTAAGAAGTGGTATCAGGGCGATTTTAGTTCCCCGTTTCAATTGCAGGTTGTAAACAACAAAGGCTGGCAGTACAGCGAAAACTAGATCCGAGATGATAGTGCAGACGCTGTAAATGAAGGCAAGAGCAATGACAACATCCATATTGACACAAGTGCCGTCCTGAGTCTTGTCCCAGAAGTATGAGACTGGGTAGCATTGAAAGACCGTGACGAAGAAGAAGGTCAACCCGGCTACGACTGTGGTGCCCATAGCCGCGTAAACAATCAAGATGTGGATCCTGTTGGTAAGGATTCGAAGGAGAAAGCACCCAATCGATATTTTGGTCAGAACTGTCGAGGTGCAGTAGCCGAGATAGCAGTACCACCAACAGTTCTTCGCGGTTTGGATGCCTTCGGTGGATAGATCACTATGATGTCGGCCAGTTCCATCTACTCTGGTCAGCATGATCGGCTTCCCACAACCGAGAAATACTCACAGTGTACTCCGACCATGGAAGAGGAAGCATACAAAACGAAGACCAGCTACTATGTGGTTAGCACACTTGACTTTCGTTTACCAAAGAACACTCACAGTCGCGAGGACCATCAGCCAATCGTCGAGTCCAAAAACCTTTACCATCCTGACGCGAACAAAGCATCTCATAATGTTCGACACCACTGCCATGACCACGAAGGCGATATCAACAGCAAGAAGCTGGGGCCCTCGGTTTGGAATCATCGTGTCCGTCGGTATGGAAACCTATCCGTAGGAGTAAAAAGCGATTCCAGAGCAGCTCTCTCGTTCGAGGGATGACCCGTATGCTTATGTACAACCTTACCTATGTTGAGCTGACATGTGGGTCTTCGCAGGCATAGGTATTGGACTGACATGTTCTACTTAGCGTATGAACAAGAACTAGTGACATGCTGCTGCACAAACAGTCTGGATCGTTCACGCCATGCCTGCATCCGGGGCTTGCGAAGCACTAGTCCCAGGAACATGTTGATGTGACGTTGAATGTAACTAATCAAGGCGTGCCACAATGTAATTCCCCTGCATGAAAACATTTCCCCGGTGAACAAATGACATTCATGATTCGTGCATGACGTTCTAAGTAGGCAGGCGTTTTGAAAATCGGCTTGTTTGGGCGGGAAGCGTACGCGGCACGCGGTATGGCGCATTGACACTTGATCACTCCATACTAAATCGTTGAAATCAGGGAGGCGCTTTTCGTGAACCCTAGCGCAAACCATACATGCTGTTCGTGTCTGGGCTTGGCCCGCGTGGGGTTTCTGGCTATATTGAAGTCCAAGGAACGCTGGTAATTTTCCAGCCGAGAAGTTGCATTGTGGTGGCACAAGTCAACTTCGCATGCACTTACGCTCATCACTGCCGCTCACCATATCCTACCCCAGTATCGACTTCCAAATAGAGAGCCCATGGAAGATATCCATGCTGGCGTGACCCTTCCAGACCTTGCGGACGGGTCTCCGGTGTCAACAAATCAAAGTGGGATGTGAAACGCCCGGACTCACCTACAGAATGCAACTAATCACAGCTCTACATTAGCTAGATCTCATTATAACCTTATCCGCCCGGCTTCGCCTGCCGAATTTAAGCTACGGGACAAAGAAGCTTCGATCCGCCTCTAATCGAGGCAAAATACTCGACCGGCCGTCTGATGTTGCATTCGACGATCATTGCTGTAGTACGTGATTTTATGGAGGCAGAGCACACTTTGGTGACGATATGCTGTGTCTACAAGAGAAGCCAACGGAATGTCCATCAATGCAAAACAGTGTAACAAAGAGATGGACCTTCAAGAGTTGGATAAAGGACGACCCGAGCGGCCGGAGTCGGCTTTTGGGCAAGGGCCACATCTCTAACTCAATCTGTGCTAGATTATTTCTCCGGCTTTCCGATACACGGGATAGGCGACTCTGAACCCTCCCACCCACGATACAACCGCCATTGCGCAAGCTTACTGCCGGAAACCTCACTTACGTGGTCAATTGTGTGTTTCTGTTGATACCATCATTCAACACGTTGGCGGAATTCCACCGGCTGCCATCAATCAGTTTTTCTCAGATTCTGGCCTGCTTTTCTGGAAGGCCTGTCTAGAACCGTTTATCTGCTGCATTTCAAACAGGGTCGCGTTTTTTACTTATAATTCTGCTTCGATCTTGTTTTAAACTGTACCTGCGAAAGGTACTCAACCAGTGTCGACACGATACGAGTGGGATCGCGTGCAATTGAGGCAGTTTCTAAAGCTCTAGCCTAGTTGAGAAACACGTCGCCAGAGAGCACCGTGTTGTCATCAACATTTGACGAACCATCCTCAAGAAGATATACCAATCGCGCAACAATATGCGGGTCATATACAGTTTATCAGTTCTTCTCTTCTCGTCTCCTTCCACACTCAGCGTTTTTGCTTCAGAACAACAGCCTTTTGAATTTGGAGAGATGTCTGCACCACAATACACCCTGCCTCCGCTCCCATACGCATACGATGTTAGTCCACATTCTATCGCGCTACACCGCTCGAGTCATACTCACTTTTCCAGGCATTGGAACCACACATTTCAGCCCAGATCATGGAGCTCCACCATAGCAAGCATCACCAAACATACATCACGAACTTGAACGGGCTCCTCAAGTCTCAAGCCGAAGCTATTCACGCCTCCGATATCACGTCTCAGGTCGCTGTGCAACAAGGCATCAAGTTTAATGCTGGCGGACATATCAACCATTCACTCTTCTGGCAGAACCTCGCACCTGCTGCCTCCCTAGAAGCAAAGAGTTCTTCTGCTCCAGAGCTCAGCAAGCAGATTGAGGCGGTCTGGGGCGATGTGGAGAAGTTCAAGGAGGCCTTCAACGCAGCTTTGCTTAGCATCCAAGGAAGCGGATGGGGCTGGCTCGTCAAGGTTGAGACCGGAAAGGAGCAAAGACTTGCTATTGTGACAACCAAAGACCAGGATCCCGTGGTGGGCAAAGGCGAAGTCCCAGTGTTTGGAGTCGACATGTGGGAGCACGCATACTATCTACAGGTACGCTACACTACTCTGGGTGGACGAGGTTTCATACTGACGTTGGAAAGTATTTGAACGGTAAAGCCGCCTATGTCCAAAACATCTGGAAAGTGATCAACTGGAAGGTTGCAGAGGATCGCTACCTCGGTTCTCGTGCGGATGCGTTCAAGGTACTCAAGGCATCTATCTGAGCTCTTAGCATGTATCACGAGTCAATGAAAAGCGTGTGTTGCGCTCACCTAAGACTTTGACTTCGATTCGAGGTGCCTAAACATTTTGGAGTACCATAATGTCTTTAGTGTATAGACCAAGCACGTGCTTGGCCAATCGGATGCCCTCCTGAAACATGCTCAAAGCAACTCATTAACCCTCAAAACCTCAAACTCTTCATTCGCACAAGAAACAACCCGTCATTTCCAGTATTCTTCAAAAGGTGATCCTCGCGTCAGAACTGGCCTGGCAAAACTGTGCTATACTCATCTTCCTATTGTACACTCTTGCTACTCATCTCGATCCTTGTCATCTTGCGATACTCAACCCCAATACTCCTTGCACGCCATCATCAACTCAGCTCCTCTATCTCTTTTTCAATATGTGCAACGGCCACTCAACACGCGTCAGTCAGGGAGGCTCTATAGCAGTCCTTCGACCATCACCACAGACCAACCACCTGACGTCCGACGACGAAATGCTTCTATTCTTCACCAACCAGTTTGCCTATCCAGGGACAAGTGTCGAGTTTCAATGCTCAAAGGAGAGTTTTGAACAAGACAGGTGTTGGGTTGTTATACAGTATGTCTGCTTTCCCTCGGAACATCGGCAACTACTGACGATTTCGCAAAGTCGAGACGGAGACCTTTCCGCATCTTCGCAGCAAACACAGTCAAATCCGTTGTACTCGTTTTCTCTAGACTCCGACTTTGATTCTTCGATGCAACTGCCCGAGAGGCTGGATCTGGGCGTTGGTGATGTCGGGATCATCGGGCGAAGAGTGTCTGTAATGGCGAGCTCTACAAAAGGACCTTTGACTGTAGCCGAAGGTATCATCGGTTGGAATTGAAGTTGTGGGGGAGGCGTCGGCATATCTAGGTGCGTTGTGGCGTTATGGATGGGCGGATTACCAGGAGCATTTATACATATGGAGTCCAGGATTGATTACCCAACTTAGTCGTACCAATGCTATACGAGCATCACATCGTCAAAATCTATGTCGTGCATCTTTATGACTTCGCCCTGCATAATCCCGTGGACGTATGCTTCACCCAAAAGCTCATATCCGACGTTTCCATCCACGGTGCTCATCGTCTTCCGGACCACAAACGGTACAGCGCCTTTGTCGAAAACCACGATCTCGTCCCCTTCCTGAGCGCCTCTTGGCACTAGTGCGAAGTATCCCTTTGAAGTGATGGCAAATCGTCGCATCTTTAGCGCAGCTCGAAATGCGATCCTTAGATCTTCGAGTATTTTGGCCGGTTTTCGCGTCCTCAGATTATTGAGGGTAAAATGCCCTTCCTGACGACGAGGACTGTAACTTTGGCCTGGCATTGACGGCATCATCCCTGTGGTGGAATCCAGGATCAGACTGAACACTTCACTGTGCTCAGCAGAAGGTGACGCGGTGCCAGAACCGTCGCGTCCGGCTAGGAGTGTTTGCCAGAAGGCGTCATAGATGGAAATCTTGGGCTTTGGATATCCTTTCTCCTGATACTTAGGTGTGATCAACTTGATGTAAGACGCCCACTCCTGGTTCTCTGTTCGTGGTTCGTCAATACCCAGAATTGGGTTCTGGCTCACACATCCGAGCGTGGCTATACTATCAACAATCTTTCCAGATAAGGTTATTCGTTTCTTGTCTTCGCTCACGTCGACCTTGTACGATAATTTGTTGTAGAACCTTTCCCCGTTCTTGAATTTCCCTCCGGCGTCGTATAAAGCCCATGTCTTGGTAAAGTATCCCAATGTCTCTGTGACGCGAGGCATACTCCAGTCAGGAACCCATGAAGGCTGAAGTGGGACCTCGTGGTCCACGCAGCTGAGACTTTCTAACAGGTTCATATGCAACGTAGACAAGCTGGCTTGGTGATATATCTCTCGAGACGTCACATCGTCCGAGTAATCCGGAAGGATATCCGTTATAGCCATACCCAACACGCCATAAATCTTGTCCTTTAGATTAGTCGCGTCGGCATAGCGTGTTGAGACGAGGATACCCATGAGATGCGTGGGACCATGCGTCTTGAAGTGTAGGCGCTCCGACTGGAGTGAAATGATCACTGAACCAGCTGAAGGCGTCCGCGATTTCGCGACAGATGTGGTAGGGTATTCACAATCGAGAGCGTTGTTTTCCACCAACCACTTCAGAACACCGGACTCTTGTAATTGGAAGCACCAGGCCGCAATGTCCTCCCAATCTGCTTCAGCCTTGCCCCACTTGACATACAACTTACGAGACAAAATGGCCTCCTGAATCGTCCACAATCGAGAAAACCACGGTGTTCGTAGGAACTGCCGAATCTCCCACCAAGAGCGATCCAGAGCTGGTGGGAAGAACAACCTCTCGAAATCATTAGGTGTTATGTCCCCATCAGTCATTTGCAATCTCGAATACACAGTTTCCATCACGTCGAACGCAAGTGTGGGGTCGAAGTCTTCACCATCGCCCAACCAAATAACAGTGTTCGTGGCGTGCGTATAAATCAACCCCATCAGTGGAATCTGTTGTTCCTTTTCTTGTCTATCTGTTTGGTTTATGCAAATTTGGTCGATCCATAGGAAGACGCTATGTTCTGTCGTTCTCAAATGATGCAGCGCACTAGCGAGACTGCTTGTAATCTTGAGGTTTCCATGTCTGAGATGTATGGTTTGGTCAAACACAGGCGCGCCCCAGGTGTAGCTAAGTGCCGTGTACCACATAGGCTCTCCTGTGGCCAGCACCACGGCGTGATTCGAATTCCTCTGGTATGTTAAATTATTGTTACTCCGGTATGTTACGTTATTGTTACTCGGCCAAAGTTGCCTACTAGGATAGGCGAAGTCGATGCTAGCCACATGAAGATCACCCTGAAGCAGGGAACCTGGTTTGGCAGGATAAAGCTCCAAAATACGGATTTCGCCGTTAAGAAGAGGGTGATAGATCGACAGGGGAGTAACTTGTTGCGATGATTGTTCGCTCTCCTGACACTTCTTCTCGGCGACGAATGCATGCAACACCTCTCGATCTTGCTCGTCGAGGCACCCGAGTGCACCGGCAGGCCCATGAACGGTAGCGGCCTGGAAGATGGACGCCTTCTCAAGGACACTCTCTTCCCATGACAAGAAGCAAGTGCAGATGTCTGAATCCAGCCTCGTTGGTCAGCTTCTTCATTCTATACATGTCAGACTGTATGATAAGAATGAATATACCTGCGTAATTCACCGCATGTGCACATGTTTCCGCATGACGGAGAGACCCATTTGTCTTTTTGCTGGCCATCATGGGATGCGGATTGCGTAGATGTGACGGACTCGTGTCAGTTTGAAGTCCAGTTGGGCTCGCATGATGATGGACAGGGGTCGTCAAACCTCGGTACGTCTTTATGAACTGTCACAAAACCGAGTCACTCAACCCATGCTATATTAGATATCCATACAGTTAATATACAACTACATATCGTAGCCAAATTGGACAACTTTGCCTTGTGTTTCCAGCACAGGCTTGCACAGTAACACCGCGTACTGAATAAGAACCCTCATCAAATCGTCATCCAAGTTGCTCGGCTTCTTCCACAGTCAAAATACAAACAAACTATTGCTTCCAGTTGCTCAAATTGGGTTGATATGACCTATTGGAGACCAGTGCTAGAACACTCCTCGTCCAGAGAAGCAGTTGCCGAAATTATAGGTATTGAGGCGAGCACAGATATTTTCCCCCTTTTAGTACGTTCAGTAGACTTGGTGTATGAGCAACATCGAATTCTCAAGGTATGGAATGAGCTGCAGAGGGCGAGTCAGGTCCAGAGAATCAACGTGTATCGAGTCCAGCTCGACGTTTCCTTAGGACACAGATAGTGGAGGGTTTAACTAACCTCATGCGACATGGGCAGAACAGTTGAGAGTGCTCAGCGCCTTATCATGACACCAGGGGGTAGTTGATATCTATGAGCTTGGTGGCGAATGTATGATGATGTGTGCTGGAGCCCATTACGTGCATCTACGGCAATTGTCCAGTAGCCATCGACAGCATGCTATCGAGGAAGGGATTATAATCCATTGAATCTTGTATGCCACACATGATGTCCTCGAAGTCGAAGTCAAGCATATTGGTGTCCAAATGGAACGGAACCGTCTCGTCATTCGCAGGATGCACGTCAAGATTTGAAGGTAACGTAGACGCCATACCCGCAACACCAGCGAGAGACATGTCCGGCGGGGCGCTGGACATATCTGGAAAAGATCTGTCATGTATCGTCTGCGAGTTCGACCGTGCTTCTTCAATGATCTTCATGTATTTCTGAATCAGAGAGGTGAGCAGCCGTCTACCATGAGTAGCGACTGAACTAGTGGGAAAGAGCCCCAAGTAGTCGATCGCTTTGTGCACGCAGGCGTAATACTCCTGAGTTTCTGAATCTCGATCCGAGCGATGGAAAAGGTCAATTCCAAGGCAGATCCCCGCTGTTACCACGAAGGCTTGCTCGACCCATAATTGTGGCTCGTCGGGCTCGCGAGTGGTATATAGCCCGATGATGATCTTTGCTGCGTTTGTGCTCGCCCACCTGCTGTAAGTGTATCGGGGTTCTTTGAAGCTTTTACTGAGGAAGGTTTGATGTATCATAATAATGTTGTGATTGTAGGCCGATTGATACATTCGCCGCGCCCATTTAGTCCAGCACGGCCAGGCAGGGTTGATTGGTGTTCGATGTGACAGACATATTGGCATATTCTCGAGGTTATCGGCACGAAAGTCTCCGTCGTATTTGACGACCACGCCATAGCGGGTCGCATCGTCTTCATCTTGGACATCGGACATGGCGGTGAAAAAATTGAGAAGCCCAGAGGCATTGTCGAAGAAAAAGTTCCCAATATGGGCCAGAGCCGGTGTGGAGTCGCTAGTCAGTGTCATCGTTTTATCATCGAAGAGTCGAGGCCTTGAAGTGGTAAAGTGGTTTTTCTGGATAGCTGTGTTGTGAGTGCCTTGTGAAACAGTGATGAGCCAATCTTGAGTTGTGATAGTGTACCAGGTTCTTCGACCTATTTCACGATCAATCAAAGCTTGCTTCTGCTCTGGACTAAGTCCAGAAGTTTGCTCGTCATCGGGATGTGGCCCTAATCTGACCAGTGTCAGCATCATAACATCGTTCCGAGACCCAAACCTCTTACCTGTGGAGACCCAAGCCTTTGGCGATAATCGAAGCAACACTTCGCAAAGCTATCCATTGATTTGTAGAGCCTGCCAGATGCTCATAGGCATGCAGAATGTAGATCGCATGCACAGAGTGAATGTGATACTGGGAGGTATAGTTCCCCAGATTGAGGCACGCAACGGTGGCACCACCCCACTCCCGGGCACGTTTCACTTTGTCGTCGCCGGGGAATCCCCACTCATCAGACACATCTTCTGGACAGCCGATGATGCCGGAGGAAAGTATAGCAAACAGAAGAGCTGTCCAACGCCAATCCAGGCTGCTCAAGTTCAGCTGGTCAGAGGAATCGTAGGCCTCGTTCAATTCTCGCCGAAAGCTGGGGCCGTGGTAGATGCCGTTTATCCAGTAAAGCATACACTGTTCATAATAATTTGTGATTCGGATGACATTCTCTTTCGATGGCAGAATTGATTGGAGGTACTGAATCTCAACTACTGCTGCAGCGGACGAGTAACAGGTAGAAAATCCCCCAGGAGCATTGATCGGGATTCGTTTAGTCTGCATATATCTGGGATCCTGATACGAAAGACCGGTATCCTGGGCGGGCGAGTCCTTCTCCGAAAGTATAGCCCCGATACCGATGTCGAGAGGCTTCTCTCCTCCAACGGAGAACTCTTCTACAGAAGACGGAGTAAATGCTTGCGGTGGACCTCGACCAGGAGCAGACGTTGCTGACTGAGGCAGCACGTGTGAAGGTAAATTTTGAGTCCCAGATGGTAACAGTGGCCAGTGTTGAATAGTTGGTTGTGCGTTCTGTAGTGGTGGACCTAGAGATGAAGACGTTTCTCTTGAGCTAGCAGCAGATTGCGGAGATTGATCTTGACCCTCTAGATCCTGCCTTCTGGGGTACTTTCTATGAACCGAAGGATTGTAACCATGGACCCATTTTGTCGTACAAAGGTCTCTCTCATCGTTCAGAATACATCTAGTGCAAGGCGACTTCCTGTCGCATTTCTGCCGACGTTGGCTGCCTTAACTCATGTGTACAACGTTAGTGAAATTGCTCTATGGAGAATGCATGTGCTCGGTGCAACTATTGATGATTATTCACAACTAGAGGATGCATGATGAGAAAGGATACTAACATCGCGTGCATGTTTGGCGTTGCTTGGGCATATCGGGCAAATGCTTGCCGATCTCACTTGCGTTACCAACGTCCGAGAACGTGCCGTAAGTCACACGGCTACTCCTCCGTGCAATCGTAGATACTTGGAGCTTTGGAAGGTCAGTGGCATTGAGCTCAAAAACAACGAGACTGAGACACGACCCGGCTGTCCGTGTTCTCTGAGCTATTTCGCGTCACGCTAGCAGGGATTGGCCTGTCAAGGCGGAACCTTTCGCCACGTGCAGATCTCTGAGGGTGTTCGACATAGGGCCAACATGAATATTGTTGCTGAAGGAAACGAACTTACCTGCAACTGCCATCTAGGTTATTAGCGTAAAACGGGATGTAGTCCAGGTAAATCTCATCAGAAAGCTGAACCCTTCAAACTGCATAGAGTACATCGCAGAGCGACATCACTTACCTTAGCTTTCAACAATTGCGGTGAAAGTTGCACGAATAAAACTCGAAAAAAAATTAGATGAATGCCTCATTCAGACACGTTGCTTCATAGTATGGAAAGTTCGCCTTGCCGTACGGATATACATCTGATCGATGTCTTGTAAACGTTGCTCGACCAACTTTTGCGTATTTCGAACGTCTATACACCCCCAAGGCATTGCCCAAACCACAACAATCGAGACCGCAGGGGCGTAGCATACTCACCCATAATTCTACCATCTAGACGTTTCATACCCTCTTCTCCCTACCCAAGTACCCTCCCATTATCTTCAGAAATACAGGTGTCATAGATCCAAGTACACGAAGCCCTTCCCGATGCTTTTTTCGGTCCTCCCATATCGTCTTGTTCTTCATATGCACGATCCTGACGTGCGTCCCATGCTCCTAGATCTTCGGTGTCTCAATCGACGCGGCATTGCCATTGTCCGTGTATATCCACATCCTAGGTCTGTGGCCCACTCCCAATCTCGATGTGACTGTTTTCCAGCCTTCGAGAGCTTCAGCGCCATTCGTAGGTAGTCGTTCAGATGCGATCTACAGCCGTTGCCCCTCCACCCCTCTAGTTCGCCGTGTTCCTGCGCTAGTGGTGAAAGTGGTGGATATCGTCAGTCCTGACGCTAGAAACATCTAGATCCAAATGCAGTGATTAAAAGAGAAGAACAGGCTTCTAATAAATGAGACTAACCAAAACACACCCCAGCGTGTCGAGGATAAAACAAATTCATTGAAATAGTTTAGGCGAATGGACCTGCAACACCGAGATGAATGTCTGCCTGCACAACCACAGGTAGCAACGAGTGGTTGAATAGTGCCCATCCAAGACCTGCGTATTTTGTAGATGCGTTCTGGTACGTAACAAATACCGGTCATGCGCTGTCGTATATCCAAATCCCGTTGAATTCGTGTATGATCCGTTGCTTCTTCGAGAATACCTGGCAATATTGATCCATCTACAGCATAACTGCCGCAACTCGGCATGTCGCACACAAAGACCAAAGCATGAGCCTTGGAAAGCAACATTCCACCCAAACATACACAAAAAATGCGTCTACCATGACGCCGTTGGGTATCAAACGCCGTACAATGCCATAAATCGTACACATATAACATCATGTCATCGTCCGTAATTGAAAAGTGGATGGTTCAAGGGTTCGGATGAACGGAGTGTGCACCTTGGCAGGGCGAATTGGCACTGACGAAGGCCTTTATCCGATCTTGCATCCAGCCTGACGTCCATTTTCGGTTGCCATTCGGCGATTGGTGTTGGCCGAGTCGTACAGCATGCCCCAGCCTGCATTCGTCTCCAGCATACTCGTACTGTAGGCAATTGCTGTCTTTCAAGCAAGCGCCGTAGCACTGATCGAACGATTTGGAGGCAATGTTTCCCTTGCTGAATACTACGTCTTCTGACATGTTTGACCAATCATCAACCCTTTCCTGCAGATGTGACCCGATCATGGTGAAGAGCTCCTCGAACACCAAAGGCCTGTTTGGATGCGACCGGGCCTTCTCCCACTGTGTCAAACCAGTGAAGTCTTCGTCGCCAAGGTGGTGCATGGTGATGATCGCCTCGCACCAGTGCTCCTTTCCAAAGCGTACGGTAAGGGGCTTCTCGCCATTGAACATGGGCCAGTAGCCTCGAAGCGACACACCACTCTTCCTCAGCACCTGCGCGAGCACTTCGTCACCACAGCACTGCTTCTTAAAGTCCTCCCCAAATAGATGCGTGCCAGGGAAGTGGTGGTTATCAGCAAACATCTTGCCGCGGGCCATAAGTCTATCCAGTGCCCCCCGCGACAGAACATAACCGGTTCCTCCGTGCGCAAAGACTGGCTTCTTCTTTGGCCAAATGGGCGACCCGAAATAATATGGCCCTTGTGGGTTGAATTGTGACAGGAAGCGATATAGGTTGTCGTAGTTGACATAGGTATCCAGCTCCACAAAGACATACCATTGGGACTCGGGCCGCAGATATGACGTCCACTCCATCATAGGGAGAAACTTGTATTTGTCCAGCCTCCAGCCCTCATGCGACTTCTCGTCGGTTGTATTCGCCGCCTGTATCGTGTCGTATATGTCGAAGTCGGAATTGCCGTATTTGTATTCGGGACGGAGGTGGGAAAGCGCGTCGGTAATTTCAAAGCCGTTGTAGTTGTCTCTGCGGTCAGAGAAGATGAGCAGGTCCTGCTTGCAGCGCCCCAGGCGATTGAGATATAGAGGCAACTTCGTCTTCGTTTCCGCAGCGCCAATCTTGAGCACAATCGTGACATCGTTCATGACCCCGGCGCTGAATGGGGAGCATTCCTCGCCAAAGGGTATCCTCGGGGCCTGATCTGCGCGCACGGGAGGCGGCCGCTCATGGAGGATATCATAGCCACGTTCGCCGGAGAAGACCCGAGGTACAAATGTGCTGAAGACAAAGAAACACAAGACGACGGTGGTGCACAGCAGGCGCAGCGGTGTCAATCGCACCATCGTGGCGGAAGAGTGGCACCGCCTGAGGCATCGTGTTTGGTGAGAGAACGGGAGTGACGCGGGATGGCGCTAGTTCAGCTTAGCTCAGTTGCTAGGCGACCCGCCACTGACTCGAGTACCAAGTACTTGGATCCCGCGACACGGTGCTGCAGTTCTTTGTAGTTTGAACTCCCACAGAACCAATCGTTGTGTTTGCAAAAGTGTATTCTTTAATCGGGCCGTCTTATTTTGTAAGCGAGGGTAGAAAACGACGTTCTTAGACAAGAGTGCACGTCGGAAGAGGAGGAAGAAAGTCATCTAATTCTTGTTGAGCTGGTGACGTTGACATGCTGCATATCGGCGCTTCCCGTTCAGACATCGCATTTGCTGTGAGAGACTGTCTAGGAGGAAGCAAAACAGGTTGAACTCAGACACGACTCTGCACCATTGGTGAGTCAGAGCCTTGCCAGCCATACATCCTGATCGAATTCATTAGTGCGTGTGAACTATTGCCATTGTAAGCATAGTCGAGCGGAAAAAACGTGTGAGCGTCATTTGATTGCTACTGATCCAATGCTGCTTCCAAGTTCTTCTCGCGTTCTGCTTGCTCTTCCTCACGCCTGATCCACCTCCGAAACGCGATCGTCAGAAGACCACCAATAGAGACTTGAAAAGCCTGAAACATAATGGCAGGAAGCTGCATCTTCGACTGCTCGATCGGGCTGATATCGATGTACATGACCGAGGTGAGCGGCACAACCATAGCGAGCGCCTTCGCAGGACAACAGTAACAACACGCAATGACGTCCTTCTTCGGCATCCAGAAGACCGCCGCAGGGAAACATATCGCCAGCCACAGAAAGTACAATGCGATGCAGACGAATACAGTGAAGATGATATTTGAGGAGGCGACGGCTGTGAAAGCGCCGGTCTGGAAGGCTTGGTCGAATGTTTGCCACACGAGCGTGAGAAGGGCGATGGAAGAAAGCTTGATCAGCTTCCATCCAAAGAAGACTTTCTTCGTTTGCTTGGGGAAGAAGTACTGCACCACCTGGCCAGCGAGGATGGGAACGAAGAGCGAGAGACCAAGCTGCATGAATACACGGCGGTAGATCTCGCCGTAGTTGTCCGTCGCAGTACTAAGCACTTTGCCGTACCAGGCTCCGCTCGAGAGATACATTTGTAGAATGATCGGAGTAAGGAACGGACACAGGAACTGCCCAATGACGGATTGTACAACCGTGAGCGCCGTGTTGCCATGTGCCTGCCTCGTCATAACCACGTTCGAACTCATTGTCGTCGGCGCACATCCCAACACCAGAAATCCGACCAGCAGCCACGGATCCATGAAGTTGGGATTGAGTGCACACAAGCTCACAAGCGCGAACGTGGCCGCGGAACACATGAGGAAGCATTGTAGCTGGACAAACAGATGGATTTTCCAGCGCTTGTAGTTTTGCAGCAAGATGCGTGTTTCAAGCGTGCAGCCGTTGATGAAGAAGATAACCGAGACGCTGAGGTACGTGACTACTGTGCGCTTTTTACGTTGTTGGGCGGCGGGGACTTGAACTTGGGAGGCAATGAGAATGAGCATGCCCATGATAAGAAGCTGCCATTGGTCCTTGATGACCCAAGAAAGAAATCTGAGGGCTTTTGTGCGCTTCGAGGGGTTTTGAGTCTTCTCTTGCACTTTTGACATGGCAGTTGAAACTCCAGGCTTTTTCTCCGGCTCGATCAAGTCTTTTCGTGGCCCGTCATGTGCCGTCTTGATCTCGTCTTCGCCATTCTTGTCCTGTACGCTGCCTTTCGATGATCTTTGCGATGGTGTTTGCAATGCAATGTCATGTGCTTCTTCCTGCCCCATTTTTAGCCAGATCGAAGTCAGAAGACAGTTGAACAGGGCGGCAACTAGTGCTTTATGTAGCCATTTCTACGCTATGGCAAGGGACTAGAAAATGTGAGTGTTGCGGGAATATCCGGACATAATGAGGGACCTCGGGCAGAACGCCGATGATATCAGTCGAATGACGGGGTTTCTGCTCCGGCATGCATCGATAACGACATTACTCCATGCACTCGAAAGCTGACAGATGGAGCACACAAACGGTGAAGAGTAGATGAATCAATAGGATATGTGCCGTTAGTCATCCGCAGCTACCCCTGTCAGTGTGGGGGATCTTTCCTTGACACATGCTTCAATCGTAGACCTTGATAGTCGATCCTGCCCAACTATAAAGCATTCACTTACAACGCAACCAAATGACAAGCTCCCCTTCCGTAGAGGAGCGCAGGAGACTTATCTGGGCGGGCGTCTACCGTAAACTGCTCCAGTACGCCGTCCCCGACTCTCGTTTCCACTACGACTTTCTTTCCTTCACGCCCGATTTCCGTGGTTCGTCGTCCGCTATCGATCGCGTCGCCGAGTTGCCGTCCTACAAATCTGCAAAAACAATCCTCGTGTTGCCGGACAATAGCTTGGAGCAGCTGCGATGCAGGGCGCTGGAAGATGGGAAAAAAGTGCTGGTAGCGACGTATAGGCTGCGTAGGGGCTTCGTTTTGCTCGATCCAGCACGCATTAGCGATGACAGGTATAGGCTGGCAGCATGTCTGGACGGTATGGAGAAAGCTGGTCGGCCTGTCACGCTCGCGCAGCTGCGAGATGAAGGTCTCAAGGTAGACATGTGCGTCATTGGTGGGCTGGTGTTTAACGAAAGAGGCGTTACAATCTGGGAGGGACAGTCGCTGTTCGAAGTGCAATGGGCGTTGCTGCAGGACATCGGGACTCTCGATGCAAAGACGCTCGTCGTGGCTGTGGCGCATACATGTCAAGTTGTTGATGAAGCGCAACTTGGTCTTGAGAGTATCACACCGGGTAAAACTGGCGAGGTGCAATGCGATTTCGTTGTTACGTCGGAGCGGGTGATCGAAGTTGACAGCGCAGTCAAGTCTACTGGTGGGGTGAACTTTGATGCTGTAGATCCAGACGCAATCAACAGCATCCCGCCACTACAAGAGCTCAAGGGTATACGCATGATGGAGCAGATCATGCAGGGCGAGGGTTTTGGCCAACAGAAAGAGAAAGCGGAGCCGAAACCACCTAGTGCAGAAGAACAGATGGGCATCTCTTTCGTAGAGAAGCTGATGAAGGAGTACAACTTCTGAGGATGCTAGAAAACAAATTACGAGCAATAGTCCTCGACCACAACATGCTTCCGGACGCACAGGAACCCCATGATGATCTGGATTGTCGTCGTGGACGTCTGGCAACCCGTAGATCCAACCTTACGAAAGGAACCATTCCTTAAACTCCACCAGTAGCCATGTGCAATTCTGACCGTCGATCCAGAGGGGAGCGGTTCAGAACCGGGTCCTCAAAGAGCAACTCAAGTGTAAACGGAAAGCGTATCCTCAAGATATTGTACCTCGATCTCCTATCCCGACACCTAGTGCGTTGGTACCGGGCGTATACATAGTGTCTCAATGGTCACTAAGTCGCTACACAAACTCTCTCTAGACTGCACACCTCATCAATAGCGGCTCTTCGTTCGATCAAGCGTAGCCTCACATGACCACAAAAATCACATAAAAGAGGAGGAAGAATACAGCCATAACTTGCGTCACACCCCGTAACCCGGAGTATCCATCCATCACAGCGGTGCACAACCCTCAGACGAGGTACAAGATCGCAACAAGTCTATCACTCCACCTGAAAAGTGACTATAGCCAAGAATCGCCCCTCCTATAACCTACTCCCTGCACCACCACCACCACCACCATACAACCCACATCCCCCATCCTCAACCTACGTCCCGGCGACAGCCTCACGCCTCGCCATCACATCCGCGCCAACCTTCTCTTCTCCAAAACGCTGCTCAAGCCTAGACACACAATGCCAATGCCGAACTGTGGCGCGCGGTCGAATTTCCCCGCAGCAAGGGATGGCGACTTGGATGACGAGGTGCGAGACTGGGTTGCATTGTGCATCTAGCGTGGGGAGAAACCAGTGATAGATATACAAGCTGCTAAGGCTGTGTAATGTTGACTATGCTTTTGAAATACTGACTTATGATATTCAAATGATAATAATCATGCAAAGTATATCGCGGAATGGGAATAATACGATATCTTTTCTCCAAGTCAGAATCCGAATACCCTCTCCCCCACTCCACAAACCACCTCTATCCAACCCCCTACACCCCCCAACCCACATCCCTAAAGTTCATCCCCCCAGCTCAGCACATCGTCCTCCCCCCTCCCATATTCCCTCAACCGCTCCCCAACCGACCGCCTAACAAACAGATTCTTCGGCCAGGCCGCCTTCGAGTCAACCTATTCGCGAATTAGCCCACACCCCCAACAACACAGAGTACATAAAAGATCAAACTCACATCACAACTCCCCGTAAACGCCGTCATCCTCGTCCACCCCTCAACAAACTCACGATACGCATCGCCGTTGCTACGCGCAGGGTCGGGCGTCCCATGGGTGCGCGTCGCGGGCGTTGCGTCTGTGGCCAGGCGGGCGAGGAGGTTTGTGCGGGGTGTTGAGCGGGTGGGGAGGGGGGTGATAGGGACGCGTGGGTTGTGCGAGGAGGGTGCGGGGAGGGAGTGGCGGGGGCGGGTGCCGTTTGTGCGGGATTTTGTGGGGGCTTTGTGAGCGCGGGCGGGGGAGGGGAGGGAGGCTCTGGAGGGTTTGTGGGGGAGGGGGGAGGGCTTGGGTTGGGGTTGGGGTTGTTGGATAGGGCGTGTGGGTGCTGGAGGCTGTGTGGGTGCGGCAGGATGTTCTGGCGCGGGAGGCTGGTGTCCGAGTTCCTCTATGGCTTTTATCAGCGTGTTTCTGTTTGTGATGATGTCCTTTTGGAATGTCGTGTTTCGGATGTTGTCTTTGTAGAAGTGGATGTATTCGCCGACAACTTGGCCGCCCATCAAGCGCGCGATTGCGTAGTCTTTGAAGTCTGTTAAGCTGCGGATTATGAAGTCGTCCCATTGCCACTTTGGAACCATCCTGTCCTTCAAATCTAGGGTATACATTTGCGTGCATTGCTCGGCGAAGTGTTTGATGTCTCCTGTATACTCTGGATAAGCCGCTTTGAAGCTTTGGAAGATTGAACGGGGTTTGAGATCTTGGGTTGGTGGACTTTTGACTGTGGGGGAAGATTGTACTTCTATTGCTGGTAGGGAAGACTTTCGCTCGTGTTGGATACGTTGCTTTTCGGGCTTCAATGAGATGCTCAGGTTAGAATCTGGCTCAGCCCCATGGGCTGGGAGATTATCAGTTTGTTCTTGACTCGAAATAGTGCCTTCGGTTTTGGAAAGATCGAGGTTATCGAAGCTGTTTGAAGCCGGCTCCGAAGGGGCTGGATCCTTCACAGGCCGTACGATTGGACTGGGATCTTCATAGAGACCCAGATGACGAGGAGACATTGCGCGTGCATTTGCGGTACTAGGTGACACATCAGGCGAATTGCCCGCCATCGAGACATCATCTCGTTGCACCGGGGCCTTGTTTGCGGAACCTGGTCGATGTACAACACCTACACTGGATTTTCGTTCCGCGCGAAATCTCGACAGCGACTCTTCCCGTTCTTTGCGCAAAGCAGCTGCTGTGTCGATGGACAAGGGAGCATCATCGCCGAATCCCACAATCTTGATTTCTCGTCTCTTCAAGTGGCGGCTACTCCTCTTCGACGGAGAGTGGTCCAGTTTGCGCTTTGCAGACTCTGGAGCAGGTGCCGTACGTTTCGGCGAAGATACTTTGATACGTGGTGGAGGCTCAGACTCTTTCTCCAGGCTCGATACGACTTGTCCACTTGATGAGCTCAAATCGGGCAAGGGCACTTGAGCAGATATAGGAGTCGATTCTGGGGGTAAATCATGTGTTTCTTTGCTCATCACTTCTTTCCGCACAGTCTGTGCTTGATGCGCCCCGTCTTGCTGCCCTGGTGCGCTGAGTGATGACTTCCTGTCTTTGGTCATATTGAGGCTGAGCATGGGCTTAGCCGCATTGTGGTCCATTTGCTTGACTCTAATTTCATGGGCTTGCTGTTCTATCTTTATACGCGGTCCCCCTGTGCTAGTTTGTTTGATTTCGGTATCAACAGCAGAAAGTTTGTCACGGCGATCCTCGCCTGCGGAACCCAAAGTTTTAGGTTGATTGTACGTTCCGAAAACAATTGACGTAGACGAAGGATCCCTCCAAGTACTGTTTGCCTTGGCCTTTTGTACGGATGGAGAGTCGGTATGCATAGCAACGTGCCCATCTCTACGTTTCACATAAGGAGTCTCTTTCACCAGTACGATAGACCTTGATCGAGGTGACTTCGGCTTTAAGGCCTGAGCTTCAACTTGCCGTGTGTGTGGTTGGTCCATTACATCTTCTCCAAGGCCTTGGGGTACCGATATTTCCATCTCCATGTCCACGTCCATCGCGTCATCATGGTCGTTGAATGCTTCTGCAACTGGAGGGGACGAAGACGGAACGCTGGGCTCTTTCTCATTTGATGATGTCATGACGATGGGTCTTTGTGATCCTTGACTGGACAATTTTTCATGTTGCACAACGTTGTCAATCTTAGGTGTCACGACATCTTCGAAACTGGAATCAGGAGGCAGATCCTGGAAGGATCTGGCTGGACGTACAGGCTGGGGTTCCGGAGAAGGCGAGGCCGACCAAGACACCTGGCTTGTTGGGATTTCTTGTTGAGTGACCTGGAGAATCGAATCTGGGGAAGGGTCGAGGGTTTCAATAATGGAATCGGGTGAAGGATCAATCTCACTCTCGGAATCAGCACCGGTATTCACAGCGGCAGTTTCGTCAGCAAGCCTCCAAAGAAACTGCCAGGTTTTGCTGGGTATGTTGTGGTCTGGAAATCGATTCCCAGGTTGAGGTTTCCGCCAACTCTCCTCCTTCTGTAGGATGTACTCCTGGTCGTCAGGGACTTTAGACGTCGCGCGAGTGAGCTTGAAGCCCGTCATCCAGGAGCACGCCGACGCAAGGGCGTCCATCTGATCCAAATCAGTCTGCTTGTGTTGTGTTTCAGCGTCTGCAGCCTCGGGAGAGACTCGTTCAGGGTCGCGCATTCGTTTTTTGCCCCGGACAGGCTCAGGTGAGGCTGCAGTTGGTCTCCTTTTCCCCAGCACAGTTTCTGGTGGCGCACGTGGCTGATGCGAGGTCGCGAGTGGTCGTGTCGACTGCTCAGCAATCAATTGTGCGGATTCGCCTTGCTGCTTGTTGTTGGAGGCTCCATGTGCAGATGTTGGTGCAGCTTGGCCCAGGAGACTCAGTAACTTCATTTGTTTCTCATACTCCGAAATGGGTGCCTTTGGGCGGAGTTCCTTCCTTTGGGTGTTTCCAGCCAAGACAGGCTCCATGCGGTTGACACCCAAGACTTGTGGTTCACCGTCGACTGCTCGAGAGCGCACAGGATGTGTGACCTGGGTCCCGTACGCGAACTGGGTGTGCAGCGTGGCGTCGCCAGCAGACGCGCCATCGCTCCCATCTGCAGTTCGAGGCATTTCTTCGTGCTCTGGTTCTTCTCCAGTTCGCAAGCACCTGCGGTCCTCACGCGCTCTGGTGTGGTGGAGCTGCTCCAATACTGCGCCTACTGTCTCAGACAAGTGAATAGGTGACAGCCGAGCTCTGTTGTAGGCCACGGTATGATTACCACCAACCCAGTCGACAGCGTGCAGGATGAGGCAGAGGTGATGGCGCGGGGGGCCGTACGAGGTGTGTCGGATCGCGTACTTGCGGACGAGGATGGCAGGTGGTAGGGATGCTGCGTGGGGGAAGTCTCTGTGCGGATAGCGGGCACGGAGGTCTCGAAGGCACTGGGGGGTGAACTGGGCAGCGACTTCACTGTGGCCGTCAGTGAGGGCGAGAGGCGAGTTCTACAGAGCTGGGGCGTCAGAGAGGGGGTCAGGTCACGGTGCTTCGAGACAGACGTGCCTGCAGGAGCTGCAAGCAGCTGTTGCGCTCTGGGTGGATGTGGTTGATTATGTCCAGGCTGGAGCCGTCGTCGCGGTACAGGCCCGCCCACTTGCGACGGGGCTCGGGCGCAAGATTCTGTTCCTTGGCGGCGTTCTTCTGCTGCAGCCAGCTGTTCCCCAGCAGCAGCTCGGTCGTGAAAGTGTCCTCGAGCCAGCCGGTGAGGCGAAGGGCCATGTAGGATGCAGCCGACGCGGGCGTGTTACGCGACGACGCGTCTAGCTCTCCTGCCTGCGGGAGGTATGGCGTATGCGTCGTTTGCGGGGCCGGGCAGGCTAGAGCGAGGCTGGACAGGCGGCAGCAGCAGCTCCACATGGCGGCGCGTCATGGCTGCGGATCACCTGCCGGCTCTGTTCACCAACAACACCAGCAGACCACGCACCACGGCCACGTCCGCGCAGGATGCTGTTCTCCGCCGGCCGCTGCCCCCGCCCACACACTCGCCATGGCCAGGGACTCGCGGGGCGCTCTGCCTGCCACGCTGCACGAGCTGCATGCCACGGCCTCGCGCTCCGAGACGCTGACGACGTTTGACGACCTCACTGCCCCGCCGGCCCTCTCCAGCGCGAGCGAGCCCAAGACCATCGAGCTGGTCCAGGGCGGCCTGAGCGGCCTGTACAACCGCCTCAAGGCCTCGGTGGGCGGCAGCAGGGAGCCACACGATGGGGGGACTCCCGTGTCCTCGCCCGTCGCTGCCTCGTTCTTCGATGCGCGCTCCCCACCCTCGCGAGACTCGAACATGTCGAGCGCCACGGCCTCGAGCCGGCTCTCGCTGAGCGGGCCCAGGTCGTCTGTCGCTGCCACTGCCACGCGCGCCCGCCCGTCCATGACGCTGGGCAACGAGCCTGGCAACCCGCTGGGGCAGGACGACATGTTTGCCCAGAGCCCGGTCAGTATGCACGCAAAGGGCCAGAGCGGCTCCAACTTTGACCTGTCCAAGAGCGGTTCTGTGAAAGATGCCATGTCCAGCCCCCACACCCAGTCCTCGCCACGCTTCGCACCCGGTCGGGGAGACGCATTCCGACATCGCACAGGTGACAGGGACCTCGCGGAGGCAGGAAGTGACACTGAGGAGGACATGGTGGTGGTGGGGGACGAGGGACTCTCGGGCAGCAGTGCTAGATTCAAATTCCCGACGGACGCGACTCGTGACTCTTTGACTAAAGTCAACTCTCGGACGGACAGCCAGGGCCAGCCCGCCCGATCGGCGCTCAAAAAGGCGAGAGAGTATACTGATCATGCCTCTGAGAGCGTCCAAGTCTCTCATGTCACAGCCACCGCCCGCACCCCTGTGCTTGCGCCCGAGCCACAGCGCCCGCCGTTGTTGCAAGTCGGCCCTTCCCATCTGCCAGGTTACCTGACTTCACGAGCCTCGTCATCTGACGGCTTGAGCTCTGTCGTTACAACGTCCACTGCGCGTGCTCCCACCGTCCCGCCCATTGAGGAAATCCAGCGTCAGGTATACAAAAATCCCGCTGCAAGTAACATGCCCAAGGACGCCTTCTCGCAGATGCGCAGGAAGATTCTGGATCGCGAGTTCTGGATGAGGGACGAGAATGCAAAGGATTGTTTCAACTGCGGTGATGCCTTTACTACTTTCAGGCGCAAGCACCACTGCCGCACCTGTGGGCAAATTTTTGACTCAAAATGCACGTCCATTGTCTCTGGAAAGATTTTTGGCCAGCCCGGCAACCTGAGGGTTTGCAAGCCATGCGAAGGCATCATATATGGCCATGACGACGACTCATCCGAATACACAGATGACGCTGATCAAGCATCAATCTACGATCACAGTGAGGCAAGCAGAAGATATGATGATGAAGACACCGAGCCCATGGGAAACGACCTTGGCAAGATAGGAACTCCTACTATTAGCATACCCATGTCGCGAAAAAGTGGCAGCGAAAAGAAGCGTCGATCCCACGTTATCGAAGTCGGCACCCAATCCCTCGCCAGACCAAGTTCCTCCCGATCCCTACGATCGCTCAGTGGTAGGCCACGCTCATCAAGCCATAAGCGACATCATTCTACTAAACACCCACACATGCGCCATGTCAGACGTGACGATCGCGCACCATTCCACCAACACTTTGACAACTCGCGCAACCAACAAAATCTGTCTGCTTTTCACCTTGACAACATTATCGATCCGGATCTGGCGCCGTTCATGTCAGACGAAGGCTCGAGTGAAGACGAGCATGCAAGTATCTTTGCGACATTGAGAGGAGACGCTTCCACTAGTGGAGTCTTGGACGGTGAAAAGAGCGGTCTCGGCGGCATCTTGTCTGCAATGAGGAAAGGCAAATCAAGGGTTGGAGAGAAGAACAGCGGCCATGCCCGAGAGGCAGACAATGTCAGCATCACGAGTCGACACGCAATCCGGCCATCGCGGAGACGGAATCTGAGTGTTAGTAGCATCACACATAGACCTTCGCCAAGACGGTCCAAGAGTATCACCCTCTTAAGACCCTTCACTTCTGATTTTGGTCCAGGTGGACCAATGACACAGCCTGGAACTCCACAGCAACAATTATCTCCATCTCCTACACCACCTGGCATGAAATCCACTCGCAGTGCGTCAATACAAGGGCCCATCACTCCCAAGGTCGAACTCAACAAAGCCAGTCTTGACCACGCACGTAAACTCTTGCGACAGATGCTGCGCGATGTCGGTATCGTTCACGTATCCAGCTGGGAGAAGGCCCTTATCCCAATTCTGCAACAATGCACGGATGATGTGAACCCAGACGTGGACAGAGGCGACGACATAGATGTTCGAAACTACATCAAACTCAAGAAGATCCCCGGTGGAAGACCTCGTGATACAGCGTATATCTCAGGCGTAGTTTTCACCAAAAATGTTGCTCTACGGAGCATGCCACGCAACATACCAAATCCGAGGATCATCATCATCAGTTTTGCAATTGAATATGCACGTCATCAGGCCCACTTCATGAGCTTGGAACCAGTCATTGCCCAAGAGAGGGAGTATCTCCGTAATCTGGTCAGTCGAATTGCAGCCCTTAGGCCTCACGTTTTGCTTGTGCAGCGCAATGTCTCCGGTCTTGCTCTCGAATTCTTGGAGCAGGAAGGTATTGCTGTCGTTTACAATGTCAAGCCTACCGTACTCAACGCTGTCGCAAGATGTACACAGTTACGGATGATCTCGTCCGTCGACAAACTTGCCATTGATCCATCATATATTGGTCAGTGCGGCAGTTTCGACGTGAAAACCTACGTGCACAAGAGTATCAGAAAGACCTATATCTACCTCTCTAGATGTCAAAAAGACCTTGGATGCACCATTGTCCTACGTGGCGCTGAGAAACAGGACCTTGTTCGACTGAAACGCGTCACTGAGTTCATGACATATGTCGTGTACAATCTTCGACTCGAGACCTGTCTCATGCGGGATGAGTTTGTCGACACTCCTACTACTTCCATCATTGGCACTCAGGCTCCCAGCCAAGGCGTGAAGGACCGACGGGCGAGTTCTGACATGGAAACAACCAACCAGCCCTCGGTCGCTGTTGATCCTGAGACTGATAATATACTTCAACCCAGTCATGAGCTGCCCTCCGATGATGCTGCACCTTCTTACTACAGTGATATAGCGGAAAATCATCGTACAAAAATCCTCTCGTCATCGCCGTTTGTCAAGTTTATGCAACCCTATCTGCTTGAGCAAGCTCGCCAATACGAAAGGAAGCTTAGCCAACTCAACCGACTGAGGAGTCAGTATACTACCATTGACGAGGAAAAGGCTGGAGAACTCGGACAAAAGTTCGAACTTGTCCAACCAGAAATGGTCCACACAGTTGTCGAGCAAGCGTCAAAACAAGTGAGAGAGTTCCTGTCCGCAGTGCATGCATCAGAGTATGACAAAGCGCTACACAACTACGAAACACAAAAGCGACAATGGGAAGCATATCTATCTGGAAATACGGATCTATACAACCCATTCAATCATCAGAAGATTGCCGTTTTGTACAGTGTTGTGAACACGACCACATCCACGCCCTGCGTCGGACCTGAAATCATTGCGCTTGGTTTCTACCAAGAGCATGACTATGATGATGGTTTTACGCCTGACTGCACATTGGGTCAATACGTGGAAGATCTTTGCACCTCGGCGGGCGTCATATGCGAAGTCGATGGTTGCAACCGTCGCATGCTGGACCACTCTCGGCAGTACGTGCACGGCGAGGGACAGATGAGTGTCATCGTCCAAAAACATCCACCAAAGCTGAAAGGATTGCATCAAACCATCCTGATGTGGAGCCGCTGCAGAGTATGCGGGCAAGAAACTCAAGTTTTCCCAATGTCAGAGTGGACATGGAAATACTCTTTCGCGAAATATCTCGAGTTGACTTTCTGGAGTACTCAGCTGCATCCTCGAGCAAACGTATGTCCCCACGACATCCACAAAGACCACGTTCGATATTTCGAGTTCAACAACTTTGCTCTGCGTATTCAGTATGATGCCGTTCCGATGTATGAGGTTATCGTGCCTCGACCGAACGTGACATGGAAAGTGGACAGCGATTTAATATTGAAGAATGAGCAGTTCCTGAAAATTGAGGAAAGATTGGATTGCTTCATGGTTTCAGTCCGTGCTCGAATCCAGAGCATTCATGTGGAGAGCGTCATTCCAGAAAAGGTCGAGGCTTGCAGAAAGGAAGTCGATCGCCTTATGAAGCGCGCAAATGAAGAGCATGAGTGGCTGAGACACAAGCTTCAAAATAAGTACATGAACACGAAGTACTACGAGATCGTCCCACTGAATCGCGCAATTCGCGCCATTCAAGAAAAGGCCATCGCTTGGGACGAGACGTTCATGGACTTTGAACAGCAGTTCTTCCCGTCCGAGAAAGATATCAGGAGACTTGCAACTCTGCAACTCAAAAAACTCTTCCTCGAGCGAGACGAGTCAACTACGTCGTTGACATCAGTTGACGAGGGTACAGAGTCCGGGGGAGAAGAACCAACTGCTGGTGAAGCGAGCGAGTCTGTCACACTGAACCCGATGCCCTCCAACATGTCTGCAGAGAGGGCGCGTGACATGTTGACCTCTGTCGTCAAGGAGGACCATTCAAATGGCAATGAGCCAGCGGATAGAGGTACTGGTGTACCCGATAGCCCGACTCCTACTTCACCTAAGGTATTGTCAGGCTTACCTATTCAAACATCTCGTGAAGCTCTAGAGCGCGACGATGTACGCCATCTGGACCTTGCAGTGTCCACCGAGCTATCCAGGAATGCGATTGAAGATGAGCAAGCCCTCAAGACACCTAGGCACATCACTGATATCAACCCCTTTGATCTTGACTCACCTACACCGACAAATTTTCCAAAGGTCGACCCAATCGACAAGTCTCTTGCCGACGCGATTGACAACATGCCTCACTCCTCGACTCCCACATCCACGCCGAATATGGAGAGTCGGATTCCCCGCTTGGTGGACATTACTCTCCACGAGAACCCAACTAGACCTGCTACATTGGCCAGAACGCAGTCTCAACCAGGGAGTGGTCCGAAATACGCACCCCTTTCGTTCGGCCCTGCAACGCCGAACAGCGGATTCGAAGCGCCTAAGCAAAGTCCGAGTGATTCTGCGAAAGCATTGGAGCGTATGAGCGAGCGACTAGGACTGGGACCCTTCAAGCCGACCAAGTCGAGTTCTAGAATCCCTCGCTCGATCCCTTACAAGAACCCTAACAAGGTGTCCAAGTTGGCAGAGCATTTCGAGCAGCTTTCTCGGGAGTTCCAGAAAGAGCGCATGCGCGAGCGAAGGAACGATCGCAACAGGCAGACACGCGCGTACCCGCTTGCATCGTCAAAGCCTATTGTAGAGGTTTACAAGGATGTGCATGAAGCCGTCCAAGAACACGATGCGTTGTATGAAGACCTGCAGTCTAGCTCCCTTCCCCGTACGAGCTTGGACGACAGCATGCTTGGTGACAGTAGCATGATGCCGGAGTCTCAGTCAACATTTGGAGAACACCTTCTTGGAAACACATTGGATCACTATGTCGAAAGCGGAGAGCCACCCAAAACACCGACCCATCCCCCATCTGATGCCGAGACCGAGTCCAGCGATGTCGATGTCGCGCCTGAGGACATTCCCTTGCCAGACAGCATTACCAGTTCCCAGCTTCTCAATATGAGTGATTCTCAGCTCGATAGCTCCTTGGAGATCCCCAGACACGAAAAGACAACCCTCTTGAAGATGCTGACTAACTTTTGGTCTGAGCGCTCTTCTAGTGGATGGGCGCCGCTCGACTACCCCTTTGCGCAGATCGAGCACGTCTGGGAGGACTCGGATATCATTGTTCGCGAAGACGAACCCAGCTCTATCATCGCTTTAGCGCTCTCCAGCCCTGATTACGTCGCCAAACTGCAATCGTTCCGGGACGATCCTTATGCGGCTGAGAAGGGTGGCGAAGGTCTGGAGAGTCTTGAAGGGTCGATCGAAAGAAATCTACTGCATGAGAAGAACACGAACATCCGCTACGGCTTCACGAATCGCGGGGTGAAAGCGCAGTGCAAGATCTTCTATGCGCAGTCGTTTGACGCCCTCCGCCGGAAATGCGGCGTGGCAGACCGCTTTGTCGAGTCTCTCTCGCGCTGTTCCAAATGGGACTCCAAGGGCGGAAAGTCAAAGTCCATCTTCCTGAAAACACTTGACGATCGCTTCATCCTCAAGTCCCTATCGCCTATCGAGGTCCAGGCTTTCTTCCGCTTCGCGCCCAACTACTTTGCCTTCACGCACCAAAACCTGTTCCGCCAGCTACCCAGCGTGATAGCCAAGATGTTCGGCCTTTTCCAAGTGCAGATCAAGACACCTACAGGCCGCGACTTCGACTGGTTCATGCTGGTGATGGAAAACCTGTTCTACGACCGCGAGCCCAACCGGCGCTACGACCTCAAAGGATCCATGCGAAACCGCAAGATCCAATCCACAGGCGAGCGCGACGAAGTCCTCCTCGACGAAAACCTCGTCGACATCATCTACTCCGAGACGCCCATCTTCGTGCGCGAACACACCAAGAAACTGCTCAAAGCCAGCGTGTGGAACGACACGCTCTTCCTCTCGCAGAACAACGTCATGGACTACTCGCTCATGGCGGGCTTCGACGATACGAACCGCGAGATCGTCGTCGGCATCATCGACTGTATTCGCACGTATACGTGGGACAAGAAACTCGAGTCGTGGATCAAGGATCGTGGGAAGAATAAACCGACCATCACGTCCCCCAAGGATTATCGCAATCGCTTTCGTATCGCTATGGAGAAGTATATCCTCCAGGCCCCGAATTGCTGGCATCAGTTCTCCGGCCGCGTTGTGGGCGCTGCGGCGGAGCGGAGGAGGCAGCTTGTGTTGGAGGGTGGGGGCGCGGAGGTTGCGGCGCAGGAGGGGCATCGCAGGATGGTGAGTGGGAGTAGTGCTGGGGGTGCGGGGGTTGCGAGGAGCGTGGACAGGAGGTTGATCTTGGAGGAGAAGGCGTAGAGGACGGTGAGTGAGGGGACTTTTTCAGCATAGCATAGCGTGGTGTTTGGAGTGGATTGGGCATTGGCGTGTACTTCATAGGCATATGGGTATTTGAACGATTTGGGTATTCTTTTTCTATATTCACTGTATGTTGTAGTTGTGTGCAGCAAGTGAAATGCGTGGTCTGACTGGTTTGTTGGAGGGTGCACTCAGTGGCTGGCTGATACCAGTGGAGAATGGCGTATGCTTCTGAGGGGGAGACCACAGTACATGAATCAGAGAGAGAGATGATCAGCAGGATTTGTTTTTTCAAGCGAGTACACCCACACCCACACAATAACAGCAGGATAGGATTGCGCTGTTGCAACTGTGCTAAAGATCCAGACACATGATACTTCCATGTTGATTCGGTGGTTGCTGAGTCGTACCCAAACTCTCGGTACGTTGGACGAACCCAAAACAAAGGCCTGTGCTCGAGCACGTGCAGGACGACGAAGAAGTGTTTGGAGACCAGAACAGAGAGTGTGAAACTGCAGCGAACTCTCCATACCATTAGTAATAGATACCTCGCACTGTGACACCGATTCTAGCAACAATCGCCATAACGATGTAGCCTTAAGCTTTGGCGGTACCCGGGTTCTTGGACGGGACCAAGAATTTATTATGGCTTGTTCTTGCTTGATGGGCTACCCTGGCCCTGTCGACGGTGAAGGGAAGTGAAGCGCAGACGGCGGCCAGGGTGAGTGGACGACGGGATTGATTACCACGGGCGTGGCACCTGCCCTTCCTGCGTTAGTGTAATTAGGCAATTAGCAAACGCGAGGTGGCATTGTAGAGGCGGCGCTCGTCATCGTGGACACGGCACATGGAAGAGGCAGATGGGATGGGCAATGCAAAGGCGCGCTGTGTGCTGGGGCGGTTTCAGAAGGCCAGGCCGTGTGCAGGCCAAGGCTCGGGGGGAGGCATGGCAATGGCAGGCGGCAGCATCAGCATGCGCTGGAGGACTATTTTCGTGGGGAGCGCGCTTCGCTGAGCCGGACGCAGCGCCGCCAATGAATCGTGGCGAGGCCGCAGAGAACTTCTGGAAGGGCTGTGGCTTCGACGAGCAGTGGGGAATGGCAGATGCGCCTTCCCGCATTCGACTCGAGTACGGGCTGCCAGCGTGCCTGGTCGTCGAGCGCTCGCACACCTCAGACTCGCCCGCACGCCCATCGCATCCCTGGCCTCGCTGTGCTCCAACGTCGCGTGCCCGCCGAGCATCTGCCCTGCTCTCCCTCTCGCCGCCCCTCGCCCGATGCTGCTCACCGCGCAGCCACCTCTGCGAGCGCGCTGCTTGCGACACTGACGAGCACGCCCACAGCTTCCGCATCCGCACCCGCACTCGCACACAGCCCGTCCGTGCGTGCCCTCCAGCTCCCTCCCTGTCGCCGTCTCGTCTGGCCTCGAGTCGCCGGCGCTGCGCTGCCCACCACCACCACCACGGCGACCGCGCCCACACGCTGCCCGCCGCCCAGCCCGTCCGCCATCGCGCCTGCCCCCTCGTCGCTGCCCGCCTGCCGCACCGCACTCGCCCGTGGCGCCTGCCTGCAGCTGCGCACACACACGCACCTCGCCCTGCGCTGCTGCACTCCCTAGCCCTGTCCCGCCTGCCTCTCCCCCTGATCCCCTCCCGCCAGACGGCACATCGCCGCGCCACACCCCGTCCCTGTCTCGCGACACGCCGACACTCCCCTCCGCCGGGGACCAGTGCTGTCTGGGCGTCCCAGCATCGGCGGAGATGATGGAACATGGCGCGTGCAACATCATATACATCGACCGGCGGGCCAACGATGAGCGTGTGCGCCGCGAGACGCTGTCCAAGTCGCTCGTTGCGAGGACCAGCACGGGCAGCGTCGGACAGAGCTACTTCGCCCTGGGCAAGACGCCGCCGGCCGAGGTGCATGCCAACGTCGAGGCCATCCTCTCCATGTTCAACGAAGGTACGTTGCCCTCCACTCCACCCCCACACAGGGCCGTCATTCACACGTCCCACAGTCCACATATGCGGCTCAGGCAGGTCTGGCCTGTCCAAGATATTCCAGATCCTCGACTCGTCCAAAGCAAACGTCCCTACCTTTATCCTGATAGACATCCCGTACGACGAGGAGCAGCGACGGAAGCGCCTATCCCGCGAACCTCGCACACCCTCGCCCACAACCGCGCGCACAAAGCGAATGGACACCAACGAGCCAGACGACACATACGGCATGCACCTGCTCACGCACATCTCCTCGGAAATCTCGTCGCGGAATTTCTCGAAACTCGTCGTGCCTGTCGTCATGTTGACCGGGCTTCACCGTGACTACAACTCCACGGCTCTGCCCTCGCCAAGCATCGTTGGAGCGCAAGTCTTCGCGGACACGGTCCGCTTGTCTCGCTACCTGGATGCCGGCGCTGTCGACGTGCTGTCAAGTCCCCTGTCCAAGGATCGCATGCACGGTCTGGCCATCCACGCCCATCGGTTACAAAAAGAATGGATGCGCGAAGAAGCAAGTTTTATGACGACTAAGAGGAATCGGAAGCTGTCTTGGGTCGGCGTTGACGATGCGAAACCATATGCGTATCTACGCGAGGCAATGGTGTCGAATCTGATGACCGGCATATGTAATCCTGAGGCCGTGGGCGAGCACATTGATTCGAGGTATGTCGGTCCTGCGCACTTTAGGTATTCTGCTTACCTTGTCAGTGACTTCCATCTCGACGATGACCGAAAAGCATTCGTCGCAGAAAAAGTGGGGACATGGGCTTTCTCAGCGCACGACTTCACCGATGACGAGTTACTCTACGGCGCTCTTGTCATGCTCGAGCATGCGCTTCAGATGCCTGAGTTGGAGAGATGGAGCATGCCCGAGGGTAGGTATCGTGTGCACTGCTGAGGCCAGGGATGCTAACGTAATCGCTAGATGAACTCATCGTTTTTCTCCTATCAAGCCGCGCAGCCTACAACGACTTTGTCAAATATCACAACTTCCGCCATGTAGTCGATGTCCTCCAAGCCCTGTTCCACTTTCTTGTACGGATCGGTACCCTGCCACCATATCCTTTGGACAGTAGCTCCAACGCGCAAATTTCTCGGTCTTCGATAGCCGAACTCCTCACGCCTTTCGACGCGCTCACACTCCTCATCTCTGCAATCGGACACGATGTCGGGCATCCGGGTGTCAACAACGCTTTCCTAGTCGCGCTCAACGCACCGCTCGCGCAACTCTACAACGACCGCTCTGTCCTCGAATCCTTCCATTGCGCCGCTTACTCGCAAATCCTACGCCGCTATTGGCCCAAGATCTTTGCCGATATTCCTATGCGAAAGCTCATGATTAACAATATCCTCGCAACCGATATGGGGTTGCACTTCAGATATATGAGCGACTTGGGTAATCTCCAAGAGAAGCTCGCCCACAAAGAAGATGTCATCGACGGGTGGAACGCTAAAGTTAGGGAGGAGAATCGGGACTTGGCTTGTGGCCTTCTTATCAAGTGCGCGGACATTTGCAATGTTGTAAGTTTATAGTCCCCCCGTTTTGTGACGTGATGAGAGTCTTACAGTATGTGCAGGCGCGTAGATACGATATTGCCGCCAGATGGGCCGACGTTCTCACCGACGAGTTTAGCAACCAGGGCCTTATGGAGGAAGAACTGCAAATGCCATCTTGCCTGTTCGGTGGGCCGCCTGTTCGCGAGGATCTGATTAAGCTTGCAGAATCTCAGATTGGCTTCATGAATATCTTCGCAAGACCGCTGTTCGAGGCTGTTGCGGATATCCTCCCTACTATGCATTTTGCTGTGGAAGAGATGCTCGCAAACAATTCCGTCTGGGAGAGGAAGATAGACGAGGAACGTCAGAAGAGCAAGAGGAACCAAAAACTGTCTCTGGGCGAACTACAACCTCCAGCTTTTGTGGTCGACTCCACTCCAAGCCCGTTGTCGCATAGTCCCGCCACGTCGTTTGTCGATATGCCCGCGTCGTCGAATGCTCACAGCTTGGGCAAGGTCACCTCCGAAGCCGCTTATCGCCGGGAATCCATCGGTTCGGCATTATCCGGGTCTCGAAGATCCTCCCTGGGTGTAGATAAAGGCTCACGACGTTCCTCCCTTCTCGGTGCCCAGGGGATAGTTTCTCGAGAGAACCAGGGCTCTTCCAGACGGGGAAGTGGGGACGCAAGTCTGACGGCAATCCTGGTCACACAAACCCCGAACACGGCCAAGGCACCCACAGGCGAGTCACCGTCGAACTTTGAGGATTGTTCAAGAGCGGACCGCAGAAATACCTCGAGATTATCCAAGGATAAGGAAGGCGAGAGACCTGTCACGGCTCCCACACACGTGAGGCGCAGTCAGGGTAAGTACTTGGAAGCACTCATGCGTCGTCTTTTCGCGTTGTATGGCTTTTTGCATTGTATTGAAGACTGACTTGTGTTAGCTACCGATCTTTACCCCATGCCCTTGCCGTCGTCACAACATCACTCCCAAGTCGATCTGTCCCACGCCCCTAGCGATACTCTCGACGGCACGAAATTGTCACCTTGGGATAATAACAAAGCTAGTGGCGATAGCAACGGAACACGGTACGACGTCTCGCGCGATCTAAGCTGGTGGCGACAAATGAGCACTCGACGACGCAGTACACGGACCGACGTGAGAAACGGCGACGCAAATGTTCGAGCTCAACATAAGGAAATGACGCTTGATTACCCCACTCCAAGCAACGATTCGACTACAAATTCGAATCCACACCCACATCCGCATCCGCATCCATCGCCCGCCGGTTGTCCCAGCGTGGAAAGAAGGACCACGTCCGGCAAGATACGCAGTTTCTTCAAGAGGAAACCCAGGGGCCAGGATGAACCGGAGAAACAATCGTCTAGTTTTGGGAGCTCCTCGCAGCTTCAAACACCGCCCACTAGCGACCCGGGACGATCTTTGAATAGCGACGACTGAAGCGACATTCATTCGACCTCGATTTCCATCTCTCCTCATCGCCTGGCATTTTAGATTGCTACACCCGACATCACCAATTCTCGTCATCATACCCCTCCCCTCTTCTCCTCCGCAGAAGCAGTCCCCGCGACTTTCCTGCCCCCTTTCTATCTTATCTTCTGCAGACTTATTCCCCCCGCTCCGGCTTCTCTTTACTCCCGGACGTCCCCTCCCTTTACACCCCCATACACGACATGACATGACGGGATGCAATCAATCAATCAATCAATCAAACATACATACAAACCAACAACCTCTCCAAAAACCGCTGTAATCAGGCAAACCCGGTGTGGTGTGGTGTGGTTCCCCCATTCAAAAAATCCTTCTCCCACCTATTCAACTCCCGCACTCGACTCTCCTCTTCTCCGGAGTAAAAGCTTTGAGGGACACTTATTTCCTCTTTCTTCTTTTTTCGTTGCTCTGCTCTGATCTCTCGGGTTGGGTTGGGTTGGGCGGGACGGAACTGGATTGGACGGACGGAACGGGGCGGAATCTGTCCCATCTCCCCCCTCCTTTTGCCTCCAGCTCCTTTTGTTTTGTTACCTTCCTCGCATCAGGGCGCTCGGCTGGGGAGGGGGGGAATTTTAGTCAGTCACCCTGTGGCATCTTCTACTCCTCCTCCTCCTCTTTTTTTTTGCCGCGTTTTCTTTGTTCAGATCTCGTCTTCTTTCTTCCGTGGTGTGGCTCGTGTGTTTGATTGGCTTGCGGCGTAAACGTGGGGTCGGGTGGGGTTCTCCTTCTTCATCTCTTTAGGCTATCGGTTTCGCTGTTTGGGCACGGGTGGGTTGGCTGGCGGGGTGGTCTGGTCTGGTCTGGTCTGGCTTGGGGTTTTGTCGGCGATGTTGGGTGGGTGGGGGACAAAGCAAGCATTGCCAGACTACCAGATTGACTGGCCGGCTAGCTGGACAAATGTATGGATGGACGGATGGATGGACGGTTGGTTGGCAGGCGGGTTTATTGTGTCACGACACTTTAATAGGATGGGCTTTTTGTTTTCTGTTTTTGTTACTGATCATGTGTGTTTTTTGGAGTGTAGAAGTGCATTCTGGTTTTTCTGTCTAGGGGTTGTTGTGCATGTGCATGTGAACGTGTGTGAATGGGCAAGGGGGGGAAGGAAAGAATCGAAAATTTTACACTCCGTCGGCGTGCGTACTTACTCGATTTGACCTGACCTGACCTGACCTGACCTGACCTGACCTGACCTGACCTGACGCGGGGAGGCTTTGCTGTGTGTCCTGGATTCGGGGATGTGATGTGTTGTGGTTCTTGATTAATTGATTATGGTGATGCTGATGGTGTTTGTCTATTCATTTCACTCCCTCATCCACGTAAGCATACAACAACACATTCATTAATAAACACAAACTCTCGCCAAAGCGCACTACACACCCCATACCCCTTACCTTCTGAACTCCGACCGCTGAGAACACCTGCCCACCTGCACGTGCACATGCGTGGTTGATGTACCAACTGCCTCGATGCTCACGCGTACGGCTGTGTTGCTGTGTGCATTGAGTAGAGTAGCCCGGAACTACATAACGCTGGGGGTTTGGAGAGGTTGGGCTGGTTTTGCGGAGAGCTGGGATGGGCGAATTAAAGCTAGGTAATGAGGTTTAGGGGGATTGTGTGTGTGTGTGTGTTTGCGTGGTGTCGGGAGGTTACTTACTACTGGGAAGAGGGGGCTTGGATGGATGGCCTCGTGACATGTCGTGCGTATTGCGGCTTGGGTGCTGGGTAGGAGGTGTATATTAAACGTAATTATCAGATGGTGATACTTGCAATGCATAGATAGCCTTGGGTTCTTGTGTTGGGCGGTGTGTTGAGGAATCAGGGTGTGGCTTTTCTTTTTGTGGGATCGTTCTGGCTTTTTGCCCGAAGAGATGTTGTGTTTGGGGTTCTTTTCTCTCTCTCGGGGAGTTCTGCGGGTTGGTGGTGGATTGTTCTGGGGTTTTGTGAGGGGGGGGGGGGGGGGGGGGGGGGGGGGGGGGGGGGGGGGGGGGGGGGGGGGGGGGGGGGCTTTTCGGAGATATGTTCATGTTAATTGGTGTTGAGCAGCAGAATACCTATTGACCGGTTCAGAGCCGCTCGGTCAGTAAATCTATATATCCTACGCGACAATTAGCTGTTATAGATTGTTATGGTATGCGGGTTAAAAGTCGAACTTGTATGTTCTTGAATGAGTTTCTGGGAGCGTCTCTGATCCCTCAACACTGCATATGCAGCGAAGGAGAACGATATTCTATCTCCAACAGCACATACATATAACCTACCAATCCCACTAAATTGTAGGAATCACTGAGAAACACCAGGTAATAAGCAATTCATTTACACTCATCCATGCGAACAGATCTCACACCAATGGCGCACTCAAGTTGAGCAGAACCCCCAGGTTATCGACCGTAGCATTCCACGTGTCCAGTTTCAGCTTATTGGAGCTTACATCGCTCTGTTTGCATGCGTCAATCAGGTCTCCAAAATATTCTAGCCCCATCTGCCGCATGCTCAAATACACTTGGTATTCCGAATCCCACTCCGAGCGCGATCTTGCTTCCCAGAGCGCTTTGGGAGCGGGAAGGGGGATGTTGCGAAACCCCTCGAGTGTGTCACACGGTACGCCGATCTTGATGTGCACCATTTGCGCGATGAGCAGCCAGACTACTACTGTCCTGTCGTTGCGATTGTTAGCACATGTTAGCATATATGGGAGGGTGGCGTAGGGGCGACGTGCGTACCTCCGCCTCGACTCGGCGAAGACCCAGGCTTCCCAGCTGCGGCTTCGGTGTTGTCTCTCGTCTTGGAAGAACGGCTGCTTACATAGCTCTTTGAAGCTGTCGCACAGGCTCTGTTTGGCTGGGTTAGATGGCGTCGTAGTGAGCGGATGAACGTGCTGTACCTGGTATGTAACTAGCATCTCTAGATTCAAGCCTGGTTCAAGTCTCGAGTTGTCAATGACGCGCATCAGGATGTATATAAGCTGCGCTTGAACGGCAGCGAGGAGCTCGAAGCGTGAAAACCGGGACTGATCTGTCTACACACACGTCTTAGCGCGACACTACACCACAACGAGGGCGGTGCCAAACCTTAGCAGCCGCAGAGCGCTGTTCTAGCGAAATCGTGTGCCACAGAAATGGCCGCGTCTCGAGGTTGGAGGAGGCGAATAATTGCGCCACGCCCATGCAGTTTGCTAGTGGGGAAGGCAGAGCTGGCTCCGTGGCACTCGGGGCGCGATACCAGTGGCCGTGTATGAAGGGGGGGAACGTCGCCCTGCGAAGCATCATCTGGGGGAAGGCGCGCAGCATCTGCATGATGATGTTTGCGGTGCAAGTCGATGCCGGGTCTGATATTGGGATGGGGGATAGAATGGTCAGATCATGGCATGTCGGTCGGGACAGCGCGTGGGGATGCTCGTCTTGAGGGTTGGCTTGTTCGGATAAGGGGCGTGGGCTGAGCGAGAGGGCCTGCGGATCCATGTTGATGCTCAGGCTGTCGACGATAAATGTATCGTCACCATAGTCGTGGAGAAACGGGCCGCTTGAGATTTCCTTGGGGAATGGTGCTGCGAGATAGGGTATATTGCTCCTAGGACTCTGCAAGAGAATATCATTCGTAGCGAAATCGAGGGCATCCCAGTCCATATCGGCTTGTGCTTCTTCCACATCTTGTATCCCGTTGCATGCATACAAATCATTGGAAATCCCACTACCACTACTCCCATCCCACAAGACTGGCATGCAAACTTGCGCTGCGTTCTCCGCGCCGACTTGGCTGGTATTTGTAGCAGGAGTAGAAGCAGGAGCCGCGCTCGTGTCGTACACGCATTCGAGACTCTTGTTGATGCATCGCGAGCAGCGAGGCTGCAGGCTGCATTTTACTTTGGCCATGTTGCAGGCTCGACATGCCCTGGCGCGGGTCCGAGGCCGGTTCTGCGTACGGCGACAGTATAGCACGTGACGATTGTAGGATGTTTCTAGGAAGCGTTAGCGTCGATGAGGAGAAGTGTGAAGAGTGAACCACACCCTTGAAAAATGGCTTGCGGCAAAAGCCACAGAGCCGCATGGGCCCAGGCGATGAGGCTTGAGGAGACGACTCGAACCTGGGATTCATGGATGTGACTGATCTGTCGTGGAGGTACAAATTTATAAGCAACCTTTTGTTGGGCTATGCAAGGCTCGAGTCTGATGTGTAATTCTGGAAGCTGGGTCCTCTGTTGTTGCGTGCGGCTAAATTGGCCGCAGCGGTCGTCGCAGATTACTAGCGCGCCAAATTGGCCGAGTGAATGTTACAATTTTGCCGAAGTCACGTGCGGATGCTCCTGGCTCCATGTACAGTCCTTTGCCATTGCTGCTACATAAAAAGTCCGAAGACGGTATTATTGAGGCGCTGTATCTAAGACGTGCAGAACTCTGATCACTCTGCCCTACCTCTACCGTCCAACCCGCTGATACACGATCACTATACGCTTCCCATAGATTGTCACCACCACGTTCCTTATACTCTTTACCGAACCCATCAAGTCGCCATGAGTCCGCCAGATAATTCTGTATATGGAGTCGAGCAGGATTCCGGGGTTCATTCCGACACGTCTCGGCGACAGAAAGAAAACGAAAGTCCTAATTCCAGCCTCAACCCCAATGCCAGTCCAAGAAGTGTACATGGTTGGAGATGGGCTGCTGCCGTTGCAGCTCTCTATGTTGGAGCGCTCATCTACGGCCTCGATGGCACTATCGCTGCAAATATCCAAACCTCCATCATCGAAGAATTCGGTAATGTCGAGAAGCTCACGTGGATTGGCACTGCCTTCCCTCTCGGCTCCGTGTGTGCTATATTACCTGGGTAAATTTTGATTTCTACCTTCCTGAAGTAGAGAAGATTGAGCTGATGCCTCTTGAAGAGCTTCTCTGTACACCATTTTCAATCTTAAAGCTATGTTCATCGGGAGCATTGTTCTGTTCGAAGCTGCATCTGCGCTCTGCGGTGCAGCACCCACAATGGAGGCTCTTATCATCGGTAGAGCATTTGCCGGTGTGGGCGGGACAGGAATCTTTCTTGGGTATGTCAGTTCCATAGCGCACCGGACGACCCATCTATTAACATCTTTCGTCAGGATTCTGAATTACTTTTCTCTCTGCACGACCGAACAAGAACGTGGCCGCTATATTTCGGGTATTGGCGTAGTTTGGGGATTGGGTGCCGTCCTTGGGCCCGTTGTAGGAGGAGCTTTCGCTACGTCTTCTGCGACATGGCGATGGGGCTTCTACATCAACCTGTGAGTTGCTTCGGCATGTAAACCCCCATCACTCGGTTTTCTAGCTCATACATCTAGTGCGGTTGCCGCAATCTGTGCACCAGTGTACATCCTCTATCTTCCTCCGGTCACACCAAATGGCGCTACCGACACCCCCATCCTCCAAAAGCTCAAAGATCTAGACTGGACTGGATTCGTTGGTGGCACCGGAGCAGCAGTGTCCCTGACCATGGTCTTGACTTTTGCAGGCTCATCTTGGAACTGGAATGATGGTCGTACAATTGCAATGTTCGTCGTTTCGGGAGCATTGCTCATTCTGACGCTCCTACAACAACGCTTCGCCATATTCACCACTCATGAGACGCGCATGTTTCCCCCACAACATATTCTCTTGAGCAGGACACAAATGCTATTAGGTTGCAACACTGCATTGGCTGCTACTAACATCTTTGTCCCGATCTATTACATCCCTCTTTATTTTGCCTTTACGAAAGGTGATTCAGAACTGATGGCTGCTGTACGCCTACTCCCCTTTATCTGCTTTCTCGCGACACTAAATATGGCTTCGGGCTCCCTTCTTCCAAGGGTCAACTACTAGTAAGCAAACCTGGTTGTTGTTATTCTTTTCACAAACTAATAACTGTAGCTGGGGGTTGTACTTGATAGGTGGAGTCCTTATGACAATCGGTAGTGCAACCATGTTCACAGTCACCCCCGATACTCCCATGGCAAATGTTTACGGGTACAGCATCATACTGGGAGCTGGTACAGGTCTGGTTAACAACCTCGGCTTCACAGTCGCGGGTGTTACAATCATGGCGGAAACAGGCAACGGGCTGAATATCCAACGTGTCATCTCTATGCAGAACCTTTCACAACTTGGTTTTCAGACACTCAGCTTACTCATCGGAGGCCAGATTTTCCAAAGTCTTTCGATGAGGAACCTCACACAAGTTTTCAGGGGCCTAGGGTTCTCCCAGGCAGAGATCAGGAGCGTCATCACAGGAACTCGTAGTGCACTGTTCGCACGTCTGACTCCCGCCTTACAGGAAGAAGCCATCGCGGCCATCACGAATGCCATGAGTCGAGTGTACATTCTTAGTATAGCCGCTGGCGCGATCACGACGATTTGTGCGCTACTGATGAAAAAAGAGAAGCTATTCCCAATTGCAGGAGAGAAGATGGTTATTGCAGGCGGAGCTTAAAATATTCGATAGCTTTTTGCAGATACTCGCTGATCAGTGTCATGCTTCATGCAGGTTTCGGAACTGGGCAGGTTTGCTCGGAGTGAATAATAGATTTAGCTTCTGAGAATATAATTTTGGGATGTTCTATTTGTTGCGATTGACACTTGATAGACCAAAGACGTACACAAACAGGGTCAACATCTCATAAGTAGGCCTTCGTCATATATACATTTCCTTGTTCCTCCTTACCTAGGAACACATGGTTCTTCCTTTTCTACTCTTCCTCTCACATATGTCACAATAACGAGTTCTTGGCTACTTGAACTTGTACAGATCTGGATGTTTAGTAGTATGAACCTATCTTGCTATTTAAAGATCCATACAGCCACTCATCGCAACAAGTGACTAATGGAAGCACGTGTTGCCTAAGTATCATATCCGACTGGATCTGTGTGTTCATATTGATACGGCCCCGATAGTAATACACCACCGACCCACTACCATTCCCTCTACCGCCAGAAAACCAAAAATTACTAGGCTGACTAGTGCGGTACTGAGACTGGCCTTGCAAGATATCCGATTCACATCTTCATCTTCCAACCAATTAGGATCTCCACCCTCTCGCTTCGACACTCACCATACCGGTAGATCATAGCAGGCCTATTCACAAGTTTCACCTCTGGAACATCATGGTCTGGCTCACTCTGCTTGATAGATTTGGTGGAACTAGTTTCTCCTTCTTTGAGAATCTTAACAGGTACCTACACAAAGCTAAATTAGTAAACTAGTAACAGTGAAGAGTTTAGTATGCTAGTCTTCCTTACTGTTAGCATGCAATCAAGATGATACTCAGTGTATGTCTAACGTAAGAAGTAAGCTTCACCTCTTCTCGGACAATAGCCTTCAGGTTGTGTTGCCGATGATTTACGTTCCTTTTTCCATGGAAAGCGGTCAAGGAATGATTGTCATTGCATTTGTTCTTTCGCCGACTCGTTGAGAAAGAGGAAATGGAGTGCTTTGCTATTTCTCATAGTGAGACGGCGATGGATCGAGTGCTGACTATGATGCACTACTTTCATGGCGAGGCCACGAATTGGATGCTAGATGTGAGTAACGTCACGTCAAAGTCCATTCCAACATCTGCCCAACGTCACCAGACATGCACACGATGCCAAATGTAAATCTTTCATATTTCCTGTCTTTCTCATGTACATACAAATTCCCTCCCACCAATCAATATCCGTATTGATTGTGGATACCGCGCGCGCGTATTCACGGCGTGAAACACCTTCCAGTTCGAGAGTCAGAGATGCCGTCAGAGCGTTCGATAATGTAACAAGGTTGGTGTGCCGAACGCAGGTTTCATGCATCCCTTCCGCAATCCACCAGCGACCCTTGAGCCCGGTAAAGGGAGAGTTCGAAGGCAGATGCGGAGGGCTGCTCAAAGGGTACACGCTAGGCTTTCATCATCTGAGAGGTTCTGTTAGTGAGGGCTTGCGGGTGGGCTGAGCGTGTGGGGCTTACTTGAGTTAAACTGGAAGGATGAGGAGAGAAGGTGAGCGCGAGATCGCAAAGTTTTTGTGTCGCGCGCGCTCGGGCGGGCCGTGCGGCCCCGCTGGAGGCTTGGCGTTTCTGTGGACAACTTTTTGAGCAGCGGCGGCGAAGTACATGTTGAATGTTAGTTTACTGAACGAGATTAAGAGCTCAATTCTGATTGGAGATGAGTTTGATACGTGTTCTGCAGCATGCATCGTCTCAGCGGTTGTGTTTCCGCAGCTCATATACCGGGATATCAAGACTCACCCAGACACGCCATCGTGGAAATACACTCAATTATGTAGTAAGATCGCCGAACAATGCAGTCCGCTCTTTTGCGAGCTCAGAATCGGGAGCACCTGAACCTCCACCTGCACCAGAACAATCTACGCCAGAACCGCCCACGCCAGAACCACTTACGCCAGAGGAGAGTCTGCGAAAAACACTTGATGAATTCAAAGCGACTAGTACGTCTCCTCGCGTATTTCACCCCTTATACTTACTTAAGCATAGTCCGCCATCCCTCGTGGAAACAATATCATGATAACTGGAATGACATAAAGAAGGGTGAGCTTGGGCGAGAAATCACCATGTTTGGCTATCTAAGCACGCGACGAGACGTCAAACGGACACTCTCCATGACACAGCTCCGCCATAAAGACCTAACAAGGTGCATCCAACTCATCTGTTCGTCGAAAGACGAGGGCAGCGAAGAAGCCATCTCACATGCGCGCATGAAAACGTTACGAGAATGGACTCCAGTCATGGTTCGAGGAAAACTCAAGAGCCGAGAACCACCCAAGAATGATACACATCTTGGTATGAAACTGATTGTGAATCGTGAGATCGAGGTGTTACAAGTTGAGCCTCTGAACGAAATGCCAAACGATCTCATCATCAAGGAAGAAACTGTGTTTGGGCCAGATCAGCGACACTTGCAGCTACGCATAGATCGTCGCTTGCGCGACAACATCCTCTTCCGGGCAGATGCTAGCCAGAGAGCCAGGTTATCGCTGTCTGAAAGGAACTGGAAGGAGATCGAGACCCCTGTCCTCTTCAAATCCACGCCCGAAGGTGCTCGCGAATTCCTTGTCCCGACAAGAAATAAGGGTTTAGCATATGCGCTGCCGCAGAGCCCACAGCAGTACAAACAACTCCTCATGGCGTCAGGGTTTACCAAGTACTTCCAATTTGCGCATTGTTTCCGCGATGAGGACCTGAGAGCTGATCGGCAGCCGGAATTCACTCAAGTGAGATACATACCTTGCTATGAGGGGTTTAGCTAATGTGTGAAAAGCTCGATATGGAGATGTCCTTTGCTGGAGAAGAAGACATTATGTCGGAAATCGAACTAACGTTGCGAGATCTGTGGTACAAAACGCTGAAACACACGATCATCGCCCCGTTCCCAAGATTAACCTATCAAGAAGCAATGGCTGCGTACGGATCCGACAAGCCCGATCTGCGGTTTGGAGCAAAGGTAGCTCTAACCTGATGATGGCAATATGTTCCATGTTGATGCTCCACAGATACAACCCATCACCAAGTACCTCCCCGCAGACTTGATCAGCAAGATCACTCCCATCGAGGCTCCCGTAGTCGAAGCATTCAAACTACGCCTCTCCGACGACCCCAAAACAACGCGAAAATTCATCTCCAGCTTCCTCGACAGCCCAGCCGGAAAACCCTTCCTCTCCAACCCCGACGGCGAACCAGGCGTCTTTGTAGGAGACCTCTCCCAGCCCATGCAAGGCCTCGGACCACTAGGCTACGGATACGTGATGGAAGGCCCCGGAGCCCTATCCACCTCTCACGGCGATCTTCTAATCCTGCAAGCACGCGCAAACGCTCCATTCTCAGGCGGTTCCAGACCCATAGGAAACCTCCGCCTAGCGCTGTGGAAAGCAGCAATAGCCCAGGGCCTGATCGAGGCTCCAAGAGGCGACAACTTCCAATTCGTCTGGATAACAGACTTCCCGCTCTTCTCGCCGACCACCGACGCCGACCCAGGCCAAGGCGGCACTGCAGGCCTCTCGTCAACTCACCACCCCTTCACCGCGCCCAAAACGCCGGCTGACGTCGATCTCCTGCTCACCGCCCCCCATGAAGCTGTCGCAGCACACTACGATATTGTCGTCAACGGCGTGGAACTTGGCGGGGGGTCGCGCAGAATCCACCATGCCATCGTGCAGGAGTTCATCTTCCGCGACGTGCTGAAGATGAAGCCCGAGCGCATCGAGGACTTTAGGCATCTGTTAGATGTACTGCGCTCCGGATGTCCGCCCCATGTGGGCATTGCACTTGGCTGGGATCGTCTGATGGCTATGATGTGTGGTAGCGAGAGCGTGAGGGATGTTATTGCGTTCCCGAAGAGTGGGCGGGGAGAGGATTTGTTGGTGGGAAGTCCTAATGCTATGACGCCTGAGCAGCTGGATACGTATCACTTGAAGGTGAAGGAGTAGTGAATGCATTGGAAAAAGCTGTGTGGTTGTGGTGTGAGGGCACTGCACCACCATCCAGAAACTCACTTCAACTTTGTTGGCAATATTGCATGGTGCTTTTTCCGAGCAGTTGTACATTTTCTGTAGTATCAACTTTGTATGAGATAACCAAAGATATTTTGGGCACATCTCATGACCATGGAAACAGTCGGGATGCCTCATCCTTTTGACTTCGATGGACTGATATACTCATCTTCCGAGGCGTGTCGAGGCTGCCGTCCTACTGCAACCTTTACGAAAGATTGAATAGGCATTGTATATCACCTTGTAGACCGTAAACAATTATCGGGGCATGATGTAAGACAAGATTATCGCCGTCGAAAGGCCCGCGCAGTTGGCCGAAATAAAGACTCAGTAGCAAACATCCATTGTAAGCACTCAAGTCGATAACTTTTGAGGTAACAGCACGGCTTTTGTCCAAGTTCAGTGATGGATATACCGTTTTCTAAGCACTTATCAAGATTTTCTCGGGAGAATTCACAACCATCGACAAACAGAGGTAACACTAATAGTTCATTCTAGACTAGTGGCCTCATTATCTCGTGTCTAAGCTAAACCTGCAAGGCTTCCAAAGTCACGATACACTCTTCGTCTGCTTAGGTCACGTATCGGAAGTTAGGGTTCTCCCTATCTGTCAAGTCGTCGAAACCATGTGTGGTGTTGATCTCAGTACCAAACTCTCTGTCCTTCTTCTTGTTGCGCATTGTCAGGTTGAAGCGCAAGAAGATGATGACACAAACAAGGAGCGTGTAGCAGCCGAGATGAACTGAGAAAGCCTTCAGGTAGCGAGGCCCGTCACCATTGAAGAAGATTTGGGGCCCGGTTGCGTTGCCGGCGCACCAAGCGAGGAAGTTCATGGTGATACATATCTGAGGAATCTGTTAGAAGTTGTTTCAATATGAAGATCCGCCATTACTTACACTCTTCTTAGTCGAACCTCCAACGTTACGCGTCAGCATGGACATTCCGAGACCTTGTGCGGCCCAAAAGGTGAAGACGATGTAGTAGCTGATGAGAAGACCGGCGCGAGTCGCAGCACTGGTATTCTTGACTGTCATGATGACGATGGTGCCAATAAAGGATCTGCGGGTATGAGCAAAACTTCGAGACAGTTATGTTGTGAAACTTACGGAATCAAGAAGAGACCCATGGTCAGGAGGTTCTGGTTGGTTGTCTTGGTAAGATACGCCGAACCCATGAGGGTGAAAATGATCACAGCACCGAGAACCATGGCGAGGAGCTGAGTCTCCAGAACCGAAAATTTGAGGTCTTTGATGATGATCTGGTAGAAAGCACCAAGACCGGAAGTCGGAATCGTGGTGCAAATCTGAATCAACATATAGCAGTATGTCTGAGGATCAAGCAGAGCCTCCTTGAGTTGGTAGCTTCGGAACTTCTTGTTCTGGAGACCAGTCTGGTTGGAGCGAACGCGCTCGACTAGCAACTTCTTGTCTTCTTCCGAAAAGCACTTGGCGCGCATGGGGCTGTCTATCGGAAAGTCAGAAAATTGCGAAAAGGTGCATGCTTGACGGAAGTGAATACATACCAGGTAGCCAGTACAGCACAAAGAGTCCCCAACAGAAGGAGAACGAGCCATAGGTAATGAAGATGGCCTGCCAAGACCTAATTGAAGCATTTCCTGGGTGTAGAAGATAGCTACGATGCCTGATATGGGAGAAAGCATAGGCGAGTAGACCACCCACGATCTGCTGCGCTCCGTTCATCATATACCAGTAGGTAACCACCTGCGCTTGTTCCTCGCGTTTGTACCAGATGGAACTCATGAGGAGAAACGCCGGCTGGCAAACAGCCTCGAAGATACCGAGTAGAGTTCGAATGCTGACAAGAGCAGGGAAGCTGAAGCAGAGAGAGTGGCAAGCAAGCACGGTACTCCATGCCAAAATATTAAACCCAAGGTACTTTGCGATCGGTACACGTTGAATGGTCCAGTTGGTCGGGTACTCGACTACGAGAACCGCAAGGTAGATACATGTGGTGAGCCATCCCCACTGTGAGATGTTAGTAAGCTGTTGAAGACTATTCCACGAGACCCTACTACTCACATAGTGGTTGTCCTTTAAGACTGGAATGTCGTCGCGGATTCCCATAATGGAAGTGAAGGACATGGTGCCTTTATCCAGCGCTTGCAGGAAATACGTGATAACCATGATTGGAAGTACACGCTTATCAACGAGTCTCTTCAAGCGCTTGTTCTCTTCCTCGGTAATGACAACGGAGCCCGTAGCGTTCGCATACTTGGCCACTTCATCGTCGATACGGTCGAAATTGACGTGATCGGTCTTCTCGTCGTCGCCGGACAGGACACGCTCGACCTGGTTGAGATCCCTCTTTTCTTCGGCGTAGGAGTGGACGGCATCCGGAGAACCGAGGGCGGCCTCGTGACTGGCTCTGGCCATCTTGACGGCACTTCCGAGATCTGGCGACGGAAAAAGATGTTTCAAACGAAGAGAATGAAAGACCTAGGACTCGCACTGAGCTGCCAAAAAGCGGAGTCGTTGACGAGATATATCTACTCTACCCCGTATTAATTGTTCCGTCCCCGGTCCCCTTACCCCGGCTTGTTTACCCCATGTGGTCAGACCTGCCTCCGCAAAAGCTGGGATGGAATTGCGAACTAACGCCTGCACCTCCATCATTCACATCGAAGTTGGCCCTAGCGTAATTCAACGTAGGATTGCAGCGTGCAAGGGGGCGCCTATCGTGGAACCTGAATCGCTAGTCCGCAGAGCGTGCCCACCCCGCGGTCGTGCCGTCCATACAAAGTGCGGAGTGCGGAGACAGTGTGGAGGTGCCACATTCTTGGCTCATTAACTCGATCGGTTGATTCTCGGTACAAAGCGGGCCGAATGATACCTTGTGATGGGTCGGCACGTGCGTATGACTCTTGAAACTCGTGAAAGTATCAGGCGAGACTGCAGTACAGCAAAACCTAGGTATAATCAGGGCTTCGAATGATCACGATATCAACGTTGAGTTCTTCGGGATAAGTCTATACCTAAACAGGATGACTTGGCAGTGAGCTCTTACCGTTACAAGCAAGGTTCCGGCTTGATCTCTGGGTTATATATGAATTCATAACAAAGCACGTTGGCGCAACCACACTTTTGGGACGTAAGGGCTTGCTTATACCAAGACTTGGCTGCAACCGAACCAGACGGCTGGTGGAAGATTTCTTCCGTTCCCAGCATGGCTTTTCTTGAGGTCAAGATCGCTAGTCACCCCCACGAGGGTTTGTATACACTCATTCCGGCTGTCCGGATTGTCGCAATATCAAACGGTTGAACGATCCTTGAATCGGCGTGAGAAAGCTCGAATATCGGTGCATTGCCACGCGAGAGCGGCTGCATTTCTCTTTCTGGGCCGTCGACCAAGGCGACCAAGAGATCTTGGTGGTGAGTTATGGAGCCGTTGAAGAGCCGCCTCTACCAGGAACCCGCCGTAGCAGCTCCGCATGGCCATCATCATGCATGTCACTGTGGGGACGATTGAGTATCGGGATAGCAGAGCACGATAGCGGAGAGGTATGCCATTTTGATTTAATCTTTGCGTCCGGAGCCTTGAGCTGCCCCAAAGGCATACTCCCCGCTTTTCTTCCACCTGCGCGCGTGATCTTAAACTTTTTATCCTCATCATATAGCTGTGGCAGCTTCTGCTCTTCACATCGTCGTTCCGTTGACCTCGTACATACTTTCACCTTCCCAGCGCTCGAGCTGCTCTACAGGACGCGTCAAGCTCCTCTCTCTCGCCCATTATGTCTACGCTCACCATCAATGGCCTCACAAAAGGCACAATCGACGAGAAGATCCAATTGCTGACGCACAACCTCGTCAACATCAACGACACAACCGGCGAGTTTTTGCTGAGGCTCGACGACGGTCGCGTCATCGACACGAAGGGCTGGGACGGATGGGAATGGACACACGGCATTGGGCTCTATGGCCTCTGGCACTACTACACGCTCACCGGATCCCAAGCCACCAAAGACATCATGTTGGGATGGTTTGAAAAGCAATTGAGCAAGGGTACAACAAAGAACATCAACACCGTAAGCCCGTTCTTGACGCTTGCGTACCTGTACGAAGAAACCGGCAACAAGACATTTGTTCCATGGCTGGAAACATGGGCCGAATGGGTCATGCATGGCCTACCAAGAACGAAGTTTGGCGGCTTCCAGCACGAGACGTACAACTCCTTCAACAAGGACGAGTTATGGGACGACACGCTCATGATGAGCGCTCTGCCACTAGCCAAAATCGGGCTCACACTCAATCGCCCGGAGTATGTCGAGGAAGCGAAGAGGCAGTTTATGCTCCACTGCCAATATCTGTTCGACACAAGCACTGGACTTTTCTATCATGGGTGGAAATGGGAGGAGAAGGAGGACGGGGTGGTGGGGCATAACTTCGCGAAGGCGAGGTGGGCGAGGGGTAATTCGTGGCTCACGATTGCGATCCCAGACTTCATTGAGCTACTCGAGCTGAAGGAGTCGGACCCGCTGAGACAATTCCTGGTTGGCATTCTAGAATCACAGTGCAAGGCGCTGGTCAAACTGCAGGCGGAAAACGGCATGTGGCGCACGCTGCTTGATGTCCCCGTCAGCGAGGGCTCATATGAAGAGGCATCTGCCACTGCTGGCTTTGCATACGGCATGCTCAAGGCGTGCAGGAAGAGGTACATTAGCGGCGATGTGTATTTGGACTCGGCTGTCAAGGCTATCAAGGCTGTGATCGGCAAGGTTGACGCCAAAGGAGAGCTACAGGAGGTCAGCTTTGGCACTGCGATGGGGCATACGCTGCAGCACTACAAGGACATTCCCATCACGAGCATGCCGTATGGGCAGGCAATGGCCATCATGGCGTTGGGAGAGTACCTGAGGACTTTCATCTAAGGAACTCGCTTGCAGATAGAACAGACGAGTCAATGATTGAATGATTGATACTGTTGATTATGCGCATACCCACCTGATACCCTTAACAGTGACACGATTATGGGCAGTTGCTAGCTAAACGCGATGCCAGCGCTGAGGCGGGCGTGTTTGGGTGTTTGGGGGGGCGGGCGGTGAGGGGCGGCCCCGCTCTCGCCTGATTGGCCAGCCTGCAGCTTCTCTGCGTTTCTGCCGCTCTGTCTAGAAGATTCTCGAGCTCCACCAAGGGCTATATGAGCCCCAGCGTCTTCCCATCGCCTTGCAGTCTCTGTCAAATTGCTCTCCCACTTTCTACTCCCACTCATAGACAATTAGTCGCCAGACTCGCTCTTACCCACACTAGAAGAGCTGAAGAGTAACCCCACCCCCACCGAGTTTGTACGTTCTGCCCACACCGATTTTGCAGCCTAGCACGCCAGTGAGGCAACTGTGAACCCGCTCTGACCCCTCCCCGCAGTTTCATCACACACGCCCCCGCCATCATGTCTGCGGAAACTTTCGAGTTCCAGGCCGAGATCTCGCAGCTGCTCGGCCTCATCATCAACACAGTCTACTCCAACAAAGAGATCTTCCTGCGAGAACTCATCTCCAACGCCTCCGATGCGCTAGACAAGATCCGATATGAGGCCCTGTCAGACCCGAGCAAGCTCGACAGCGGCAAGGACCTCCGCGTCGACATCATCCCTGACAAGGAGAACAAGACCCTGACCATCAAGGACACGGGTATTGGTATGACCAAGGCCGACCTCATCAACAACCTGGGTACCATTGCCCGCTCTGGCACAAAGCAGTTCATGGAGGCGCTGACCGCCGGTGCCGACATTTCCATGATTGGCCAGTTTGGTGTTGGTTTCTACTCTGCTTACCTCGTTGCCGACCGCGTCACCGTCGTCTCAAAGAACAACGACGATGAGCAGTACATCTGGGAGTCCAGCGCTGGTGGTACCTTCAAGATCACTGAGGACACCGAGGGTGAGCAGATAGGCCGCGGGACCAAGATCATTCTCCACCTCAAGGATGAGCAGATGGACTACTTGAACGAGAGCAAGATCAAAGAGGTTGTCAAGAAGCACTCCGAGTTCATCTCATACCCCATCTACCTCCACGTCATCAAGGAGACCGAGACAGAGGTCGATGATGACGAGGCCGAGACCACCGAGGAGGGCGACGAGAAGAAGCCCAAGGTCGAGGAGGTCGACGACGAGGAAGAGGAGAAGAAGAAGAAGACCAAGACTGTCAAGGAGTCCAAGGTCGAGGAGGAGGAGCTGAACAAGACCAAGCCCATCTGGACTCGCAACCCCCAGGACATCACCACAGAAGAGTACGGTTCCTTCTACAAGTCGCTGTCCAACGACTGGGAGGACCACCTCGGCGTCAAGCACTTCTCCGTTGAGGGTCAGCTCGAGTTCCGAGCCATCCTCTTCGTTCCCAAGCGCGCGCCCTTCGATCTCTTCGAGACCAAGAAGACCAAGAACAACATCAAGCTCTACGTTCGCCGTGTCTTCATCACCGACGATGCTACTGACCTCATTCCTGAGTGGCTCAGCTTTGTCAAGGGTGTTGTCGACTCTGAGGATCTTCCCCTCAACCTGTCCCGTGAAACCCTCCAGCAGAACAAGATCATGAAGGTCATCCGCAAGAACATTGTCAAGAAGACTCTCGAGCTCTTCAACGAGATTGCAGAGGACCGCGAGCAGTTCGACAAGTTCTACAGTGCTTTCGGCAAGAACATCAAGCTTGGTATCCACGAGGACTCCCAGAACCGCTCATCTCTCGCCAAGCTCCTGCGATTCAACTCGACCAAGTCTGGTGATGAGTTGACCTCGCTCACTGACTATGTCACCCGTATGCCCGAGCACCAGAAGCAAATGTACTACATCACCGGCGAGTCGCTCAAGGCTGTGCAGAAGTCACCTTTCCTTGACACCCTCAAGGACAAGGGTTTCGAGGTTCTCTTCCTTGTCGACCCCATCGATGAGTACGCCATGACTCAGCTCAAGGAGTTCGATGGCAAGAAGCTCGTCGACATCACCAAGGACTTCGAGCTCGAGGAGACCGATGAGGAGAAGACACAGCGCGAGGCAGAGGAGAAGGAGTACGAGGGTCTCGCCAAGAGCCTCAAGAACGTTCTCGGCGACAAGGTCGAGAAGGTCGTCGTGTCTCACAAGCTTGTCGGCTCTCCCTGCGCTATCCGTACTGGCCAATTCGGTTGGTCAGCCAACATGGAGCGTATCATGAAGGCTCAGGCTCTTCGTGACACCTCCATGAGCTCCTACATGTCTTCCAAGAAGACCTTCGAGATCTCGCCCAAGTCATCGATCATCAAGGAGCTCAAGCGCAAGGTTGAGGCTGATGGTGAGGAGGACCGTACCGTCAAGTCCATCACCCTGCTTCTCTTCGAAACCTCGCTCCTTGTCTCTGGCTTCACCATTGAGGAGCCTGTTCAGTACGCTGAGCGCATTCACAAGCTCGTCTCCCTCGGCCTGAACGTCGATGAGGATGTCGAGACCTCGACTGAGGAGGAGGCCAAGGCTGATGCTGAGGCTCCTGCGGCGGCTAGCGAGAGCGCCATGGAGGAGGTTGACTAAATGCATCGCTCATCTTGCTCGTTTCGCGAAAAGTTTGGTCGGCGCTTTGATATCCCTTTCATGTGTCATGGCTTTCCCTTCTCTTTTCTCTCTGCCTCACTTGCACGGCAGCTAAGCTTAATCTACGGCGAAGTCCTAGAACGGCTCTCTCATGGTTCACGAAGTAAATGGATATCCCGAAATGTATCTAAGGTAGATTTTACCTTTGGGCGGCTAGGTAGCTGGTTCATGAATGATGAAATGTTCAAACATCTTGCCTTTTGCCATGTTTTGTGAATTGTTGCTGCACAATTGGTGCTTTCGATTTTCGAATCTCGAGTGGTGATCGCGTGTTGTGGCTTGCCCCACCATGCAACGCGTGTATTCTCCCACCTTCACATCACGACGTCTGTATCTTTCTATCTATTATTTCCTTCCCTTCCTATCGCTCTGATTTTCCTAAACTTTGCGATATACTTTCCTCCTCGGTCCTTTTCTCCTCCCAGTCACTGTTTTCACATCACGGCGCTTGCACCTCCAGGCATCCACTTTCCCCAGCCACCTCACCGCACCCAAAACGCTTTCCGGTGACCCAGACGTTCATGCCAAGCCCGAGCGCGTGCCTCACACGTCTCCGCCCGACATGGTTTAGCTGACCTCGTGCCCGGCCATCCAGTCATCCAATGTTTTGTTGAACCATGTTACATTGGTGGATCGTCGAATAGCTTCGGGGAACCACGACGACTTTGCCCCCATGCATACGGGGCGGAATAGGCAGATACTGATATTTCCTCATGTAGGTCAGGTCGGGTTTCGAGTGAAGGGTGGACATAGCCACGTTTGTCTTTTGCCACTATGTTCAGGCACCGGTGTCAGGATTCTCGGGGAAGTGGTGGGTTTTTTGCTGTGTGTGGTAGGTAGGCATCGATGGGTTGCCGGCCTCAGGTGTTTATCGTATCTGCCTGGGGTATAAATCATCGGGGAGAGCGAGGTGAATGTTTTGTTACTTTTGCATTCAACCTTTCACACACGCGGTGATACTATCGTATCAGTCTACACTACTTCTCACTCCGAAACAACCTTTCAACCGCCTACCTAGCATTCAACCGCGCCCATCTAAACCAAATCAACCCAAACCAATCCAACAATGTCCTCATCATCCTCGTCTTCACACCTTCACACCTCTCAACCAAAGCAACCCCCTACATTATCTCCATCTCCATCGTCATCTTCCCGCCTATCAACCGCTACATCAACGCACCATCCCCGCTATAAAGCCAAACCGCCAATCATCCACAACGGCGGCGGGGCGGTCAACGACCCAAACACATCGACGAGCGCGCCGAATGAGGGGTATTACACGTAGTGCGTGCTTGAGACGACGGATAATGGTTGCTAGGCGGGTGGAAGGGATGGATAGCTTCTGATTTTTGGGGGCTCGGTATGCATTGGGTAGGTGTGTGTTTCTAGATGGCTGCTTTTGTTTTGGGAGGGGCTTCGATGCCTGGAGTTTGGGGGTTTGGATTGGGATTTTGGTGCTTCGGGGTTAGGATGGCGTTGTTGGGTTTCGTTGTACGAATATGATGAGGGTCGTTTTTCGGATTTCATATCTCGATGCTGGATGTTATGTAGTGTAATACGACGTTGTTGTTGTTGAGAGGACTTCTGCTCCTTGCCCGAGTGATATGTGATGGTAGAGGTCAGTTTCACGTGAATGACAAGGCCATGTACGGAGACAAGCAATAGCGTCGCCTTGGGTATCACTATACAAGCTTTCTGTCGACCCTCCAAGGGCCCAATGAGCGCTGTAGAAGCTGCCGAGCTCCAGCCCCGTCCAACACACTTTTTTAATCCCAGTACTTCAGCGCGCCGTTCAAATCGCCTGTAACAAGTTTCGACGTCTCCCGCGGATGCCATTGCACAGCCAGGATCGGCGCGTCACTCGCCTGGATCTTGTGCCACATCTTGCACGTTTTCCAGTCCCAGAAGCACACATAACCGCCGCTGTCACCAGAGCTGATAAATTGCCCGTCGGGACTAATGGCAACGTCGGGCGCGTAGCCAGCCACATTGTGGCCCCGATAACTCTTCTTGCGGTTTTGCCTGAACCTGTCTGTGGAAGAGTAGACAGTGATCTGGTTGTCGGAGGACTGGAATGCAACGTATTTGCCAGATGGATGGGGCGCGGAGCGGACCATAGAGAACATGTAGGGTTCGGCGATAAATTTGATAGGGACGGGGATGCCGTATTCCCATGCGCGCAGGGATTTGTCGTCAGAAGTGGTGATAAATCGCCGATCCTGGGAGGAGTTAGCGCTTGAATCCCATAACATGTGCGATTACTTACCTCGTCGCAGAATGTGATTGTATTGACAGGACCCAAGTGGTGATCGTATTCCTGCACCATCTCTCCACTTCGCGTGTCGTATTGCATGATCTTCTTGTCGCTCATGCCTGCTAGGAATTCGTGCGGTTTGCTGGGGTTGATGCGCACAACGTGCGGCGTCTTTCCAGTTGTGAACTTGTTCAAACACTTTCCAGTCTCTGTGTCCCACAATTTCATGTACCGGTCGTAACTCGCTGAGATGAACTGTGTTCCGCTCGGATTGAAGTCGATGTCATTCACAGACTTGGTATGGCCCGAGTATGTACGTAGAAGCTCTCTCTGGTGATATGTGTCCCATAATGCAATCTTGGAGTCTGCCGAGGCAGATAGAAGAAGATGGCCGCTGCCAGGGAAGAACCGCACCTGGGTAATGGACTTGGTGTGGTATTGGTATGTGTGGACGAGCTTCTTAGGGATGAAATTCTGCGCCTCGTGATCGCCGGTAAGCTTGATATCGACGTCTGCGCTTTGTCAGCTGTTTTGTTGTAAAGCGATGCACCTTAAGAACGTACCGGTGGGCACATGCATGTATGTTCGCCCTTGATAGTCGTACTGCTGGCTGCCCACAAACGCGCTCGTCTCCCCCTCTGCTTCAGTATCGTGGTAATCCGTGCCTGCGAGTTTCGTCGACGCCGCTTCGGGGTTGTCCTCGATTTCGTCTTCCTCGTAGACAATCTCCACCTCCTCGTCGCTCCCATACTCGTCGTCGGACGCTGCGTCGGGCCGTTCTTCCTCGTACCGTGCCCAAGGTCCCTTGTATGCTCCGGTCCCAGAAACCACGCTCAAGTCGCCCTTGCCCTCTCGCTTCCGCTTCTTTGCATTTGCGCCTCCTTCAGTAGCACGATGTCCTTGGCGAAATGTGTGGTCGCTGATATAGGTTTCGGCAGCGAAGCCAGTTGGGACTCTCCCGGAGCCAGGCATGGTGAAGAGGAGGTGTGTGGGGGACGAGGTGAGCTGTCGGCTTGGGCGCGTGTGAGCAAGGAAGAGTCCATAGCTTCGCCGATGGTTGACTAGCGTGCGCCAAGACTTGCATCATATGCCGGTTCGACATGATATTAAGTAGGTAGTAATTTATACGACAATTCATCTACATTTACAAAAGTCTGTCAACTAACGCTATCATAGCCCATCAAAGCGTGTGATCATCCAATGCGAAACCCCTTTCCCTCCGTGAGCTGACTCCAACACTGACCTCCACATTTCCTCATGCCAACCCTAACATAGGGTGCCGTTCCAATGCTATAACATTATGTGTACGCGCGTGGCTTTCCCATAGTTGAGCCGGGTATCCTTTGCCAATTCATGTTCATTTCATAGCCAGTGCCATGCCTGCTGGCCTCTTGGAACACCTTTGACCGTTGCAACCAGGCAGAGTCTTAGAAGGGCGTAGTGCGCTTCTAGTGAGACTCGTCGCGGATGAGGGCGACAATCATGCTGTATAGGTAGAAGAAGAACATGAGCAGGTGGAAGCCTAGCTTGATGAACGATTCCTGCGCGGTGTCAGCTTGATACGTTGATTCCCGTTGATTGCAACCGTACCTTCTTGTGCACATTGAGCTTCCTGAAGATCTCTGTCGCATCCAAAAGGTGCTGGTTCTCGAAGATCCTACTCAAGTCAGCATGTCACTTCGCAGAACCCGAGCCGTCGTGGACGTACTTCTTTCCGTTCCATGCCAGCAGTGGCAGGTTCAAGATAAGCGCGATCCAGTATCCGTTGATCAGGAAGAGGAAGGTCAGAACGGCGTGGACAGCGGCCTCGGGGACGATGTAGGTGTTGAGGCGGTTACATAGGTCGATGGGGTTGATGTAGTCACTGGCGCATAATCAGCAAGTGCTCGCGACAAATGCGGTTCCAATACTCCACTTACCATTCCAAATCGCTGTACATAATTGTGAAGAACACTTGGAGGAACAGGTTGACGGCATTGATCAACACCGCCAACAGGTACAACCACGCTTCACCAGTCATTGTAAAGGCTTCTTGTGCTGTGTAGTACGAGTATCGAGGAAACAAGCTCTGATATGGGCAGTGAAGCCAGTGGGGTTCTCAGCGCAAGTAGGGCCAGGCGATATGCAGTCGACTGTCGGCTGTAATCGTGTTTGCTAGGGAAGCTTGCTCGTGCTCGGCGGGGTGTATATGGGGGCGTAGCAGGTAACGAGGCTATTTCCAGCACTGGAAGCGATGCAACAAACAGCAGAACGTAATGCCACTAGACGGGTTGGTGAGGTTATGTGTGGGCGGGCAGCAAGAATGCTGAGATGACGTTTGTTGAGTAGGTGGGCTGCTATGCATGCTTTCCGGCTTTGTCGGGGTCCAAGCGTTCGCTAACAGCTCTTTGTATTCTAGTGGGTCCCAGGATCTGAACAACTTGCTGACATGTGTTACGTTCCTGCTGGAAACAGACAAGCGGTACACGGTCAGACAGAAACTTATTTATTCGTACCATCCAACAGGCACCTAACCAGTTGTTTTCGTACCAAATAGCGCTACCTTTGATTTCAGAGTTCAAAGGCCTAAGTCTCAAATACTACGGCCTCCACCACGTCACTCAGGATGATGACAACCGACTTGCAGTAATCTATCCGCTTTCCGATTTGGTACAGCAACTCCTACCATGAGTATCTCCAGAGGGCCTGTACGTGTGCTTCTTCTACCCACCCAGGCGCATGTAGATTCGCCTTATCTATGTCGCCGATGATCCCCCGAATCTACTTATATGGTTCAAGTAGATGCAGCTGCTTCGGTGATCGCTGGTGTCGGTATGGCGACTGGACCACCTGGCGAATCAGGCAATCTCGCAGTCAGGACCTCAACACCATCCTCGGTTACCAGCAGAGTGTGTTCTGCAACGAGTCAACGATGAATTCAAATTTGACGGAGAAGGACTTACCGAACTGCGCCGTGAGAGAACCATCCTGGGTTACACTTGTCCAGTCATCCGGCCATGTCTTGTCTCTGTGTGAGCCAACACTAATCATAGGTTCAATGGTGAAGCACATTCCTGGTTTGGCCTGCCCAATCGCCTTATTCTTCGCATAATGAGGTACATTAGGAGCGCAGTGGAAAAGCGAATTGATCCCGTGCCCGCAGTATGTCCTGATGACACTGCAACCCTTGCTTTTTGCGTGCTTCTCAATAACGTTGCCATACTCGCGGAAGAGTGTGCCTGGCTTGACGATTTCGATGGCCTTCTCCAGGCACTCTCGCGCCGCTTCCGTCACGCGCACTGCGTCAGGGTTTGCCAGTGCCTTGTCACCAATGTAGTATGTCTCATTCAGATCGCTGTGGAAGCCGCCGTGGTAGAGGGACACGTCGATGTTGAGGATGTCGCCATCTTGCAGCACGCGCTTATCCGGAATCCCGTGGCAGATGACTTCGTTAACCGATGTGCAGACAGACTTGGGGAAATTTACGTAGTTGAGAGGTGATGGGTAAGCCTAGTAGTTGTCAGTCTGGAGAAAGGCGTCACGTCTACATGGCATGCTCACATCGCGTTCAATGCAAGCCTTGTGGAGAACCTCGTCAATGTAGTCGGTCGTAACGCCAGGTTTCGCCGCCCGCGCAGCAATATCGAGGACCTCTCTCCCCATACGGCAAACCTTACGCATGGCCTCCTGCTCCTCCTTGTTCAAGATGGCGATCTTGTTTCTGTTGGCAAACACCTGCTCTGAGCGCGGTACGCCATCCTTCGAATAGTCTGGGTGCTTTATGCTACTTGGAATCTCTCTTTTAGGCGACAGAGGGTAGACGGGTCGCAAGGCTCCGGTGTACGGAAACGCAGGAAACGGGTTGAAGAGGCCAGTCGCTGGATCCGGGTGAGAAACTACTTTGGGCGGGAAGAGGTTTTGGAGAATACTACTTTGAGACTTATGTTCTTTCTTGTGCTCGCCCTACCACAGCATTAGATGCCTTTGTCTGCAAACCAAGAGCACTCATACTATGTACCCAGTTTCGCTTGAAGCAGTCTTGGGAGCAGAAGTAGCTCTCCTTGCCTACTTTCTGGCAGTTGGGACATTGCAACGCGCCCGCATCCTTCTCGCAGTCCTTGCTCGAACACTTGCGCGGGGCGTCGACGGCCATTGTGCGCGCAGAATTACAGTCGTAGAGACAGACGTCTTGTTGACAATCGAGATGACGGCGTTTGTGTTGCGCCTAGATAAAACGGGCGTACAACGTTCCACACTCGGCGTAAAATGCTGGTCAATAATATTGATTTCTAGGTCGTCCGATGCACCGAATTCGCGGACGGTCGGAGGTCGGAAATGGTACCTGATTAGTCATAGACTTCCATGATGCCTGGACGTGGGTGCAAATACACTAGGTGACTTCCCTTCCTGTCGCCTTCCCGCTCGGCCGTCTTTTTTTACCTTTTTCTTTCTGTGCATGTGAACCTTTTCTTAATTCTCTCACCAACTTAAACTCGGTCTTCTCTTCATGTAAAAACACGTTTCTCGGATTCATACATTTCTTTGACTCATCTGATCTCATTTCTTTGTTCTTCTTGCACCTTCTCATCGCCCTGGGTGTATATCCCTGTGCACCAAGGCTAATTTCCTCACTCTCATCGGGATGGCACAAAAGGTCGTGGTTGTTGGTGCTGGTCCAGTTGGCGCCTTGGCAGCCTTATACGCGGCAGTCCGTGGTCACGATGTAGAAATCTACGAACTCAGATCAGGTGATTTATTCTTGGGTATGCTGCAATCTCATGCTCTAACGCTTCAAAGATCTCCGCAAAACCAATGCTACGGCTTCGAGCTCTGGCAAATCTATCAATCTCGCACTCTCTGAACGAGGCATCAACTCTCTCCGAAAGGCTGGACTACCAGAACTCGCAGATGCAGTCCTTCGGGATACCTTTCCCATGCATGGGCGCATGATTCACGTGAGGAAAAATGGGGAGTATGCTCGTGAAGCACAACTTTACGATGCACGAGGCAGAGTGAGTTCAAATTCGACCAGAGTCAAGCATCTCGCTAATAGTAATCAGAGTCTGCTTGCTATGGACCGAACAGGTCTGAATAAGACCCTTCTCGATCAGCTCGAAGCAATGCCAAATGTTACGTTCTTCTTTAACCACAAAGTGGTTGGTGTGGATTTCAAGAAGAAAGTTGCCTGGTTCGAGCACCGACCCAAATCCGAGACGGCACAGGGCGCTGAGTTTGAGTTACGATTTGACCTAATGATTGGCGCCGACGGGGCCCACTCTGCTGTGCGATACCATCTGATGAAGTTCGTCCCTATGTCCTACCAACAGGAGTATATTGACAAGCTCTGGTGCCAATTCCATGTACCACCAACACCTAGCGGGGACTTCCGTTTACCACCAAACTACCTGCACATATGGCCTCAAGATGACTCGATGTTCATTGCGCTTCCCAACATGGACAAGACGTTTACCTCAACTCTCTTCCTAACAAGACCTGGCTTTGAGGAACTGAGTTCATCCGGAAAAATAGTGGAATACTTCAAGGCAAAATTCCCTGGCGTAGTCCCAGAACTTATCACCGAGGATGAGCTCCGAAAACAGTTCACCACAAATGAACACCTACCTCTGATTTCCATCAAGTGCACACCATACCACTACGGCTCTACAGGAGTCATCGTAGGAGACGCCGCTCATGCCATGGTCCCCTTCTACGGCCAGGGAATGAACGCTGGCCTGGAAGATGTCCGTGTACTGTTTGAGTTTCTCGACAAAAATCCTAATAACCAAGAGAAGGCATTGGCCGAGTACACTGAAGAACGCACACCGGACGCTCAAATGATCAACGATCTCGCACTGGGCAATTACCGCGAGATGGCAAGCGATGTGAAGAAGCCGCTATACCTCCTCCGCAAATGGATCGAGGAGACGCTGTACATCCACGTTCCGAGCGCCGGTTGGGCTACACAATACTCGCGCGTCACATTCAGCAATATGAGATATTCCGAGGTTTTGCAGGCATCGCAAAGGCAGACAAAGATTTTCAATGGCGTTCTCGGGTTGGCGCTTGCCTCTTTAGTCGGATCTACTCTCTGGTTTGCTAGGGCTGGGGGTTTGCACAGAGCGAAGATGGGCATATTACGATCGATATGTTGGGTTGCCCAGCGGATGCAAGGTTGAGCAGCATGAATGTTGGACGAGGTACGAGTGTATGAATTTAGTTTGGAATGTAGAAATACCTTGAACATAAGTCCTCAACTTAACAGTACAGACGGGAGTAGCCTGATGACACATTCACGTACCGACTGCCAGTGCTTACTCAGTGCCCACATCTTACGTATATCTCTACCAAGCCATCCTAGCCACAAAAGAGCCGGGCCAAGTCCGCACAGCATACTTCCTTGCCTCGTCAAACATCAGCAGCCCGAAGCCAAACGCAGCAGGCAGAAACCAATGTTCCACGGGTATCTGTCTTGTGTCGATGGTATGCTGCAGGGAGGGAATGTAACAGAAGATGAATACGATCACGATGGAGAACACCATAGCAGGAAAAACCAGCCAATTCTGACACGAGTTAACGTTTATGTTTGATGGCTGGACAAGTAGGATAGCGTACCTGAGTCTCTTTGTTGAAAAGCGGGGGTTGTTGGAAGATGCTGAGACGACGGGTGCGGGTTGCGAGGAGATTGAAGAGTTGCCTTTGCTGGTGTTAGTTCGTTTCGTGGTTTTAGTTGGGCTCATAACTGACATAACTACTAGCGTGACAAAGTAGATACTAGATGCTGTGTTTGCTATCTCGGTGATATACGCTGGGTCATACTGTGCGTCATATTTGCCAAACTTGAGCCACATTGCTGTAAATGGCACTCCCTTTCCTGATGAGAAGTCAGTTGGCGTTCTTGATGTCAGTTGAAAGGGAGGGTCAACTGACTCGACATGTACCAAAATGCCATGGTAAATGAGCAAAAGCACTGTATCAGGCCGATAACGAAGTACGCATGGAAAATCAGCCTGGCATCGACGAGACGATCTTTCCTGGGGTTACGCGGAGGTCGGAGCATAAGATCCGCCTCGGGTTTTTCGTAGGCGAGGGTAATAGCGGCCGCACAATCAGTGAAGCAGCAAATGATGATCTGAGCTGTCAGTAAAAACAGGCAAGGTTGGGCTCATAGTGACATACCATGAGGAACGAGGAGAGAATCTGTGGTATGCCAAAAGCGACATTCGTGATGACAGGCCACAGCTCGCTGAAACTTCCGGCAGGCAGCAGGTACGTGATTGTTTTTCGTAAGTTGAAGAAGACTAATCGTCCGTACAAGACGGCTTGGACTATTGCCGCGAAGGAGTCGAGAAGTACCATGTCGGCTGCTTCGATGGCGATGTCGGATCCACTGCCCATTGCAATTCCAATGTCAGCGGTCTTCAAAGATGGCGCCTACAAGTATGGTCAGTGCTTGTTCACGGTTTGACTTCCCACAGTTATCCTACATCGTTGACTCCATCACCCGTCATACCAACGATATACTCGCGAGCTTGTAGTTCCTTGACAATGCGGAGTTTCTGCTCGGGTGTTGTCCGCGCAAAGACGATCTCTTCATACTTTGCTAATACATCCCACTGAGCTTCATTCAAAGTGATGAGCTCTGTGCCACTCAATACAATCGCTTGCTTTGTGGTGCTAGAAGTACCATCTCTATCGAGAGCGTTGATGCCATCGACCAACTCTGGGTTTGAAATGATGCCACAGCTCTCGGCGATAGCCTGGGCCGTGAGCTTGAAGTCACCAGTGACCATGAAGATGCGGATGGAAGCCCCTCGTAGGGTTCTCACCACCTCTGGAATTTCGTCTCGAAGCGGATCAACAATGCCGAGTAGGCCGACTAGAGTGAGACCCTGACAAGCGACTGCAAGAACTTCCTTTTCGCGGTTGTCCGAAGAGGGCAAAACGGTGGGCTTGCGTGCGAGAAGAATAACACGTTTGCCCTGACGCGACCAGCTATCTTTGACTCGCTCGATTTGAAGGCGCTGGCCGTCGGTGAGAGGTACGACTTCAGCATTGTCGTTGAGAAGAGTGTCACACCAAGGCATGAGGACATCTGGAGCTCCTTTTATCATGAGATTACTAAGATAGTTAGCGAAGTAGGTACTGGCTTCCGTGAATCAAAGCTTACGTATTGTTACTCGTCGGATTCTGGTTTGCTGGCGTCATAAGACGAACCATGAACTTTCGCTTGCTGTTGAAGGCAATCTCAAACTGCAACTTCCAGTCGCGTCGTAACTCCGCCACAGATCCGAGGGTCTCGGAGAAAGCGAGCGTAGCTTTGTCCGTCGCATCACCGTTGATAGTGCGCTCTGGGATGGGCTTGTGCATTGTGGCTGCGTCGAACTCGCCAGAGTTGCACAAGCCGGATAACATACGCAATTCGTTCATAACCTGTCGGCGTGTTTTGATATAGGTGGCATTGTTTTCGGAGTTTGAAGCAGCCATCAGATTGCGCGCTGCTTCCGGCGTGAACTCTTCGCCAGCAGCATATGTATCCGTCACCACCATAGTATTCTGCACTGCTTTCAGTAACTGCATGATTGAGAAATAGCTAGGTAGTGCGGCTTACTTTCGTCAAGGTGCCTGTTTTGTCTGAGCAAATCACTGACACGGACCCAAGAGTTTCAACCGTTTTCAACGACTTGCAAAGGATCTTGTTCTTCCTCATCATGTTAGCCGTGATAGTCAGACTCGTTGTCAACGCAATAGGCAAGCCTTCTGGAATGAATGCCACCGCAGCTGCATAGTCGAATCAGTACTTGCGATGGCACATGATGATAGCAAACCCATACCTGAAACGCAGCTGACTATAAGAAGAGGAACGTTGATCCATTCTGGGTGGGCCTTTTTGAGCCATGCCGCCCTGAATGTGTCAGTAATACGTTTGTGCTAGTATGTGAGGCTATGACCGCAAACCAGAGAACAATGATCAGAATAACAACGCATGTGATGAAAACAGAGATGATTGAGACAAAGCGCAGAATCTCCTTTTGGAGCGGGGTCATTCCTGTCTTGGGATCCGAGGTCAGCTTCGCGATCCGTCCAAAGATGGTGTTGTCGCCAGTAGCCACACACACTCCTAAGCAGCTACCGGAGATGCAGTACGTTCCTTGGGGGCCAATATTGTTGGTCTCGAGATAATTTTCTTCGGTCGACTGCACACTTGCTACCACAGGCTCCGATTCCCCTTGCACATGTTAGTGCGCACTACAGCTTGTGGAGACTGAAGACATACCAGTGAGAATCGAGCGATCGAACATGGCATCGCTTGACACTTCAACAAGACGAACATCTGCTGGTAACTTATTGCCATGTTTGATGACGATAACATCTCCAGGAACGAGGTTCACAGCCGAAACTCTGGTATGGGATTCGTTACGAATGACGATACACTGATCAGGTAACCCCAAAGCAATGGAAGCCATGAGCTGACTGGTCGACCAATCCTGCCATGCGTTGAAAGCAGCTTGAACGATCCAGACTGCAATCAGAACACAGGCGAGTGCCAAGTTGGCAACTGCTGGCGGGCTTCCGAGAGGTTTCCAAGCAATGAAGACAAGTATACCAGCAACAACGAGAATGCCACCAAAACCACCAAAGAAGTAACCTGTTATCTTGCCGAAGAGACCCGACGGGGGAGAAGTCATTTTGTTTTGGCCATACTCGCCGGTACGATGCTTGATCTGGTCTTCGGAAAGACCACAGGCGATGTCGACAGAGAGACGACGACACAGCTCGTCAACAGTGAGTGTGTGCCAATCTAGAGCGGCCAGATCTGACGGAAGGACGATGGGATTAGTAAAGCGTTACTCAATACATCACTGAGCTTCTAGGTCAGGTCGCGTGTCATGGGAACATACCGACTGCTGCCTTTTCCTTCGCACGCCCCAAGCCTTCCTGTCTTTTGTGTAAATCCTCATCCACCTCAATAGAGAGTGTCCGATAGGTGATGGGAAGTGCTGTCTCAGGTTGGAAGGTCCTAGCAGCACCAACAGAACTGCGAATGGAAAGACTTCCGACACTGGACTGACGTCGATGATGCTGGGGGGCACGCTCATGCAGTACATGGCCATCTTCCTCGTCTCCGAATCGGATTCGATGAACTGGTTGCTTGTTCTCTTCATCCATATCCAAAAGCGAATACAGTCCGTACCGAGAAGATCTTAGTAACACAGCGACAGAGAAGGCTCAGAATGAGATGGGAGAGGAGCGGAAAGAGGCAAGAGTGGTAGGAGGGTAATTGAGGACATCATGAGAGAGTTTTATATAACGAGACGGGAAGTGATAGTACCTGTGATAGGATCCAAGTACGTAACATGGTCTATCAAGTTAGCATTCTCCAAAATCACCGACGATATGGCACAAGCAACGGGTTGCCTTTCCTCCATCCCCTAGCGATTCCAGCGAAAATGCCGCAAGTATTTGAAAGCAGATAATGCAGCATGATGATCACATTCGAGCAGCGGCATGTAACTTTTCTTCAGGTGAGGCATAATTTCCGTACTGGTTGTGATGGTGGATACAAGCTGTTGTTGGTTAGCCATGAGCGATTTATGGCTGTACACAGCCCCGAGGATTTTGCACGAAGGAGCCCTGCGCATGAAGCCAACCAGCGCTCACCGATTTTGACTACACACATGTATCGATAACCAAACTCTTTAGATATCGCGTCGCGGGATATGGTGTTGTGGTCAGTTGTCGTCGGGTCAATCGTTACCGTAATCCTTGTTCCACAACGCCGAGTCTGGCTCCAATGCGTGTAAGTTTTGCTTTTCCTTATAAGAGCAAATCTTTTTTTAGACGTTGTGAGGCGATTTGCTGTTTGATTCTTGCCAATTTGATGAATGATGTCAGGCAGGTTATACACGCTGCCCGACTCCTCTGCTTTGAATCGTTTGCGCTGTGGACGCCGAGCTCATTGAGCACCAGGTTGGAGATATGGTGTCGAGCCTGTCCTTTCCTTCCGTTAGTTCTCCGTTTCTTGTATCCTGGAACGCGAAAATGTGTCTATGCAATTACTAGTACAAGTGAAAAACGAAGACACTAAAACATACTTTTGTTGTTTAGATTGCATGATATGAGAATGTCATGTACGTTCTTTTTACTCCACAATAACTTACACGAAGGCTATGCTTGTTTGGCGAGTCTGCACGGTTTTGAAAACGACGGACCACTTTTTCACAACTCGACACCTTAACTGATAATCTGATTTTTTTCATTGTATACCCAATCATATGTGGGAGTATCTTCGTTACTTTACATCAAGTCGATATGGAGCTTTCAGGCTGCTGATAGTCCGTGAATGATCTCGCCCGATCATATATCAACTGTTTCGTCGTGAACGCCATCGCTAAATAGCACCGGAGCATCTGCTCAAACATCAATCGCGTCGACCGTAACGCCCTTGATCCAAGTATACTGCATAACGCGAGCGACTTCAAGAGCCGATTCGTGAGAGGCCAAAGAACCCACCAAGTACAGACTGGCATCCAGACCTGCAGTGACGCCGCCAGTAGTGATGATACGCATTCCGCCAAGAGGCATGGATGCACGCCTGGCAATGGACTCGCGACGACGAGAATCGCGGAAGGCGTTGCTGCCCTTGCGAGCAATCGACTTTCGACGACCGTGTTGTGTGTTGGTACCCTCAGTCGCACCTTCGCGGGATTTCTTGATGATGTATCTGCTGACTGTGAGTACCTTGCGTCTGCAAAAGGCTCTGGGACTGCTTACGGGTTATCGTCAGGGTTCTCGCCCAGATCGAATCGTGCGTTATTCACAACGTATCGCTCCTCCATGACGTCGGTACGCATGGACATGTCCCGCCTGGCAGCGTCTTGACAGAGCGTCTCGAGACGAACGTAGTAGTCCGGGTGAGTGGTGGCCGCAAGACCCTCAAGCATACCTTGTTGGGCAAGAAGAAGAGCGCCGACGTCGATGGCGAGGATGGTCCGCTCTTTGGCAGGGCTCTTCTCCTGGAGCTCAACGTATTTGGTGAGAAGATCAAGGGGCTCGGACTTGTTCTTGAGCACCTCAAAGACACCCTCGCCGCCAGGAATGATGATGACATCAAAGTCATCAAGCTCGTCATTGGCATCTCCGTAGTCCATGTCAGCCTTGATAGTGAGGCCCTGGACAGATGTCATAGCAGCTGCGGTGCCAACGAACTGACACTCGAAAGCTTTGCTGGCTGCAGTTCATGTTAGTGAGGAGTCGGATGAGAATGAGAGACGGTAAACTTGTCAATGGGTTCTCAATTGAATGTTGAGATGCTTACACTTGTCTTTGGCGTTGTGGAGAGAGCGACTGAGGATCTCGAGAGGACCGGCCACGTCGAGCGTGTTGTAGCCAGGAAAGAGGGCGAACAGCACCTTGACGACCTCAGAAGGGCCATCAGTGCTGTCAGCGATTGCACTCATTGTGACTGATTTAGAGAGGAATGTGAATTGGATGGGGAAAGTTTGGTGACTGGCAGTGGCTGTCGTGAGGAAGAGAAGGGAAGAGGGAGAGGTGAAAGAGAAAGAACAGAGGTGAAGATCAGCTAGGGAGGGGTAGCTCTTTCTTTACGATCTCGTGTCTGTCTGCGTCACTTGAACTGGGAGCTCCTTCCCCAGGAAGCTGCACCCCGCACGCGAAGTGGGGAGGAAACGTCGATCCGCTGCTAACGCTGATGCCGACCCCTGCTGAAACATCGGCCCGTTCGTACCTGGATCACGCCAATACATTATTCGAGAGCACAGCAATACTGCAAGAGAGACCAGGAAGGGACCAAGCAATTATTCTCATGAATGACGTATCGTCTTTGGTGGATGTAGTTGTAGACATGTTGTAAGGATGGCTGGACGATGAAACGACGTCTGTGCTTGCTTCTTCCTATCTGGTCTGACGCCCCAACTTCAAATTAGGTCTGAACCTCAGCTAAACAAGAGTTTCTAATTTCTCTTTAATATGTTCATTATATTTGTTGGCATTGTTATGTGACTCTCAATTCCAGATTTGTTCCCGAATTGCTCGTTGGTGATTGCGTGCACGGACCTCACAAGAATGTCCCATTTCCCACGTTGACAGCCATCGACGACTTCACTCGCAAAATGGATCCACCCACGACCACCGTCTCTTCGACACCCCTCGATGCAGCGAGAAGGGATAAGCAGCAACCCCCTCCGGAAACGAAGGAGAGCATTTGGCTCCGACGGGCTGCGATACTCTCCTTCTGGGCTGTTGTTGTTCTCCTGGGACTGCCCGTATGGCTCAAGACGACTGCCATTTACAGGGCGGAGCTGCCGCTGCAACACATGACGGACTGGGCCGAAGGCAAGGTGCGCGTTTTCCTGCCTCGTCAAGATATCTGCTGACGTCCTAGGCAGGTCTGCAAGCCAGTTTTCCCCCTGCGCATCGCCGTCGAGTCCCCAATTGCCTCTCCAGATGGACTGCATCTGGTTCGGATGACACAGCATGCGCTCGACGATCTCAATGAATTCCCCGCGCATCACCTCCGTCTCATGCTCTCTGATGCGCCCCTCCTGTCGAACGCGTCACAACAAGTCGTCCGCGATGGGACGACCATGAAGAGCGACGATAAAGATGTGGCTTTGGTTGTTCGGTTGATACCTGTGGAGACGGGCGCAACGCCGCGATCGCAGCTGCGGACACACTCGCCTACTCTAGATGTATATTACTCGCCGAACCAGATGCCTCTACAATCCTCGACAGGCTCGCCTCTTGCGACCTTTGTGGCACAAGAGCTGCACAAGATCTTCGCTGAAGAACAGGCACAGCTGGCACACCTTTTGTCTACCTCCGGTGTACATGCCGCCAATACCAGATTGCTGTCTCCCGAGACCTCCGCGGAGCTTCAACGCCAGTCGACAAGGGCACTCAAGTATGCTCCAACATACCACCTGACCTTCTCGTTGTTCAGCCCGACATACGCTCCTTCAGCATGGGACGTCGACGCTGCCCTTCGGCACTATCTAGCCCCATTGCTTGAATCTTTCTCAGCCATCAGCAACTTCACCGTTGACACCCAAGTCCAACTCTACGCTACCTCCTCGCCTTCTATTCGCCAACCTGAATACGACGAAGATGCTAAGGCCTGGATGCTGCGCAAGGAAGACCTCAGCGGCTTCATCAACGCTGCTGAATGGCCTCTTAGTCCTAGCATCGGCGAGGGACCGACTGTCAATTTCATCCTCTACGTGCCCGACAAGGATCAATCCCCACTCCTGGTCAAGGAGAATGCGGGAACTAGCTGGCTTGTTCCTCAGTGGGGTGGTGTTCATATCTTGAACCTCGAACATGAGTCAAGCACACCATCTGCGTTGACGGCGGCTGCGCTCGCACCTGCTATGCACACGTTTTCGAACCAACTCATCTCGCTTTTTGGCTTACCACAAACTCCTGCTTCGCTGCCACTTCGAATATCGACTCTCGAACGCGTGCGGGCAGCCTCCCTCATCTTTTCGGCTTCTTCAACTCTGGGCGCACTAGCTCAGGTGTATCAGAAGCTTCCCTCGATTCCTGTGCCTGACAACGTCGCTCAATCGGCTGATCTTACCATTGTCCATTTGCAGCAGGCTTGTGACTTCCTTCGGGAGGGTCGCTTCCAGAATGCTTTGGAGCATGCTCGAGTTGCTGAGATCGAGGCCGAGAAAGCATTCTTCGAGCGCTCTATGGTTGGTCAAGTCTACTTTCCAGATGAGCATAAAGTGGCCGTTTATCTGCCTCTACTGGGACCTGTAGCTGTGCCTTTGGTCATGGCGGCATTGAAAGAGCTGAAAGTAGCACTCAAACGGGGCTGAAGCTCGTTTCCGTACACTGTTCTACATAGGCTCGATGAGATTGACAGTCAATCGTGCCAAGGTGTCGCAGTCCGACACGCCCGCTTGAGCAAGACTAGATACGACCGATTCGAGTAGGACTTTACTACGCGGGCTCCACTCGATATCACTGACAAAGCTGTAAGCTTTAGAAGAACCACGAGTCGAGTTCTTACATTCGGCTATGTCTCTTGTAAGACATAATTTGAGATGCACGCAAAACCCCGCAGCGGGGGTATGGGGGCCCCACCTAAACCAAACTAACATCACAAGGATGGGCCCTGTAGTTGTGTTCCAAGGAAGGGGCAATCCGACCAGGACCCCGGTTGTATTGCGTTACAAGATTCCCATGTTACTGCTTGTGTGCTAGATTCTGGCCTATCAGTAGACATGTCAGGTACTTTCGGTGGAGCCTTCCTGCACCCAGATAGGTAATGACGACGCTCTGGGATGAGTTTACTGTCATAGCATATACGTGTTTATCGGTACTAAGAAGTAGCCTACAATTGAGTTCAGTCACGCTGCAGTGTTTCTGCGTGTACTTGCTCCCAGTTATCCGAGGGAGCCACATCTCCCCGCATTGTGGTATTAAGACCCGCCCATTGCCTTGCATTCTATCGAGCGTATTCTTCAATTGTCATTGAAGCACATCCATCTCACGCAATGCCTCTCTCTGCTCAGGGTATCCAGAGTGTCAAAGATGTCCTTGACGACGCAGTACTAAAAGAAGGTTTAACCGGCTGTCCAGGCCTTGTATTCCACGCCGTCGACAAGTCAGGAAAAACTATTGCTGAGTATGCAGCGGGTACTCGAGGTCTGGACTCGAAAGAGCCAATGGATCAAGACACAGTGTTTTGGTATAGAAACCCTAAATCCGACATACGACCTAGAACTGACTCCAATACTAATAGGATCGCTTCCTGCACAAAGCTCGTCACCGGAATCGCAGTGCTCCAGCTCGTCGAACAGAACAAGATTCCTCTAGACGATTCGGAATTCGTCAAGAAGATTGCTCCCGAGATTGCAGAGAAGAAAGTCTACGCAGATGGTGTTACGCCAACCGACCAGCAAAAGGGCGTCACAATGCGAATGCTCTTGTCACACACAGCAGGGTTCGCCTATTCATTCATAGATGGCCGGGCGCAGACCCCAAATGGACTTGAAGGCGTTGACGGCAACAAAAGCGACATACTCGATTCCAAAATGGTAAACCAGCCAGGCTCCATGTGGGAGTACGGGGTAAGTCTACACATACAGTCGTGAAATGGAAACATGCTGAAACACTACTAGATCAGCATGGACTGGGCAGGCATCATCCTCGAGCGTGTCTCCGGCCAAACCCTAGGCGACTACTTCGCCGAGCACATCTTCGCGCCCCTGGGTATCTCCCCCGAAAGCGCATCCATGTTCCCCTCCAAGCAGACGCAAAAGACGCTCGCACACATGCACCAGCGCAACTCCACGTCCGGCCAGCTCGAAAAGCGCTCGCACCTCTACAGCGGACCCCTCAAGAAGGAATACACAAAAGACGAGAAGAAAGACTTCCTCCAATCCGGCGGCGCAGGCCTCTTCGCAAAACCAAACCAGTACACCAAGATCCTAGCCGCTATCCTGAACGGCGGAACGAGCCCGCAAACAGGCAAGACGATCCTGAAGAAAGAAACTATCGATCTGATGTGGGAGAATCAGATTCCGGACCAGTACGCCATAGTCCCCTCCCACCCATCCCCAAACCCGCACAACACTACTAACCATTCCAGACCAAACTTCGCCCGCGGTGGCCCCCCACCCGCCAAACCCGAGCTCCTCGCGCAAACCCCCGAATTCTACCCCCAGCCCAACGACCCCGCACAAGGCTGGGCGTTCGGCGGCTTTCTGACCATCGAGCCGGGCCCGTCGGGGCGCGGCGCGAATACCCTGTGGTGGATGGGGCTGGCGAATTGCTTTTGGTGGGTCGATCGCGAAAAGGGCGTTGCGGGGATGCTGGCCAGTCAGGTGAGTTTGTTTTCTGTGTGTGCGAATGAGATGTGGGGGATGTGCGAGTTAGGGACGAGAGTGCTAATGGTGATGTACAGGTGCTTCCGAATCCTGACCCGAAGGTTGTTCCTGCTTGGTTTAATTGCGAGAAGGCTATTTATGATAATTTGGAGTGAGGATCATTCTGGCTGAGGGGAAATGCGGTGTGGTGCGGTGCGGTGCGGTGCGGTGTGGCAATTCAGTCTCAGAGATGAGATTACTTGAAACGATTTTGTTCCTGAGCGCTGAGTTGTCTTGATCTTTCACTGTTCAACTACACCTTTCCTGACTGCCCATCACACCAACAATATCAATTTGCAGAACATCGAGGTACAAACGCACAACGTGGTGACAGTGACGGTGGCGGGGGTGGGGCTTAGTTACTTCCGACATACCTATTTTCGCCCGTTGGACAACACGAAAACACGAAATGTCAGGATTTGCCATGTATGTTCTTATATTTTGTGTAAAGCATGACAAAAGTAAGGCGACATAGGTACTTAAAAGTACGTACGGTTATTGGAAAACAGTGTTTCCATACAACATCCCCTTGTAGAAAGGGAACCTGCTACATGTCCGGCATGGTGTGTCCCAAGTAATAACTTCCTGGATTCATCAAGGGAGCGCGTACAACACGTTCTCTTCTCTGTTGTTCTCGTAGTCAGTCAGCCTTGCGGCAGGTCCGCGCGCTTTGTAGTGGCCTCAGCGAGAGCGGGTCCAGGGATCATCGCTTCGAGGAAGGCGTGGGAAAAGGCCTCTGGCTGTGATAACTTTTGCCCCACTTTGAGTGTCGAAGACATCAGCCAGAGAGACGAGGCTTTAGGTTTGAAGAGCGACCTTCGACAAGGTAGCACAATGGCGATACCTGGTGGTACGACGATTCACTCCAGTCTGATCGTCTGCCTATGCGAACGGCAAGCGACGAGTCTTTCACACATGTCGCCATCCCCATTCCATGACGATTTGCATTTCGTTAATGAGGCAAAACTCGCCCCTCTCGCGGCCTCCCGTTTGTTCAGCCCACGCTTTCACACGGCTGTGCACCGTCCACTCTTTGAAGAGAGGCGTCGTGAACATTCTCAACATCCTGTTGTGCCAGATCGCCATGTACATGTGCAAGGGCGTCATGATTGCCTCAGGTCTGTGGACTTCTTCGTACGCGGAGCCGTTGTAGCCGACTCGGACGTCTGGATTGAGGAAAACACCACGAGAGGCGGATAGAGGGTTGTCGGCGTGGATCAAGCAGCACTCGGATCCTTCGACGTGGGCTGACGCAAGGGAATCCGGAATACCTCGAAAGCGAAGGGGGTTGTCGCCGAGGAAGGATTTGATTGGCATGGCAACTATTTCACTGTCAGCACATACTACACATTGACACAAATACAGTGTATCCAACCTACCCATTCCGTTCCAGCACGAAGCCACCGGGACCGGTAGAAACCTCTCAGCAGCGTGTCTCGAGGGATACGACCGAAAATAAGGCCAAGTCTGCATGAGCGCCTCGTGACCGTGCGCGTCTCGGAGCGCAAATGTATCGTAAAAGTGTGGTGGTTTAGCAAAGTCTAACGAGCACGCTGCTGCAAAGTCTCCGCCATTCGTGTCTAGCAATTTCAAAACGTCCTCGGGTGTGAAGACAACATCGTTCAGAAATAGTATGGTGTCGAAACGTACACCTCGCGCTGTGAGCGCTTCAAGAGGCCGGAAGACGTGGTTGCGAGTCGATGCAAGGAACGGTATGCGGCGCAACTCGGTCTGGCCGTCAGTTGTGTTGATCCACCCATGTTCCGTAGGCAGCTTTGTAATCTCATCTGCATGAGAAACTGGAGAGAGGGTGATGTCTCTATCGACATGTAGATCTTCTAGCCTTGAGTCAAGCTCCCTTAACGCTACCTTTGTGTCGTCATAGCTCCCACTCTCGTATATTGCGACAAAGACGTTTTCGATGCCCAGCTCTTGAACTAATGCGAACAGAGCGGCATTCCAGTGTTCTCGCAGCAGTCGTTCTGAGTTCCAATGCTGAGCCGCGATGTATATACGCTTGGAGTTCCGTGGGGGAGGGGGAGCGTGAAGGGAAGCCGTTTGGCGCAAGTAGAGAGAGAAGGTATGCAGCGAGTCGTAAATAAGAAACAGACAAACGAGAATACGAAATACCGAGTACCGTGGAATGCGGCGTGGCGAGGAAAACCTACGTCTGCGTATTAAAATTTGGGGTTTAAGATCACTTTCCATGGTGGTGTTGTGTTTACGTAGTGTTGAAAAGACAGACAGGTGACAAAGGAAAAAACGAATGGTGGTTGACACTATGAAATACACAGAGGAAGGGGTTGAGCAACGTACCTGCTTAAAACGCCCCCTCCACCCAGGAGGCGCTTATGAAATGTTTCCAAGAGGGACCAAGAGCATTGTGGAACTTTGATCGAGAAAGCCAAGACGTTTGGTCTGGCCGCACTCCCGGCGCGTCTCCGTGCCCTGCCGATCTTCTTCGTACTCAAATTGCGCCGAGTGACTGCTAGCAAGTACAGGCTATACATAAATAGATGAAGAAACAATTTGTGCGAGCAAAACTTTGATTTTTACATAGATACACGCTAAAACACCACTTTGACCTGTGTCATCCCAGCCATTAGGCATTGGCTTGAAGGGACACTGCTGGAACTAACGATGAGATGAAGGAATTCAACGATATGTTAAACTTACATCTGTCTAAATATGATGTCAACTTGTTCTGCTTGTGTTACGGTGGCGCTGACTTGATGGTTGTGCTACTGGAAGACTTGATTACATAGACTGGCTTGTTGTAGGCATCTTATCCAGGTACTCTACGCGACATGTGTAGTAAACCTCACTAAGTCGAGATGTGTGGAACATGATGGTAGTTAGTGTATCGTGAACCTCACGACCTTCCATGAGCGCTCGTAGACGTCGTGCGCAAGAATGTTATGATCAGGGCTTGCGTTTTGTCGAACTCGCATCAATTCTGCAGAGTTTATTGTTTTACTGTTCCCCACACTCAGGTATCCTTGGGTGCATCTAGTATTCGGTCAAGAGGCCACTTGCGTATGGCGCGGATGCTGAGAGGATCAGTATGTCCAGCCTCGAACATCTCAAGCCCAGCCCAGCCGATCATCGCTGCGTTGTCAGTGCAGAACTCAGGAGGCGGGAAGTACAGCTGCACGTCAGCGCAGCCACGAGCTGCGAGGGCATTCGCAAGTCGGCGAAGAATTAGTGTTTGCCCAACGTTTTCAAGGAAATGTTCTTACATGTGTCTGAGAAATGAGTTGGCAGCAACGCCACCCGCCACGACGACTGCAGGGGTTTGTCCCTTGAAGCCTTGCGGCGACTCCAGTGCTATACACACCCGAGAAGCTATGTGTTCAAATGCTGCACGCATAGCTTCCCTAGCCATGCATATTCTTTCCTCGTCACTGACATCAGTGATTGACCGTTCAATGTTGGTCTGCTTGTTGGTAGACGGATCTGTATGGTACCACACGGCGCGCTCGACGGCGGTCAGCAAGCCCGAGAAACTCATCTCCATGCTGCCCATCTTGGTTCCGCCACCAGATTTTGTGAGTGGCTGATTGAAACCCCATCCCCACTTGGTTTTGCTCCTCTTGACAGCTACTTCGTGGTTCTCGGGGAGCTGGTACCATGGGTATCGATGCCCGAACGCCGCAAGGTATTGCTGGGCAGAACAGCCATATGTGTTGGACGGCGACGGCGGTTCGTCTTGTGCTGCTTCCGTAGTACCTTCCTCGAATGCAAACTCTTCTAACAGCGCCCCGTACATTGTACTCTTTGCTGTCTGTAGCACTTTCGGAGGCAGGACAGCACGTGCAACTTTGTCAAGGCACTCGCCCACGGCAATGTCGTTCGACACGCCCAGAAGCTTGTGCTCGGTGAGGCGATGAGAGGCGATGACCATGGTGTGTCCGCCAGACGCCAGCACCGAAAGGAAGGGGTAGTCGGGAGCTAGAGCAGCCGTCTGCGACTCTGCATGTGAACGTCTGTGGCGACGATGCAATGTGGGAGATAGGGCATCGACTAGACGTGGTGTCAGGGCGTGGGCTTGCATGTGATGGACGCCCACAAGAGGCCTCTGTACCAAGGTCAGCCATCGATCAGTCAGCCACGATGCGAGCAATACCTGCCAGGCCACTGCGAGTCCCTTGGCTGTGTCGAGCCCGGTGAACAGGTTCGAGCGCATGCCCGGCCCGCGCGTCACCGAGACACAGTCGGGCAGGCCGGGTGTGGCGGCATGGTCCCGCGGGAGGTGCCTGATTGCCTGGCTGACGAGGTTCGCCAGGTTCTCCTGGTGCGACTGCAGAGACACGAGGGGATGGACGCCCTGGTGCGCAGTGTTGTTGGACGTGACCTTGGCGTGGAAGTGCAGCGTGGCGACCGTGTGGCCGTGCTGGACACCCTTCTCCAGGACGGCGACGGACGTGTCGTCGCAAGACGTCTCGATGGCGAGCGTCACCAGCCGGCGGAGGCTCTGCCTGGACATGGCGGGGACTGTGTGGACATGGCGCGCGTTGGTGGAGCGAAAACACGAGACGAGACCCTGGCTGGCTATGACGTGCACTGGTCCAGCGTCGGCCATGTCCCTCACACGACACTCCACATATTATTACACTCCCTACCGAAAACGGGCTGACGATGCCGCGAGCTGTCTCCCAGCGCTACTGCCATGGCTGATGTCAAGAGAGAGACGGACGGCCCCGAGCCAGACTCGTCGGCCGGCTTCGACTTCACCCTGCTCCCCGACTACGACACCGACTTCATCAACGACGCCGACTTTGCCGAGTTCGAGAAAGCCCTCGCCGCGCCCGAGACGTCGCCCTCGACCGAAGACCTCACCGCACCCGCGGCCGGCCCGCGCAAGTTCTTCACGGCGCGTAATGACTGGCGCCCTGTCCACCAGCGAGTGCGGCGCAAGAAGGCCAAGACGCCGCCGCGACGGGGCACCGACGAGACGCGCGCGGGATTCGTCTATGCCCTGCTCAAGTGGCCGCTGCTGCTGGTTGTGCTCGGCTGGCTGCTCTTCCTGAGCATTGCCTACGTCTTCACGCGCCTGTACATCTACCTCTACGAGCACCTCGTCACATGGCGGGGCATGCGTGAGCGTCTGCGCCAGCGTCTCGTCGATGCCGTGTCGTACGCCGACTGGATCAAGGCGGCCAACGACATGGACGCGCATCTGGGCGGCCAGTCGTGGAAGGAGAAGCCAGAGTACGCCTACTACGACAGCAAGACGGTCAGGAGGGTGCACGAGCAATTGGTCGAGCTGCGTCGGAGAGCCGAGGCGGACGAGGCGGCCACGTCGACGCGCAAGGGCACCCAGCGCCAGCACCCAGCTGTCGAGGATCTGAGAGCACTGGTTGAAGCCTGCGTCAAGGACAACTTCTGCGGCCTCGAGAACCGGAGGCTCTACAGCGAAACCTACTATGGCACAAAAGACCTCGCCCAAAGCTTCATCGACGAGGCCGAGGCTTCCTTGTCGTTCCTCCTCCGCACCACGCAGCTCGACGCCGAGGCCAAGCGGGCGCTGTTCAAACACCTGGGCAGCAACTTTGGCCGAACCGCACTGTGTCTGTCGGGAGGTGCCACTTTCGCCTACTACCATTTCGGCGTGGTCAAGGCTCTGCTCGACGCCGACCTCATGCCAGAAGTCATCACGGGCACGTCAGGTGGCGCCCTGGTTGCTGCACTCCTTTGTACCAGGACTGACGAAGAGCTAAAGAAGCTACTTGTCCCGGCACTGGCACACCGTATAACCGCCTGTCATGACGATATTCTTACATGGGTCAGGAGGTGGTATCGTACCGGGGCGCGCTTTGATAGCGTCGACTGGGCAAAGAGATGTGCCTGGATGACGCGCGGAAGTATGACGTTCAGAGAAGCGTACCAGCGGACTGGTCGTATACTGAACGTCTCGTGCGTTCCCTCCGATCCGCATTCGCCCACAATACTAGTCAATCACATCTCTTCCCCTGACTGCGTCGTGTGGTCTGCGGTACTGGCATCTGCCGCAGTTCCTGGAATCCTCAACCCAGTTGTTCTGATGAAAAAGAACCGGGACGGCACACTGTCACCTTACTCATTTGGCTCTAAATACAAGGACGGCTCATTGAGAACCGACATTCCTCTGAAAGCACTCAACCTCCACTTTAACGTCCGCTTCTCCATCGTGAGCCAGGTCAACCCACACATTAATATCTTCTTCTTCTCGTCTCGCGGCTCTGTAGGTCGACCAGTCACCCATCGACGAGGACGAGGTTGGCGTGGCGGTTTCATCGGATCAGCTATCGAGCAGTATCTAAAGCTCGACCTCCACAAGTGGCTCAAGGTACTCCGTCATCTCGAGTTGTTGCCACGGCCTTTGGGCCAAGACTGGAGTGAGTTGTGGCTACAACGGTTCAGCGGCACTATCACCATCTGGCCAAAATCGATTGTTTCAGATTTCGTCTACATCCTCTCAGACCCTACACCTCAGAGACTATCGCGCATGATTCGTATTGGACAACAAAGCACTTTTTCAAAGTAAGCAATATTCTGTACTCGGCGTAGGTTAAACGTTGCTAATTTTCTATTTCACCTCAGGCTGAAGTTTATCGCGAACCGAACAAAACTGGAACGTTTGATCCAACAGGGGAGACGGCAATACCGACCTCGAGGAATCCGCGAGGGTGACCTTGAGAACATCAACTCAGAGGACGATCTGCGTGGGTTGCTCGAACGCACAAAGAGCGGCGGTCTAGGCGGTGACGTCTATCCCGTGTCTGGCTCTGAATCATCGTCGTCCGCTGGATTCTCGCGCCCAGGCTCGCCCTTGGGTCTCCCGTTAGGCTTCACATTCATCCAGAGGAACAAGACTGCCCCCCCGAACCTGGACACCAGTTTGACCAGCGAGCAATCTGCAGTCCCGCCCAGTCCCTCGCTCTCGCAGCGATTGAGTGGCTGGTGGTCTACTGCGCCAGGATCTCGACAACAATCGCGGGGTCGGTCTAGCCATCCGAGAAAGCAGAGTAGGGGGTTTATTGGTGGAGATGAGTCGGACGACGACATTCTTAGCAAAGAAGCTCCAGCAAGCAAGTCGAGGCGTCGCAGACAACATGCAAGCGGCGAGTTTGGTGTAGCAGATAGTGACGAGGACGGTGTGGAAGACTATGCAGAGAAGGCGGATTTTGGAGACGACGAAGATTAGACTGTAGCTCCTTTATAGATCATCAAACATACCCCTCTTCAATATTTCAAGATGTTGAGCTTCTATCTATATGCCAAAACGCCAAAGCCACACGCCTTGCCTATCATTGAACGACCTGACAACTTTGATGTTTACGAACAGTTTACACTTTGGGTAAGTCCCGTTGCAAAGTGGAGGGTACATGACTTATGTACACATGACTTGGTGTCTATCCAGACTTGGCATGTACGTCATCATATCACGTCGCTGACGCGAAGTCATCTGAGGTACACGCAGTCCACAACCACACTCACATCGATGGACTATGCTGCCAATGCTCAGCCATGGGTGTCACCGGCCTCTGGACTGTGCTGCAGCCCTGCGCGCGCCCCATCAAGATCGAGACGCTGAACAAGAAGCGACTCGCCGTCGATGCCTCCATCTGGATCTACCAGTTCCTCAAAGCGGTGCGCGATAAAGAGGGAAATGCGCTGCGGAACAGCCATGTTGTTGGTTTCTTCCGCCGCATATGTAAACTCCTCTTCATCGGCATCAAGCCGGTCTTTGTCTTCGATGGCGGCGCACCGGCACTCAAGCGCCAGACCATCAGCGGCCGGAAGGCGCGTCGCGAGGGCAGACGGGAAGATGCGGCGAGGACGGCGGGCAAACTTCTCGCGATCCAGCTGCAGAGGGCTGCCGAGGATGACGCGAAGAAGCGAAAAGAGGCGCCGCCGCAGCAGGTGCAGCAGCAACAGGAACAGGAGCAGGAGCAGATTCCCGAGACTCTGGTGTATGCGGATGAGGTACTTCAGTCACAACAGGAGCGTACACAGAACCGCACATTCCGCAAGAAAGACCAGTACCATCTGCCTGACCTGGGCATGTCGTTGTCAGAGATGGGCGGTCCAAACGATCCCAGGGTCATGTCGCTGGAAGAGCTGGAGGACTATGCAAGGCAGTTCGACAGGGGCGAGGACATCAACGTCTACGATTTCTCCAAGATCGACTTCGACGGCTACTTCTTCCAGAGTTTGCCCCCTGCCGATCGCTACAATATCTTGAACGCAGCACGCCTGAGAAGTCGGCTGCGTATGGGTTACTCCAAGGAACAGCTCGACTCCATGTTCCCGGACAGAATGGCTTTCTCCAAGTTCCAGATCGAGCGCGTGCGTGAGCGCAACGACTTGACTCAGCGCCTGATGAATCTCAACGGCATGAATGACGATTCCCCGTTCGGCGCGGGTGCGGGTCGTGTTGCGGGCGAGAAGGGTAGAGAATATGTGCTTGTCAAGAATGACGGCGTTGAAGGTGGATGGGCGCTCGGAGTTGTAACAAACAAGGATGAGGGTAAAGCGCACAAACCCATTGACGTCGACCTGCCAATACGCCCAGTCGAAGAAGACATATATGGGGAAGACGACGATGACTTCGAAGATGTACCCATTGAGGGGTTGAACCGGTTGCCCAAGCCGAAGCCCGGCCTCAGTGCGCAAGAAAGAGATGGTCGCGAGTACATTTCAAACGAACTGGCAAAGCGACGGAGAAAGTTCTATAATTCGAGGCAAGATGGATCCACGCGGCCTAGACCACGAAAGCCTTCGCCTGTGGAACAAGATCCTGACTCGCTCTTTCTTGCTGAGGAAAACGAAGACGCGGAGTGGGAGGATGTGCAGATGAACGAGGCCAGCGCTATATCTGAAGAGGCAGGAGATGATCTTGAAAACGAACAATTGCAACAAGCGATTGCGCTTTCGATGCAGCAGGGGGATCTAGACGTGGTAGAGGAATCAGAGGATGATCCCATCCGTGAAGTCTTTCAACAGGAACGTGTGAAAGACACAAATCCATTTGCAAAGACTAAAGGATCCGGCCTCGCCATTGCAAGACTAGCAAACCAACGCAGCAGCAAGCTTGCACCAAAGGGACCCTTCGAAGGCAGCGACAGCGAGGAAGACGGAATCGACCTCCAAGCTGCTCTGGCCGAATCACGGAAGTCGAAACGGCCAACCGAACCTCGCCCGCAATTGCACAAGCCAATGACCAAACCACCTGCGCCGATTGTCAAGCCTGCATCCAAATCGACAAACGCATCTGGATTTGATGGCCCATTGCCGTTCGAGAAACTCAATTTAGGCAACTCACTTCTAGGCAAAAAGAAGATGGAGAAGATTGAGCAAGACAGCGCGGGTGGGTTTGAGAAGAGTCACACGCACGAAAAGAAGACTGCCGAGCCACTGCCTCCATGGTTCAGCGGCGAACGAGACATCAACCAAGAACTTGCCCGACAACGACAGAACGAGAAGCAAGACTGGGAAGAAGCACGCAAAGAACACGAGGCGCAGTTTCAGTATCAGACGATCCCTCGCTTGCAGAAGCAGGGCACGAGAGAGATAATCGATCTCGACGCTTCTGCTAGTCAGAGTCAAAGCCAAAGCCAGAAGGGTAATCAGGTCATTGTACTCGATTCCGAGGACGAAGAAGATGCGGAAAAGATGGATGTTTCGGTCCTGGATACACAGCCTAGTATGAGCGATCTTGCAGATAAAATACGAGCAGAGCCTCCGCAGCCTGCAGTTGAGGATCAAAAGGTACCTACGAGTCAGGATCCGGGGTTGATGCTTGTTGAGGAAGAGGAGGATGATGACCCGGTTGATTGGTCGGAGAGTGAGAATGAAAGTGAGATAGGTGCTCGAGCGCAAGGGGAGACTGTCAAGACGGCTGAGGAGTTACCGCTGGAGAGGGAAAGGTCTTCGTCGATGGAGTTCGAGGATGTGCCTATGCAGATCGAATCTGTCCCTGGATCTAAACCTTCGAAGTCGCCGTCACCTGAATTTGAAGATGTTCCTATGAATACCGAAACGACATTTGCCCCAGCACCTTCCAAGTCGCCGTCACCCGAATTCGAGGATGTGCCCCTGCATACTGTAGCGGCAGAACGGCCACGACGACCTCGTAGAGAACCTTCGCCCGGAATGCTAGAAGGCCCGGATGATCTCGAGATCCCCATTGTACCTCACAGCGGTATTGCAGACGACAACACAGCTTTCCAGATTCCCGGCGATGATTCAGATCAGTACTCTGATGCCGACGACGCCGAACTATTCGCGTCACTAGCCGCCGAAGGAGAAGAACACGCACGCTTCGCCAAAGAACTAAACAACAACACTACAGCGCGCGTTGACTTCGACGCAGAACTCAAGCAGCTTCGCGCCCAGCAAAAGAAAGACCGACGAGACGCAGATGAAGTCACGCAGACCATGGTAGCAGAATGCCAGCACCTCCTCACCCTCTTCGGCCTCCCATACGTAACCGCGCCCATGGAAGCCGAAGCGCAATGCGCCGAGCTCGTTCATCTCGGTCTCGTCGACGGCATCGTAACCGATGACTCGGACACGTTCCTCTTCGGCGGCACACGCGTCTACAAAAACATGTTCAACGCCGCAAAATTCGTCGAATGCTACCTCGCCCAAGACCTAACTTCTGAATTTGGCCTCACGCGCGATAAACTCATCGCTATCGCACAGCTCCTCGGCTCAGACTACACGTCCGGCATTCCGGGCATCGGCCCTGTCACCGCGCTGGAAGTCCTCTCTGAGTTCCCTGACCTGGAGGACTTCAAGACATGGTGGGCAGGCGTGCAGGATACATCGATCCCGAAAGCAGCAGATGCTGCGTCGCCGTTTCGCCGCCGCTTCCGCCGCTCCCAGGCTACTAAGCTCTTCCTGCCAACGATGTTCCCTGACCCACGCGTCGCAGACGCTTATCTAAACCCGGAGGTTGACAATGATCCTGAGCCCTTCCAGTGGGGTGTGCCTGACCTTGCGGCTCTGCGCACGTACCTGAGCGAGCAGATCGGCTGGAGCTGGGAGCGCACGGATGAGGTTCTTGTTCCCGTCATTAGGGATATGAATCGAAGAGAAAAGGAGGGCACACAGAGTAATATCACTAGGTTCTTTGAGGGGAGCGTAGGCGCGGGGGCATTTGCACCGCGTGCTGCGGCGAGAGGGAGGGGCAGGGGACGCGGGTCGAGGTTGGGCGCTGCGCTGTCGAGACTTGCGGAGGGGAAGGGGAATGCTGAGGCAGACGTTGAAGCGGATGCTGAAGCGGTGAGTGTACCGGCGACGCGTGCGAAGAGAAAGGGGAAGGGGAAGGGGAAAGTCGTGCCGGCTGAGCGTGAGTCTGATGAAGAGGACGATGGCGGGGATGACGAGTTGTATGAGGAACCGAAGAAGAAGAAATCGCGGAAGAAGTGAAGTAGCTTTGGATGATTGATACAACAACCAAAGATTATGTCGTGGAAATTTTATGTATAAATACCTAACCTGTTTGTCAACATCCTGTCTCGTCTCGTCTCGTCTTGTCTGACAATAGGGCAGAAGAAGAAACCCATCCTAAGTCAAGATAACTAATTACGAGAAGTATGACTCCGCCCGACCCCTCTCCATGCTGAACAAACTCTTCATTAGAAACCACACTTTCCAGTCTCTCTCGTTCGATCGCGATGGATTCGTGTGGAAGCCCCGCGTTGGGATGAAAACAAGACGAGAGCATACCAATATTTCATTCAGTGAAGAGGATTGTGATAGAGTGATGGAATGCATGAGGTGTTTGTTATAGAGTACTCCCAAGCCCCAAGTTTCGCATTCCAGAGGGAAGAGTAGTTAGGCAAGAGTGATAGGGTATAGAGATGGTAGGGACGTAGTGCTGTGTAGGAGTAGTATAGGGGTGAAGACGTAGGGATAAGGGATACACCAAGTTCATTGCACGCGCGAGAAACCTGAAGGAGGAAGAGAATTATTGATATTTTAGTTTCATCACAGGTATGTGTGCACAAATTGGCACGAGTGCAAGGTCGAGTTGAGGAATCGTTCCTGCAAGCTGATTGTGTATGTACAGATGTGTATTGCTAGGCTCAGACAAGTATTTACATTGCGAACGGACAGATGAAAGACATAAACGTTGAAATCTAAATCAAGATCGAATATACACATGGAATCGAAGAACTGCAAACAAGCTCAAGAATCTCTCCATCATAGCGACACCTACTCGTGCCCCATCAATCGCAACTTCACATCTCGCTTAGGCGGCCACACCGGCGCGTGCGGCAATGTCGAGCATGTTAGGCTCACCGAGTTTGTTTTGGAGGAAGCGAGAGTTGAACTTGACGACCTTCTTGATAGCATTGAAGTCCGGCACGCTAATCGGCAGTGCATCCTTGACAATCAAGAAAGTGACGCCCTCAGCGCAAGGAGGGGTAGTAAGCGAGCCACGGTACGTCAAGATCTGGCTGGTCTTGAGCTTTGAGTAGATGCCGGAGAAGTCGAGGCCCTTGGCGATTGTCTCGTGGGAGCCGGGCGTAGCGATCTTGGGGACTGTCGACGAGAGGCCGCTGATGACGGGGTCGGATTTGCCTGTCGAGAGCTCAAACATGAAGGCGATCACGGCGAGCTGCGTGTTGTCTGACACGCGCTGGTGCACGAAATGGACCTCGAGAGGGTAGTATTCAGAGTTGATGTGATGCTCAGAGGGCGTGTGCATGTGGAACTGCACGAGTTGGTAATCGGCGTTGTTGTAACGTGTTGTGCCGTTGACGACGACTTCAATCGTGGTGCCCAAGTTCTCGAACTCGACAGCACCATCACGGACGTCGAGGACAGGCCTGGAAGGAGCAGCGCCGATGGTGCTGTCTAGAGATTTTGTCAATGAAAGCTTGTGGTAGAGAAACCATATTAAACATACCGATGTTGATGGGTGACTGGTTCTTGCCTGACTTGCAAACCGCGTTGGCAGGGGCGAGCGAGGCCCAGTTGAAGGGACCATTTAGAGGTCCAAACCCCCATTGGGCGACGTCCGCGCGCTTGAACATCTCGAGACCGTGCATGCAAGATGCGGAAGCCATGGAGGCGAAGATGAGTTGTTTGAAAAGCATGATGATAACGGGTAAATGAGTGTGAAGCTGATGAGCTGGAAAGATGAGAAGCGAAAAGAAGGAATGTAGTTGAGATGATCAGATGAGAACCTGCTGTTGATGATGGGTTGGAAGAGAGGAACGATGAGCTTCTTCTATAGCTGCGAGAATACGGCCATAATCGTACGACAGTGCTTGACAGGCAACGATGACAAGAACCACGAACCCATGTCTTGATCTCGCCAATGTTTGGCGATGGTGAGTTTGGACGAAAGATGAGGAGAATAAGGCCGTGACAAGATGGTACAATATAACAGCGGCCGGTAAGGCGTTGCAGTACCAAGCCCCAAGTTACAGCATCAGCTAGGGAAGACTGTCTACTTCGCTGCGGTCAACCCTCGCCTACAGCTTACGTATGAAGGATCGAAATTAGCCCACAGAGCCAAGTCATACAGACAGACTCCGGGAAGCGCTGTTGTTCGAATGTAGTGGAGTCTGACAGTATCACAAGTCCTGTGTCTAGATGTAGAGCCGTTGCCAAGGTGGAAAGACGTTTGAAACGTTGTGAATGCCCAGAGTATGTCGCGGCCTCGAACCAGGGTCAAACACCATGACAGTTGCTTAGCTCCCCATTTTCGTGATTGGCAGTCGGCATTTGCAGAATGGCGTTCACGAGCAATGCTGTGCGATAAGACACAATGCAACTTGGTAGGGCGTGTGCGGATCTGCGCTCCATCTCACGTCTTTATGGTCAGGTTGTCTAACACGCGGTAGCCATGTGGAAAACCGTTGTCGCGATATCCGCCCTTCCAGTTCGTCCAACGGTCCACGAATAGTAGCGTTCTCTCTGGGACTTTGCACCAGCCCTGAAAACCGATCGTTTTTTCTCCGAATCGACTTGGCGGTGCAGGCACGCGCCTTCAAACAAAGTTTGGGTCTGGGGGGCCACGTGAAACTTGAGAGATGCACCCGAGGGTTTTTGTAACATCTCGATCCCGACATCTTTGCGCCTGAAAACCATCCGTACGCGTGCACTGGGCTCTCATATTGCATTCTCGTAAAGGCTAGGTCGCGAGAGATTGCTGCATGAGGATAGCTACTCACTTTTACTAACGCGATGAAGTGAGCCACCACCTCAAAGGATCGATCTGAGACGCGTCACGACTCGCGAAGGATTCATGAGGGGCCAAAGCGGAGGAACCGAGCGAAGTGTAACCACCCGAGCGGGAGAATTCCTGCAGCAACAGAATTGAAAGATGCTTCGTCAAGACGCGAAAGCTGCAAGGGTTTCCATGCCATCAAGCATTATGAATCATATCGTAGTATGTGCGACACGATCGCGGTTTGCGTCAGTCGCCCATCGTCGAAGTCGTCAATCTTCGGTCCGGATTCTAGTCTCCGTGCACGTGCTAGTGCAACGGCGGACTCGCCTAGGGCAATTCAACTTCACTCTCAACACCACGCCGAGGATCACCGCCTCACCTGACTCTCCCAATCGCCAATCCCCCCTCCTCACACTCTTGGCGTCATTTCCTCGTGTCCAAGAGCCCGGTATCCCACCGAAGTATTTGCAGGAATGGATTGAGGGGGGAAAACCCTACGAGTGTTTCGCTATTAGTCACACACATTCACGGTTTGTTTGACATTGCATCAACCTCATTCGGCCTTATTCTTTGCGACTAAAAGTGTCGAATGCACGCCTTCGTCGGTCTCGCACTGGTTTCCGATTACCCGCAGCCCCGGATCACACCAGTACCCTGCAGCTTCTAGCAGCCACATCTTCATGCCGTGGGAGTGGCTAAGCCACGGTCACAGAGCCACACAACAATCAATCATGGTGAAAGCGAAGAAAACTTGTAATAGTAGGCCGCAGCAGTTTGACTTTGTGGTCCATCGTCTAACCAACTATCATCGTCTATATCTATCGTAGCTTGTATCCTGTGCTCTCAAACCCCTATCAAAATACCCTACATCTCCTGCGTCGTCGGTAAACTGCCTGACAAGCGGTTGCCTACTATCCATTGCTCTCAAAGTGCCCTCCATACCCGATGGCGTCGCAGGAGCACTGGTATCACCCACGTCCTGAAATCCGTCTGCCCGCCGGTACCCTTGAGCATACGATGTTCCTACTTCGTGATCCTCCTCTCCTAGCCGTGTACTACTCGAGGCGTGCGAAGCCCAAGAGTCCCTGTTCTTGCTCTTTGCATACGGTCCAGACTCCATGAACGTCTTGAATGTGGAAGGTGTGCCGGGGCGCGAAATCAGATCATCGGGCCGACCGTAGAGCTCGCCATCACCGCCAAACTGATCCCTGAACTCGGCGCGTTTCTTGAAGTTTGCGAAGTCTAGGTCCTGCTCTGCAACAATCTCAATTCCAGGCACATTCTGCTCATTGGATACCGGTTTGCCTGTCTGTGTTGGCTGCAGCTCTGTCATGTACATGTCGCCGTAGTTGAGTGTCGCAGGCCTCGCACGGTCTGTATCGCGAGCTGTGAAGATGTCCTGCTCTGTGTTTGAGCGATGGCTGTAAATTTCTTTTAGAAGGTGTTGCGATTTTGCGTGCACCATGGGAGTGATTAATTTCTTGTAGATTGCTGGGTTTCCGAAACGGACAGAGACTCTATCGTTCTTCCGCGACTTGGGATGGTCTGCGTGGTGCGAACCCTCAATGTCCGAGTATGGGAGTGTGGAGTAGTACGACATCTTGTCGTCGAAAGTGCGCTTGCAATACCACTTGAAACCAAAGAGGAGAAATGGTAGCGGTACCATTGCGTACAGCATTTCTCCACGCACGAAGGTTAAGTTCGAGATTGGGCCAAGGCCTTGCGCGCCAACGGACAGTGCTATCACAGCGTTGGCCAACATGACCGCAAACAGCAGGCGGTTAACCAGAAGCTGCCAGAAACGACCTCCAGACTCCGTCTTTGTAATGAAGACATACTGGAGGAGATATTTCTTGAAAACGCAGTCCATGCCAAGATAGAAGGCAGTGATAGGAAGGATGATAGGTTGCAAGGCGCCCATGCAAAGCCCAACTGTGGAGACGAAGAGATAGTTGTTGAAGTAGTCCGCGTATGGGAAAGGCTGGGGTGCACTGAGTTCGATCAGTTCGCGGGGTGTAGGAGAGTAGAAGGTCTTCTGTATCCACGTCCAAATCAAGATCCAGGCTTGAGAGAGATCGATGGCGGCACCGAGGTTTCTTTGCATTTGCCAGGTAAGCCAGAAAGTCGAAACGTTACATAAACCAACCATGAGATTGGAGAAAAGATGGGCGTTTTGTATAGCCTCCCACACCCCATTATGCTGAGCCGCGATCACGCCAGCCACAAAGCGCCAGACGGACCCGAACATCGAGAAGACAAACAGGTTATTGAAGACGAAGAAAGCATAGAGGCGTGCTGTGACATGCCTTTCCCGAGCCGTCTTGGACACGTCTCCCGAATGTGTGAAAAGGCGGCGGAAAACTATAGGAACTCCCATATACATGAGCACCTGAACCAAGGGAGCTAGAATACCTTGCGCGATAGCCCATCTAGTTGGATGTGCAAGGAGTTCCCTTTGGAAAGCAGGCCAGACCAGGCCAAGATTCCCGAAATTGGACAAGAACATTGACGTTAACATGTTGGGTATGATGAAAGCGATTGTGAAGAGCAAAACCCAAAGACCATCCAGAAATGCTCGTATGCGTCTTTTCCTTCGGCTCATAGAAAGGTTTTGCCACAGGAGATCGTGGGGCTTTGGTGCGAGGTAGACGTCACAGCCTCCGGGCCCCTTCTTTCTAGAAGCGTACGCAACCGCGTGGGCGTCCTCGATGTGAGCGTACGAGGCAAAGCCGTAGGACATAGGATTCCTCATGTCGACGCTTTCCCGTACTTCCTTGATCGTTGTCTCAAGCCGTGTGATTCGGTCTGTGAGATAATCGATAGCATCGACCTTTTTCTTCCCATGAACTGACTCGTCTTCTTTTGCAACTTTGCATACAGGTCGTTTGCTTGGAAGACGCTCAGGGTTGGAAAGATATCTAGCCAATATCCCTTCTAGTTTGCGAACCGCTTCGTCGTGGTGCTCAATCAGCTCGGGCAGTTCTTTCATGTTGCGGCCAATTACTGTTCTTGGAGTGTCGTCTGTTTGTTTCGCTCGCTCCACGAGCTCGGTGATGCCGACATCAGTTCGCGATGATTTGGGAATATGAGTGAGCTTTGTCCACGTCAGTTTGCGATGTTGCGTGTATCCGTAAGACTCACCAGCAGCGTTCTCGAATGCAAACTCATGGCGTATTCTTGACTGTTGTAGTACGCCCGTCTCAATTTCAGCACCGCCCTGTAGTTCCACCACAAGAAAAAGCAGACGGTCCCTTGGAATACGTAGGACATCAAAACATAGGCCCAAAATTTTGTGCCGAAGATATACTGCGGTGTGAACTTCATCAACGTTGCAATATTGTCCCACTGGTCGTAAAACGACGACCCACCCACAACATTGACTGGAATAAGAATGCCACAGCCAAACACAGTCAACACCAAAAAGATGTTTCTCAGCATCCGCATGAACCTCAGGAAGAGAACTGCATCAAGCCCAATTTTTTCCACGAGATCTTGCTCTTTGACCTCCTTGATGGCCGGCACCCAACTTAATGGTTTCCGACCCAGCGCCATGGGTTTGTGCTTGTCGTCGGCATGTGTCGCTCGCGGAGCATAGACTCCATTGTTTCGCGGTCGGAGGAAGCAGAAGACGAGAACCAATAGGCCGCTAACAACAAAAGAATACACGATAGCTGCGTAGATGGACTTTTCTTGGACCTTGCAAAACAATCAGTTGGTCCATCAGGACATATCATAGAACATGCCTCCAAATGCTCTGGCAAGAGCTATATCGTACCTCAGTCTGGAACGGATCGGCTATCAAGTCCAGAAACTTGTCTGCTGAGCTTTCTCCAGCAGCCCGAATATTCAGTTCCATGGTCGTGGGGTGCAGCGCAGCGAGCGTCACAGCGAGCGCTGAGCACTCGAGCTATAAAGACGGTATAAACAGAGAAAATAACGATAGTTACAGAGAAGCAAATGAAAATGAATAGAATGTCGATTTCCTAAAGCTGAACAACATGACCGGATGACATGTGTGGTCCCAAAAATCCTTTGTTGGGACTTAGAAAGCAGCTTCCGTCGATCGCCGCTAATAACGTCATTTGACACCTTAGTGCGAGTGTAGTACCGAAATATCGACAGGAACCTCGGGGAAACCTGTCACTATGTGGAGCCGCTTGACTCAACAGAGGTTAGAAAGCGTATATACCCAAATATAGATGGTAACGGATGAAAGTGACAACATTGTGGGTCAAAAGACTTGAAGCCCGTCGCTTGGTAGATTTAATACTATATGATATTGATAGTGCAAGCGATTTATGTTCCTATCGAAGAATGTGTCGACTTGATATGATGTTTTGTCAAGTTTAGTTATTTCCTGACTCGGCGAATATCAATTCAGTTCCATCGTAACCAAGCGGCAATAAAAACGATCTCACCTCAGGTACACTCGGCAAGACGCGTTGACCGATGATATTCAATGAATCGAACACGGTTCGGGAAGACGATTGTATATATCGTGTTCGTGAAAGGTATGGTAAGCGCACGAGAATACAATTCCCCTTCACGGTTTCTGCACACAGTGTGCATCTCCAGCTCGAAGAGGCGTGCAATGCATTTACATGGATGGCTTCTATCATATCCTGATCAACCACAAGTGTTATGAGCGATGACAACCTAACACTGCTCGTTATAGAAGGTGTTGTCTGAAATCTATATAATTAACTCATGACAAATGGGGACAATAGCATCAATTTTGCACTGGAGGATGGCTAAGAAAAGTCGCAAACAAGGATAGACTACCGCTACATCAGTGAGAGACCACCTTGAAATCTTACCTCTAATCTTACATCTGTGTCCTCTATACTTCTTACAACATTACTTCTACAGCTATCTTGCCTACAGTCTAACACAATATCTTGAGCACGGCAACGCTGAGCGACGCTCTCACAACTTGCATTCAATAGCTCGATCGTGTGAGGTCACTCATACTCTTTCACTCTTCAAGTTAATCCAAAGACTCAAGTACATCTGTACTAATCCTACGTACTAGACCGTGGTTTTCAAGTCTTCCGCTCCGATCCCACTCTCACCTCAACATTTCATCTGCGCCTGCACTCCTATCACTCCAAAGTACATCCGTGATAGCTCCTTGGTCAAGATGGAGACACAATCTCAGATTATCCCACTGAACGAGGTTCGATTGTTCAAGAGACTTCTCGAGTCAAACGACGTGCTCGAAGACGATGTGCAGTGGCTGAACGATTGGCTGAAGACGAATGGTCGGCATTCGGTAACGACATCAGCCCTTGTAGCAAGTGACTCAGAAGTGCTGAGGGAGTACAAAGTAGAGTTCATGCATGTTTCCCTCCGTGCTTTGCTGGTAATTCCAGACCTCATGCACCAAGCGTATGACGCATCTCCAGAGAGCCACGACGCCAGCCGAACCCCCTTCTGTTTCTCCCTATCAGGGGTAGAGAGAAGAGAAGAGCGCAAAGTTCGATAATCTTGGTAGGTTTACTATTCGAGTTTATGTCTAAATGGCTAACCCAACATGGATCGCGAGGCCGCTCTGGCATTGTTTAATAAAGAGTTGAATGTCTCTGACGACAGAGCCCTGCACAGCATTCTTCGTCCCCTTTCGTTACGACGTTCCGTTCCTTTCGTCTCGGATTACGAGGGCGTTGCCATGGCCCACCTTTTGAACAGAATTTACCTGTCAATGAAGGAGCAGAACAAGATTGAAAACATGTCATTCTCACGGTTCCTCGAATACTCCGATGCGATAGTGGAGAATATAGACGATGATAGCGGGGAGATCGAAACGGCTGACGCACGGGAATATTAGATGTTCGAGAAGACAAGATATAAGTTAAAGGAGGACATGCAGGACACAAGCTTGGTCATTGGAAAGGTCAAGGACAAATGTCCACTTGGGGATGACTGAAATGGTGGATGATCCTGAGAGGACGGCGCTGGGATTTGGGAAGTCATAGCAAGTCGTGTGCAAACGAAGAAGCCAGACGCTGTGATCGACTTGGATATCTTGAAATGGGTCAACGATTTGCATTGCATCCGACTGATCAATAGATAATACAACTACGTGGTTGATGAATGTTTCACTTCCACGACTTGATGTGCTCAGCTTGACTGACTGTATAATAACCAGTTGCAGTAGTTCTCAGACAGACTCTTCTTTCAACTCGGCAGTTGTTGCACGCGTATTGTCTCTCTGTATCATCTCTTCGCCATGCAAAAACTTCAGTTTTCGATGGTCAACAATTGGGGCCGGCTCTGGTAGCGTCGTATGGTCTGACCCTCATTGTGGAGAATTTCGAAAGTCATGTTATCATTGATCGTAGGAAAATGTCAAAATGATAAACGCATGGTGTGACGTAAGCTAAAGTTGTGAAATTGAGATGGGAAGTTACGAGCCTACATGGTGTGTAACGCAGAACGTGTAAACTAATACATGGATATTTAACGCAGAAGCTCGATGGGTACTACAAAAAAGCAAACTAGAATCGCGAATGATATCTATTCATTCTGGAAACCCATATGCTATCCTATTTCGCAAGATAACTCCAGCAATGCACAATAGATACTCAAGAGGTCACTCTGAAGAGAAATGATACTAACCCGTTCTCTGCCATACCAGTCCGATCATACACACATGCTCCTCTAATCATAGCCTGGATCGTCTCCATATGCGCCAGGCGTTGGCGCGGCATACGCACCCGGTGTCGGGGCAGCCGCAGCCCCATATCTGTCACCGGGCGTAGGCGCACCGAAATTTCCAGGCGTCGGTGCATCCATGGGGGGACCGCCCGGCGTAGGCGCAGAATACGCTCCGTAGCCACCAGGGGTTGGCGCCGCATATGCACCGGGCGTAGGTGCATTGTAAGGTCCAGGCGTGGGACCGACATTCGACTTTGACGCACCAGACGATCCACCACCCCAGCCAGGTGTCCGACCTCCACCGCCGCCGCCACCATTGAAGCCTCCGTATGCAGTGCGCGAGCCGTCGTTTCCGCAATATGATGTCGCGCCGCCGTACGAAGTGGCTCCACCGTATGAGGTTGCTCCTCCGTAGGCAGTGCGTGAGCCGTCGCCGCCACCACTCCCTCCATAAGCTGTTCTACCACCATCGCCACCGCCATAAGCTGTCTGTCCGCCACCGCCGCCCCAACCTGGCGTTCGGCCACCACCGCCACCTCCCCATCCCGGTGTGCGGCCGCCAGAAGGTGTGCTACCCCACGATGGGCCACGTGATGAGCTCGAGTTGCCCCAGGCAGGTGTGCGCCCGCTGTTATGGCTTGGTGTAGCACCAGCAAAGCCTCCTCCACGCGAGCGGTTGGGAAACCTGCCAGTGTTGAACTCCATATTGTTGCCAGTGATTGGGTCTTTGACTGTCAGAAGCTCTTTCTTGACAGAGACTTGCTTGTTCTTAGTGTGGAGTTCAATGCGAGCCTCGTCGTTCATGGTGTCTTTCACAATACCCAAAAGACCCTTGTAAGGACCCTTGCGAATGGTGACAGTTTTTCCAATCAGTTTGTCGCGACCCATCGCTCGGGGCGGGGGCATTGCGTTGGTCGTGCCGTTTGCGCTTGCGTTCAGGGCAGGGTTGATGCCACTGAGATCTGGGCCTTGTGCTTGAGCACGACCACTCTTCGCGGCCATAGTCACGACGTTGTTGCTGCGGACGACGAAGATACCCTGGTTCTCGACTAACTCGCGGTTCTGGACGAATAGGATTCCACGGTAGATGTAGAGGACCTTGCCTTGTCGACCTTCGCCGCCATGCTCCTTGACGTTGTCTTCGTGCCTGATTTCGTTGCCGTCACGATCCGTGGCTACCGCGAAGCGGTTCTGGCCCACAGCTTGTGTAACTCGGGTATGAAGGAGTTGGCGAACGTCACCGTGCTGATCAACCACGTTCAGGACTTCACGATCGACACGGACTACACAGCCGATTGTTGAGGCACTGTTGAGTGTTAGTACCGGTATGTTCCAAGCAGGGGCATTACTTACTCAATCTGAACAAGATCATAGAGATCAAATTTGGAATCAGCACCAACAGTCGCAGAGTCGGCGGCACGCTTCAAGTCTTTACTAAAGACAGTGATTTCCTGCTGAGTCGAATCGCATAGAAGTGTGATGGAGTCGTTCTTGATCTTGGTGATCAGACCAACTTCGTCGACGTACTTGCTACCACCGATGACCTTTACGTGGTCACCCTCACGGAACAGCTTTCGCAGCGTCTTGACAGGAGCATCGATTCTCCGGCCCTTGAGCTCGCCCTCGGTGACTTTTAGCGTGACGATGTCACCCGTGACTGTGACTGTGGTACCGCGAATGCCCTTCTGCTCGCCAGTGTATATTTCGACATTGTCTCCGGCGGCAAAAGCTGAGCCATTGTTGGCAGCCTTTTGAGCAGCCTGGACTGCGAGCAAATCCATGGTCTCCGTGCCGTCGGCGTTTTGGATGGAGAAGAATTGCAGTTCCTCCATCTTAGGTGCGACATCCTTGGCGACAAGCCAGTTGACCTTGACTTCTTTGATGAGGAAGCCGTATTGGTATTCCTCGTTCTTGTAGGTGTAAGCCTTTTGGCCACCGGAGCCAGCCATGCTTAGGTACTTCATGTGTCGCTTCTTGGCTTCGGCCTCGTTGAACAGTCGCGCAGGGGGGCGCTCCTTGTTCTTGTTCCAGCCGGATGGTCGCTTGCGCTTGTTGTCGGCGGCGGCGTTGGTGTCCTCATTCAGGCCGTAGTCCAAGCGGGGAACGAGTTGCACAACACAGTCCAAACCGTTGGCAGAGACCTCGACAACCTTTGCAAGATCTCCTCTGTATGTAGTCGGGCGCATCATGCGCACAAATTTGCCCACTTCAAGCGGCTCCTTCTTCTTCTTGCGGAGGAGATCTGGACGCTCTTTGACGTCGATGGCGGAGAAGCCAGAGCCTAGGTACACGTTGGAGATTCCCTCGAGCAGTTCGAGACACGCCTGCTGCGAGTCGGCTTCGACGTAGAGATAGCCTCTTTGGGGTCCTGACGGACCACGCTCGAAGACAGAGTAGACGTTGAGGTGCTGCTTGGCGCGCATCTTCTCGTCTATGCGTTTTTGCACGGCCATGACGACCTCGCGCTCCTTGCCTTCTCGGCACTTTGTCATCCAGATGGTCGGGTCGTTGACGGTGGGGAGTGCCAGTGGAACGGCGCCCGCTCCGCCTCGACGGGCGCTCTGCATCTCCCTGCGCCTGTACTTCTCGTCAAACTCCTTGGCAATCTCCTCGACGTCACGCTGGGCGTTGACTTCACGACGCATGTCGAGCTCACGGTGGTGGCGGTCGTCGAGATCGGCGCCAGTGGGCTCGAGCAGGTCGTCGGGGTGCACTTCGTCGGCAATCTCATCGTCGCCCTCGTCTTCTTCCTCTTCGTCTTCGTCGACTTCGGCTTCGAGGTCGATGAACTGGTTGCGCTTCACGGTCTTCTTGCGCCGCTTGGATGGCCGGGCCTGTCTACAGTCAGCGTTGCCATGGTTGCATGTGAGTTCTTGCTGCACGTACGACCACGTCTTCATCGTCATCGTCGTCGTCATCATCATCCTCGTCATCCTCGTCATCATCTGCTTGGGGCGCGTCTCCTTCGTCCTGGTCGTCGTATGCCGCTGGCCTCGAGACGTTGTTGCTCGGGGGTGCGATATCATCCTCGTCGACTTCGGGTTGGGGGTTGAAGTCGTCTTCTTCCTCCGAGTCCGAACCGTTCCCGTAGCTAGCCATGGCCGGGAACTGAGAATGCGAAATGCGCTGAGCACTGGGGAGGATTCGCGGAAGCTCTTCGACGTGTTGCGACCGCGCGACAGGCCTGAGGTTGCGACGTGTGTTCCTGCTGAGTGGAGAGCCTCTTGCAGGGTGGGTAGAAGAGAGGCCGAGGGCGATTGAGAAAAGAAGGGGATATGGGAGGGACGGCAATCTTTGTTCCAGACGTCGACAGAAGTGAGCATCCGGGAGACGCGCTAGCGCTTTTAGCGTATAGTCCGTGCGTCATCAGCCACTCATGAGGCGTTGGGTTGTCTTACGCGGTGTTGAAATTCGGTCCATTGGTCACTTTTTGCAAACTCAACCTAAAGCGTTGTTGATCTCCAAACAAAAAGTACGGTAACGTCTCTCACAATCTCGCCTTCTGCCTGGCGTCCCCCGCGTCTGCATCCTCGTTGATCTCGAGTACAGCCCTCCCCCACGCCTTGTGTGTCTTTGTATCCTCTAGAGCCCTGGAAATCGCCTCGAGACCACGATATTCCTGCTTGTAGATAACAGGTTGTATCCTCCCACTCTCCACTAGCTTCATAAATCCATCCCAGACCTTCTTCGTCATCTGCGGATCTCTTCGTCCATCTTCGCCAAACCTCTGTTCACCATAAGTAGTTATTGCAGCTAGAAGCAATCGTGTAAGACTCACATAACCAATGACCTTGACACCCTTTAGCAACAGCCTATTGACCCTCACCTTCTCCACATTCCCTTCTCTAGCCGCAAACCCCACAACAACCAGTCTACCTCTATACCTCAAGCATCTGACCCCCATCTCCACAGCCCCAATCCCATCAAACACAACATGCACACCTTCTCCCCCCGCCAGCTCCTTGACCCTCTCGTCCCACCCTTTCTCCCTATAATCAACAGCTGCATCCGCCCCAATCTTCGTCACAACCTCTGCCTTCTCCTCACTACCAACGACAGCGATAACCCTAGCACCTACGGCTTTAGCAATCTGCACCACCATCACGCCCAACCCACCACTCGCCCCAAAAACACAGACCCATTCTCCGCTCTTCAGCTTCGCGACATCGATCAACGCGCCATAGCTCACAGCGCCACTTGCGCCCACTGCACACGCCTCGGCATTACTCCATGGTTCAGGAATACGCCGCACACTCAACTCTGGCACGCAGATGGATTCTGCATATGCACCTAATCCGCCCCCGAAGACCCTGGCGCCGGGCCGTAAAGAAGAATCTACCGGACTGGCCAGCACAATGCCGGAGAATTCTGTGCCGAGTATGAACGGAGGCTTGACGTGACGCCGATTATTTTGGTGCAGACCTTGTGCGTAGAGAAGATCGACGTGGGTTATCGCCGCGTGTGTGATTCTTATGGTGAGATCTTTAGGAGAAGTTGGTTTCGGCGTGGTGATCACTTTTGGAGACAAAGTTGTTAAATCCTAAGAATGTGTTAGTAACATGAAGACAGCTGGGTAAAGGTACGACAACATGTAGACTTACAGTTACGAACTCTGTTATTTGGATGGCTTTCATGATGGTGATAAGATGAAGCCTAGTCCCAGAGTGATTGACATGGATTTGAAAGGCGCATGGGGTGGGAAGAGCAAGTTAATACCAATGTAGTTCACAACGTATGCAGCGGGAGATCGACATGTGGGGATGGTCACACCTCGGTTACTACGTCTTCTTGAACTGTCACAGAACTGCGTCGCTCAACCAATACCACGTTAGACATGCATGCAACTAACATACAACTACCTATCGTGCGCCGATTGTTCTGTTTAGCGGAAGGAAAGTGCATATTGGCTTACATGTCCAATTTCTCAATCAATGGCAGTGGCAACGTAACGAAAGGTTGAGTAGGTAGTATCGCTTGGAAGTTTGAAACCGTATCGTTGCATTCGATACATGTCACTCTCTCAAGCCAACCCTGAGAACTGCAAGATGCCATGTCCTTTCTGCTGCGTACCCTTGTTCCTCTTTCTTTTCTTGCGCTTCTGCTTCTGCTCTTCCTCGTCACTACTATCCTCCATATCTTCATCGCTATCTTCATCGTCATCACTCTCGTGGTCTCGCTTAGCAACAACTGCGGCAACTTCTTCTTCTTCTGTGTCAACGTCCTGCCAAGTCTTCTCGCCCCAAACCTTGACCGTCTTGCCGCCGCCACTGATCATTCTGCCATGTACATCGAAACCGAGCCCAATGACAGCCTCTTGCGATAGTTCGTCGTGCTTGAGTTCTGCGATGACCTTGTTGGGCCCAATCTTGATGAATCGCAGCCCGCCGTTGCCCATGCCCACTGCAGCGATCTTTCCACCAGGACCCACACCATCTGGCAGCAGCGCGAGCGCATCCAAACTCTCGCCGCCGCCCTTGGAGCGATCGACGGTAATGCGCTCGTCCTGATCGTCCCAGACACCACGTTCCCACAGGGTGACGACGCCGTTGCCTGCACCTACCAATACCTTTTCACCAACGTTTGTGCCCTTCTTTGACAAGCCAGTCACGATGATGGAGCTGAGAAGCTCTTCTTCTTGATCCTCGCTGCGTACCAAAACGCCTCTCCGCAAGTCTGTGACAGCCAGGGTGCTTCCACCCGTCGTAACCCACTGCTTGCTAAACCCACTGGTGCTAGCCTGCGTAGGTGGGAGAGGCGTGAGGGAAGAGATGTAGTCGTCGTGAGGGCGGTGCGTTGCTTCGGGTTTCAGGTTTGACCCTGGACCCAATGCGCGGATGTCGTAGATGTAGAGCGCCGATGAGTCGGTCGTGAGGATGAACGACTGCGGCGAGAGTGCGTGGACGAGCGTCGGGGCATCGATGGCGTTGTTGGCGCTGTACACGGTCAATATCTCGCATCGATATAGCATGGGCGCGACAAGGCATACGGGTCGAGAGGGACAGCAATCTTTGCCGTGACTTTGCCAGTCGCAGAATCTGCAACCTTGACGATGCCATCGGTGCCCGCCGAGTACAACTGCGCGCCGTCGATGCTGTAGCCCAGAGTCCTGCAGCTCCCCTTGTGTCGCCTCGTGTTCCAGGCAGTCTCTATGTGCCCGAAGCCGTTCTCCGAGGCCAAGGTCGCGTCGTTGTCGCTGTCATCGCTCGCGCCTGGGGGAAGCCTGTACGTGTGCACGTGTCCCGACGCCAGTCCTACTGCAACAATCGGCTCTCCTGGATGGACCGCCTGCGCAAAAAGCTCGTGGTCCAGCGGGATGGCGCACACATTCTCGAACATGGTTGCTGCAGGATTGTTGTCGCTCGAGAACGGATGCGCGAACAGCTTCAACTTTTTTGTGGAGCTAGCAGTTGCGAATTGGCAGTTTTAACCGAGGGTGGGTCACGCACCTTGAACCCCGTTCACCTCTCTTGGTTAGTTGAGGAAGCCGGGGATTATACCAATCAAGAGCGCATGTCCTTTTTAACCTGGTAGCCGTGCCGCCTCACGTCCAGAAGGTGCAGTTCAAATTGGAACGTGGCCGGTCCACGTTTTCTGATGATTGGCTCGAAGCCTTGCATAACAACCTCAGTTCAATCGACCTATATACCCGGCTAAATAATAGAGCCAACCCCGAGTAAGCTCGTAAAGCCGAGGAGGTACTTTGCATGTCGAAAGCGTCACTTGCTTTCCTTCCAAACAAGATCTCTTGCTGTCAAACATGATTGCATCAACTCTTCTCTGTGGCCTTCTCGCCGCTGCATCTGCAGTCCATGCTCACTCTCCCACGAAGCATATCGAGTACTCAGTCCTGTCCGGGATCTTCCTCCAGGACGACAATGCTACAGATTCCTCGACCTTCAATTTCACCTCTTCAAACTATGGCTTGATCCAGAGGTCGTACCCTAGCGACTCATTGGGTTCGAGCGAGACAAACACTACGCAATGGCAGCGGCTTGACCATTACATTTCCACTCTAAACCAGAAGGCCCCACGAAACGAACGCTACACATTGTTCTTCCTGGGTCGTCACGGAGAGGGATATCACAATCTTGCAGAAACCTACTTTGGCACCCCGGCTTGGAACTGCTACTGGTCTGAACTTGACGGAAATGACACGGTTACGTGGGCAGATGCACATCTCACCGCAGCCGGCATTGCTCAAGCACAGTCCGTGAACAATTTCTGGGCACATCTTATCAAGGACGAGAAGATTACTCCCCCCGAGACATACTACACAAGCCCACTACACCGTTGTCTCGACACAGCCAGACTTTCTTTCTCTGGTCTAGATGTCCCACGCAAAAGTCCCTTCATCCCAACTATCAAGGAACTTCTCCGCGAAGGCATTAGTGCGCACACTTGTGATCGTCGAAGCACCAAATCATATATTCACCAGAACTTCCCATCCTTCAAATTTGAAAAACACTTCGCCGAGAAAGATCCATACTGGACAGAACTACACGCTGAGCCTCAGACCAACCAAGACATTCGTTCCAAGCAGGTACTCGACGATATCCTTGTGAATGATAGTAGCACATACATCTCGATTACTTCCCACTCTGGCGAAATAGGTAGCCTACTACGAGGTAAGTTGCGATGCCATTAAGTTTCAACATTGTTGTACGAAAACGCTAATGTTTTGTCGTAGTACTTGGACACCGTGTCTTCAAACTAAACACCGGTGCATCAATTCCTGTACTTGTCAAAGCAACGACCCTCAACGGTAATGGCACAACAACCGTACCTCTGCCATACAGCACTCAGCCTACATGCACACCTTCGCCGACGATTCGTGATTCTAGCTGTAATGACTGCTCATGTTGTTTGTAAATCAAAGAACAAGTCAGGCTCTATAATAGTTAAAGTGCTAAATAAGTTTCAATATGAACACTGAGTCTATTTGCAGGCCTCCCAGAATAGCATATTAAGCTTCTGGTTTGCTGTAACGCTTTGGAAAGTGAATCGAGCTGATCCACTTGAAATATGCCGTTCTCGATTGTACAACTAATCCAACAAGCTAATTGTCGCGACCAAAATACCGATCGACCGATAGCTCAGTGCGCGGCTCGTGACTATATACCTGCTGCGACACTAATTAATATGCCCTGTCAGTTCTAGTGGTTCTTTGAGTCGCATGGTACCGCGTCTCATCTGTTTAGTGACCTCGCGGTCGGTCTTGCAGTTTGCCTCTTGATCCTCTCCCTCTCAAGTTCCTTGACAGGCTTTACAGGAATTCTGGCCAGGACCGGCCGTTTCGCAACGCCCTTCTCCTTTTCCATACTACTTCTCTCCGCAACCGTCTGTTCCTTAATCCTGTTCGCCACCTCCTCCCATACACCCGGCACACCCGTCTTCATCGTGTACATACGCCCCTCCTTGACGTAGAACTTGAACCTTGGCTCATTTACCACCTCATACATTCTTTGAAATATGCCCTTCTCGCGCTGCCTCTTGACCCACTCCTCGCTCTTCGGTAACTCGATATTGGCCAATCGGAACTTCATTGGAGGTAGGGCGCGAAGCTCGTGCAAGAACGCGGTGGTGCGCTTTCGGAAGGGGAAAATGCGCAGGGTTACGAACTCAAGTTTGGTGTTGGCGGTACCTTTTGTGTCGGCGGTGAGCGTGCGAGCAAAGTTCATCAGGTTGCGCCTGCTCCGTCGCGCGTTCTCGGGGATTTGGAGAAACACTTGATGAGCGAAGGGGGCGGTGACGTAGGCCATTGTAAGCGTGGGAATGGTGCCGAGAACGCCAACTGAAGGATGTTAGTCAAGCGTTTTAGAAAGAAAATAAGTATGGGAGTAGTAGTTTTGATCAAGACTAAAGTAAGTCGAAGTAACCATCATTTGGGCAGGAACAGCTACACATGGCCCCGATAACCAATCCCAAGGTGACATGAAAGACGTTGAGATTTCTGACAGTCCAATTGTCCAAGGATGAAGAGGATCGATAGCACAGCAATGGATGGCAGCACCTAGAAAAAGTGCAGAAGACTGATGATCTAAAGGAAACTTTTCCTACCTAAGATAGCCTGAGATTTCCGAAGATTTGGATCTGGTTGGTTCTCGTTGTACCATAGGAGAGGTACACCAAAGACGAGCGTGGTCCCAAACTGCAACAAGGCCATGGCTTTCCAGAAAGAAACCCAAGTTGTACGTGTGTCGCCCGCATCGTAAATCAGCAATTTGGACTTGTACACTAAAGCTTCTATCAGCCATGATCACATTCTTCAAGCAATTCACCCACTCTGCTCTTTTTCGACATTCTTAGGGGCTGTCTTTGACGCCTGTCGAAGTATAGAGGACGTGGAAAACTTCTTTTGGCAACTGCGGCAAACAAATCGGGCAGTTTGCAACTGCAGAGCTGGACGGCCTGCTCTTGACCATGGCGAGGAGCCTTTAAACGCGCCCGTCAATGCGTAACGGCGTGGTTGCATGTTGGTTGACGGACGGTTGTAGATGTTGCAGAGTCAAACGAGGCGTGGTGCTCAAGTGCTCGGCTAACTTGAAGCAGTTACTTGCCGTGAACTTGGCACTCGCGTCTGACACTTCACAGCCATACAAAATGTTATCAACTTTCAATGTCAAAGCCTTAATGCCTGGACGTGTCACAGTTCAAGAGGAATCTATGGCTACTTTGACAAGTGTGTGAGACCTCACCAGCTCCCAAGTGTTACAGTACACACGAGATATCGCATATTTCCATCGCGTTTAGTCACATGCATCTTAGCCTTAACGGGTCTCACAAGATTTTCAAGTACGTTGCTATTGAAGTATGAAGGCGTCGTGCAAGCGGATCACGAATCGCGAATCACGATATCACGTGCATGTGCGTAGCGTGCCAATGCCACGATCCAAGCTATTGAACTGTAAGAGTACAATCGTTTCATCCAACATCTAGTGACAGCAGGCGCTCTAATAATCTCAAGCTCCTGATGTGAACATCGCCACTATGTTGTTCGCATCTGCGTTGCTGCCGCTAGTTTCGCTCATATCACTCGGAACTGCTTACCATGATCTCAGCGACGAAACCCTCAAGAATCTGCCCGGCCCGGGTGACGATTTCGATATCGAGAAGGGCGCCTTATTAGCGCCAATACTGCGCACGCGAGTATCTGGAACCGAGGGAAACTCAGCGGTCCGACAGCATTTCGTGGACTTCTTCGCGACACATCTGCCAGAGTGGGCAATCCAACTTCATAACTCAACATCGACCACGCCAGTGAGCAATGGCAAAGAGATACCTTTTGTAAACATCATTGCGACGCGCGACCCACCTGGAAGTCATGAGGGCGACGTATCCAGGCTGGCATTGGTCGCCCACTACGACAGCAAGTACACGCCCGAGGGATTCATAGGAGCAGTTGATAGCGCTGCGCCCTGCGCCATGATCATGCACATTGCGCGCAGTATCGATGCAGCGCTGACGAAGAAGTGGGCCGACGGGAGCGGAGACGATCTGGACGCAGAGCACAAGGGCGTCCAGATATTGTTGCTGGACGGGGAGGAGGCGTTCCAGAGCTGGACGGATACGGACAGTCTCTACGGCGCACGGTATGGTTGACATCATCATAACTCTACGTAGGCTGCTAACATGTTGTGTGCAGTGCCTTGGCTGGTGACTGGGAAACGACCTTCCATGCCGCCGCATCGACGTACCGTACACCACTCGACTCGATTGAGCTGTTTCTCCTACTCGACCTCCTCGGCTCTGCAAGCCCTCGTGTTCCGTCGTACTTCAAGACCACACATTGGGCATACAAACACATGGCAACCGCCGAGGACCGTCTACGGGCACTAGGTCTGATGAAATCCTCCCCGAATCACGCAGCAAAGATGGCGAAGCGCAAGAACAAAACACCGCGTGCCGAGCCACACTTTCTGCCCGAGGGCGACAAGAGTGATGACAACTTCTTGGGCGGTTACGTGGAAGATGATCACGTTCCCTTCATGGCTCGTGGGGTGGACATTCTACACATTATTCCTTCGCCTTTTCCCAGAGTGTGGCATACGATAAGTGATGATGGGAAACACTTAGACATGAATACGGTCGAGGATTGGACCAAGTTAGTTATGGCATTCACAGCGGAATGGATGGAGTTGGAAGGCTTCTTTGATTTCAGATCGGAAAAACGGCAAGAGAATACCGAGAAATCGGAGTTGTAAGTAGTTTTCTCCAAATTCGATTCTGTGTATTGACATTGTGCAGCGTGATACCTTGATACTCGAAATACAACGAGCCATTAATATTGGCATACAGTAGCATGTGGTGCTTTATCCCATTGTCTTGTCTCGGATCAATGGATCGTTAGAAACCAAAGTCCGTCAAACAAGGGATGTTGCCTCTATGCTAATCTACAAAGACTTGATAGCTGGTGAGTAGTGTGAGCCATAACATGGGACCGAGAGTTGACGGTGGCACGCCTATAAACTAAGTCTTACATCGCTGTTACCAGGTAAAGATACCCCCGCTGTGTGATATTCCCAAGTCTCACTTATCTGGAACAGTCATGTACTCCTACTTATATAATAACAAGCGATAGCCTAGCACAAGGCCTAGAGGCAAGGCGAAAAAGGATCATATCGACATCCACCCCAGCTCGGAGCTACCAAAGCCACGCGGTATGACTGCGCAATCTGGCGTTCGAAGGCGTGGCGGCACTCATAAGGTCAAAGATGGTGACAAGACTGACTCTAAATATGATGAGTGGAACCACACAGAGCTTGTGAGGGAGTGCAAGGCACGCGAGTTGTATATCAAGGATATGAAGAAAGCTCAAATGACAAAGACACTGTTGAGGAGTGACATCGAGAAGGAAAGAATGGCGAGGGAGGTAGTTCGCGAGCGCAAAAGAAGGCAAGAAGAAGCGGAGCAGGCGAAGAAGAAGGCGGAAGATGACAAACATGCAGTCGTTGTAGCAAGGTACAAGAGAAACGAGGAAAAGCAGAGAAAGAGGGAGCGGGGGGAGGATGTTAGTGAGGATGAGATGGACGAAGACGGGATAGAAGTATACCACAGAATCTTGACGGGAATAGACAACGAAGAGGCAGGAACCATAGGCTATCTACTCAGTGACGTGTCCTGGGATAGCACATCTACGGAGTCTACAACCAGATCGGTCAATGAGCCTATCATTCCCGCTTGCAAACTCCGCCTTTTCGAATGGCCATATCACAAGATGCCCACTATAAGTCCCCCTCGAACACTCCGCGCGCCATCTTATACCCTTCGCCAGGAAATAAGCTTTGCTGAATCTCGACCGCGCCATGTTCCGTACGCGCCCCTTAAACTGATGACAACGATGACTTTGGAGAAACTCACACTCCCAGGCCAGACATATCCCCCGGAAATCAATCCAGACTATGCGCCATTGCTCTCGCAGCAAACGAGGGCCGCTGTTCGTAACGGCATCTTGGAAGGTGTTCTGCGTAAGGCTGTTATTGAGAAAGCATCTATTTGGGCAGGACGTACTCATGTACAAGGTTGGAATGCACGTATATTTTTCACCCTTCGCCCGCACCATCGGACGAAGAAGCTAGTGGACGTATATCGGAAATGGTATCGGGAGAACCGCAAGCTACTAAGAGTCAACGCTAGTGTTAATGCGATGAAGACAGACCGTGAGAGGCGGCACGTTCAAAGGCACAAAAATAAAGGGAGAAAAACATTCGAAGTTTATGAAGCAGCTCAATGTCGTCCGACTGCAATATGCTATCTTCCAGCATACTTGGAGTGCGATCCTTTTTTGCAAGGGGCCGATGAGTCGGATCAGAAGCGCACATTGGAAAATTTGTTTTATATCCGCTTCCCCGGCTGCGATGTTCCGCATTACTACTTCTGGGCAGATGAGGGAGGCTGGCCGGATCCCACAATTCGAAATCCTGCATGGGACCCTACAAGATTGCTACATGAAGATACACAGGTAGAGGCATCTGAGTACCTGGCTCTTCAACGACTGAAAGCCCAGGAGCCACAGATCTTTCAGAAACGACCTGTGACTCGCAAGACCTTAGCTAGAGTCAAAAAGCAAGACATAGTGAGCCCTATCCTCACAAACACCTGTTTACTGCCGTTCGAGACAATCGTGATAGGGATCGAACATGAACTTTACGCCAACGGTCTCCAGGTTACAATCTTCAAGTACAGGCAACGCTGGCTCGCAAGTGGCAAGTTTCAGGCGTGGAAAAGCTTTGGTCGGGCGCTGCCAACCCTGTATCCCAGCGGCAGAATGCCAGATGCGCCACCTGTACATTCTATCTCTACAATGAGCATCGCGCAGAAGATCGCAATCTCGGAGGCTCTGCAAGGAGATGGGCAGTCAAATCCTATCAGAGGTGATGAACCATGGACAAGAAACGACGACGAATTGTGGGACGTAATCGAGATAGAGGAGGATGTTGAAGATAGCGACGTAGACGAGGTTGTTTCTCGAGCCGGGGACCGTGTAGTGCAGGATGGTGTGTTCTGCAAACCGATCGTCATGCTTGAGGACGGTGATATGCAAGAGCAGCATGAGTGTGTTGTGGAGACCAGTGAGAAGGAACATAATGCTTTGTGTCGTAGGTCGAGTCTACCACTCCACAACTGGGCCAAACAACTCGTTTCGTCGTCTGTCGCCACACAGATCGAGGATGCAGAGAGGGCGAAGTGGGAGCAACGCTTTCTTAAACACATTGAACGAGAGACAAGTCTCGCATGTCCAATTGGTCGCTTTAAACGACACTCGACAAATCCAGAGGTAATCATATCTACCCCTTGCGGGATTATGGATAGCTAATGCATTAGCAGGCCGTAGCAAACCACACGCAACCCCGCAGCAAAGAAGACCATCTTCTCTATCAACACCATCAGGAATTGATAGACTCTGGAGAAGACGCAGACATCGATTCCGACGGCCCCAACTCGGAACGTACGAAAACAACCTCCCATTCTCGCCAACGCTCTACACAGGCATGTACTGCCCTTATTCCTCCAATGTCCCATGTTAAATGGGCTGCAAGAAAGCGAAGGTTGAGCGGTGCAGAGAGTGTAGGAGTTGACAAGGGGAAGAAACGATGGAAGAGCGACAAGATCAGTGGAGAAGGTTAGTAGGTTGGAGTACGATGTGATTAATATCACAAGACAGCTTGGTAATTGTAAAGGGAGAACAAGTCACAAACTTCCTAAAGAGGCATCACTTGTTAAGTCAGTTTGATGACGCACACGCACTACATTACTATAACAGTCCCGGATCCTCCAAGCAAGAACAAACATCAGCAGAGGACAGTACCACATATGACTTCAACAACCACATGCTAGGCAGCCCTATCTACCAACAAAAACAAGAAGAGCCCAGAAAGCCCAGAACCCAGAAGCAGAAACAACTCAGAAGCAAAAAAAAGACCACAGAAACAAGAAGCAGAAATACCACAGAAGCAGCCAGATCCCTAGGACCACAGAACCCAAAAGCAGAAAAGAAATTCGCAAACCCAGACACCTCTCTCCCCCCATTAGGGCCAATACTCAGCTGCATAGCGCTGGAGGGGAGGTAATCCGCGCTCCCACTTCCGATACCTCTTGGGCTCGCAAGTCTCGCATGGCATCATGTGGGCGGAGGCATAGAGGCAGCACTCGGGTTTATTCTCGATGCTCCGGAAGCAAGGATAGCAGAAAGAACAGCAGGAACCCATGTTGATGATGGGGATGGAGGCTGGAGGAGATGGTGGTAATGGTAGTAGTAGTGGTTGTGGTTGTAGTTGTGGTTGTAGTGGTGGTTGTGGTTGTGGTTGTGATTGTGGAGGTAGTTTTGGTTGTGGTTGTGGAGGTAGTTTTGGTAGTAGCTGCAGAGTACTTTGATGTTACTCGAAAGTTAGAATTGGAAGAGGAGATAAGCTGGTAGTTAGATATACTCAGTATGTTTGAATGATTATGAAAACGAAGAACGAAGTTCTTATATATATTTCTAACAACATGATGTTTGGTTCGGCTTACTCGTGGCGGACCGCAACCAAAGTCTGGTTTTTTTTTCATTGACCTATGGAGTGACGAAGAATGGGATGACCAGATCAAGGGAAAGTGTCCCAATAGTTCGCTCAAGCACCACCGACCACTTGCATGCCTTCCGGGGTTTTGCCGACCCAGACGACCTTCATCCAGAGTTGTGCCGATTCGGATTGCCTCTATGATGATCGGCCTAGAGCCGTGTTAACCACGGCACAGTCTCCCAGATTTTTTTCGCTGCACAACATCGTGAGGATTTTCTAGGACGAGACTGATCGTACACCGTTTTTCCTTGCCCTGAACTGCGCATGTGATCTTGGACTCATGATGTTTTGAAACCAGACATCATGTTAAGAAATTAATGACAAGGTGAAAATTGAATACTAGCTTAGAAACAGACAACAATGATGACTTGGTCAGGAGCCATTGCGGCCTGGGGTATCATTTCAATCATAAGTCTAACACTACTTTTTATCTGTTCGTTGCCTCTTCTTCGCCTTGGACAAGGCCTGTGATATTGCAGCGACTTCCTGCTCCAACTCCTCATCATCTTCGCTAGCGTCGTCGTCGGCCCCAGGGATATCCAACAGTGTGCCTCCCTCACTCTCATCTCCATCCTCGGACACGTCGTCTTCATCATCGTCATCATCTTCACCATCGTCCAGCTGCAGGCTATTGTCATCACCGCTAAAGCCCGCAAACTCGGCTTCATCAGCTTTGGTGGCGTCATCGTCGGGTACATCAGTTGTGGCAGCGACACTCTCAGCAACATCGCTCTCACCGCCCCGCTTCCGTTTCTTGCTCATCTCACCGAGTCGTCCCTCGCGAGCCTCACCGCGTACAGGGCCAGCCTCCTGGCCTTCCAACAGCGGTGGGGGTGTGAACCACGGAATCTTTCCTCGTATCCTGGAACAAATCGTCAGCGAATGTTGGCATCGACCAAGTATATAGACGTACCAGTCGTTCAACACCATCTTGGCGGCGCCATCTATATCAGCTTCCCCACCCTTTAGTAAGCGACCGCTCTTCCTGCAGAGAATTTCGAGAAATGTGACGGCATCATTGTCGTAGTCTTTGATGTCATACGTCCGTTGCAGGTATTTGGGCTGGACCCGCCTGAGCACAGCATCAATGTATTGGGCAGGGTACTCGACGTTCTCTACGCGCACGCTACCTCTCAGCAGCAACTCTTCATCAGTATCGCTCTGGTTTGGTGGGACAATACCCGGGCAGTCGATCATGTAAATCCTCTTCATTAGGGTGATGTATTGCCAGACTTTTGTCTCTCCAGCGATTGGCGCGACAGTGCAGACCTTCTTCTTTCGAAGTGTGTTGATGATGGAGGATTTACCGGTGTTGGGGTAGCCAACCATGCCGACGGAGATTTGCTTACGATCGCTGTGGAGGGACGAAAATTGGCGGAGAAGGGCGATGAGCGAACCTTTGCCGAAGCTGTTGTTGATGTTGGCGTGGAAAGCTAGAGATGGTTAGAAGTGTGTTGGACAGTCAGGTGTATCGAGTTGCATACCTAGAGTTGGAAACTCTTTGCTCAAACTTCTCACCCAAGCAGCCTGTCAAGGGTTAGTCAAGTGTTTTGATAGTTGAAAAATACGACACAAGATAACGAGATGTGTGAAACATTACTAAGAGAACCGCCACGATGCTGCTGTGCAGAGACGGCCCTCAACTCAAACAAATCACTAAGGACTCTGGTGACAGCAACCAAAACGGAAGCCAGTCTACCCGCAGCCAAGACGGCGTTGGGCGAGCGAGACGCTGTTGCTCTTCCCAACTTGTAACAGAACAATTTCATAGAGTATATCGCGAGGATAAGAAAAAGTCCTTGACTTAAGGAGGGGTCGATGGCGGCGAGGGAGAGAGTGGTGGGGGGAGGGAAGTGGGGGCACAATCGACTTACGGCTACTCTGGACGGGACCAGATCGACCTTGTTCAGGACGAAGACGAGATGCTTGTGCGGGGCTTCGGTGCGGATGTACTTTTCCACGCTGCGACAGCGGGTGCCGATGGGGTCGCGGGCATCGAGGACATGCAGGATGACATCGCTCGAGTCGATGACCTTGTACAGCTCGTTCCAGATGCGCTTGCTCGTGCCCTTCATAAAGATGGATTCTCTTGCCGTGGTGAGCTCGCCATTTGGGTTGTTGTCGACGGCCTCGGCGTCACCCGAGGTGCCCGACAGCAGCTTGGCCTGCTCCAGACGCTCGACGTATGTCTCGTGCATGGTGCCGGTGCGGCCCGCCAGGTCCTCGATGGAGCTGAAGTCGAGCTTGGGCCGCTTGCGCTGGGCCTTGGGGCCGAACGTGTCAGAGAAGGGTTGCGAGTCGACGGCAATCTTGGCGGCATGCTCCTTGAGGCCGTTGATGTTGCCCTTTTCCTCGATGAGCGACATGGGCAGCTTGTTGCGCTTCATCAGGTACGTCGTCGGGTCCGAGGCCTGGGCCTGGACGGCGGAGCGGAACGACTCGAGGGCATCGTGCGAGATGACGCGCGTGTTGTTGAACCACTTGCGGTTGGGCTCGACGCGGGCAATGGGCGCCTCGCGGGTCTGGTACGAGGCGGCCTTGGTCACGTCGCCCTTTGCGTTGCGCTGGGCCTTGCCGTCGGTGAGGCGCTTGAGGACCTTGACCTTTTTGGCCGAGCTGTGGGGGTGTTAGGCATGCGTGTGGTAGGCGTGTTGTCTGTTAGACACGAGAGGGAGAGTGTGTAGGCAGGGAAGGAACCAGTCTACAAGTGAGGAAGGAACCAGTCTGCAAGTGAGGAAGGAGTGAGGCGTGGTGGTGCGATGAAGAGCGTGCAGACGTACCGGTAGAAGTTCTCGCCCTTGACCTTGACGTTGCCCAGGCCGTCGCCCGTCTTGCCCTGGCGCTCCTTGCGGCTGGCCTCTTTCTTCTGGGTGCCCATTGTGCTGAGGCGGAGTGGTTGCGGCGGAGTGGTTGCGACGGGGTGTCGGCTGGTGTGAGGAGCGCGAACTTTTTTTCTCGAGCGCAGCGGCCGAGCTAGTCGTCTTGGCACGATTGTGCGCGACACCACCACCAGCCAGCACGGCCAGCACTCGCGAGCACCACACACACACAGCACCATGCCGCCCCGGTTGCCCGCCGTCCACGTCCGCGTCCCTGTCGGCGTCGGCTGTGTCTGCAGCCGCGCCTTCTCGTCGACGCCCGCCGCCCGCGCCCTCGGGCCCCAGTCGCCAAACTACATCGACGTGCCCAAGCCGCTGCAGCCCACGTTCCCCCTCGCGCCCCGCGTCAAGGGCCACCTGCCCGTCCCGCGCGACGTCTTCAAGACGCGCAACCCGCTGCCCAAGCACTCGCCCGCCTTCCTCGACAAGACGGCCCGCAGCCCCAAGGCCCTGAAGACGCCGGGCCCCCACAGCCGCGATGCCGACTACCGCCTCTACAAGCAGCGCCTGGCCGACGCCCGCAGACAGGCCCTGCAGGCGGGTGTCGACGAGCTGCACGAGCGCAAGCGGACCACCGACGCCCACTACCTGGCCAAGATCCAGGCCTCGGGCGCACATCGCCGCGAGCTCGCCACGGCCCCGCCGCGCCCCGTCGACGTCCTGACGGCCACGTCCCTGTCCAAGGGCGTCCGCGACTTCCTCGCCGACGCCCTGCCCGCCTCGTCGCGCACCGTCAACACCCCCAAGCGCCGCGAGGCCTACCAGCGTCGTGTCGCCCGCGTCCAGAAGGTGCGCACCTCGCGCCTGCACGACCTGTACATCAACGCCCGCGAGTTCATCGTCGACGAGCAGCAGCTGGACGACGCCATCGAGAAGGTCTTTGGTACCGACGACGCCCCCATCGGCTGGGACGTCAAGGGCAACATGGGCCCCAGGACAGAGGGCAAGGAGGGCCTGAGTCCGTGGCACGGGCCCATGCCAGAGGGCGTTGGCGAGATGCTGCAGAAGCTCAAGGGCGGGGAGGGTGTTGGCCTGGCCAAGGAGAGAGTCAAGCGCGTCGCCGAGGAGCTTACTGGCGGCAAGATGTAGTATGCAGATTAAAAGAGAAAAGACATCCTTCGACTGGCAACACGCTCTCGTCTTGTTGCTACTTCACGCATGGCTCTGTCCGCCATGTCGTCTTCTATATCTTGAATGCCGTGCGCTCAAAGTTGCCCCTGCCGGATGTGCCGACTAGGACGCTATACTCACCCTCCTCGCGAACCAACTTGTTCTTGGCCTTGTTGCAAAATCCTGTCGCGTGATGGAGATCCAACTGCAGTGCTACTTGTCTGGTCTCGCCCCTTTTTACTCTCTTTGCTTAACCCCTCTTACTGCTTTGGCAGGACATTTGACGCTTAGTGACTCCCGAAAGATGTACACTTGGACCGTCTTTACCATTACCTGCTTCATCCCACTCGCCAACTCGACCGCCTCTGCAGGTGCATCATCGACATTCAGGCGGCGGCAAACCTCAGGTCGGATATCCCCAAATACGAACTTCTGCGAACTTTTTTTGAGCGCTATCGCACTACGAAAGCTGTTCCGTCGACATGGAATTTGGTTGTCAATGTACCACTCTCATAAATCCTTGTCGCGATAGTTGAAAAGTCTGCACGAGTTCATTAGCTCGTACTGATGCACTTGCTTCCGCGTAGTACTCGTTTCTGAAACATATGCCTAGATTTGCATGTCATTGCCCGCTTCCTTACTGTACCTTCGCATCTAAGCACTCAACAATGGCAGTTTCGATGAGTGTAGGTTGTTGGGAAGAAGGATACCTTGGTTGCATTCTGTTCACTCATTTTGTTAAAAGATTGACTGCAATACGATGGAGAGAGGGACTTTACGTTCTTGGTACATATAAGTACAAAATTGAGTCTGGTAACGATAACCATTGAGTTTGGTTTGAGCAGGAGCAAGATAGCTTTAGCTTTCTTCCGTACTATATAGTATCATTCGTCGCCCTGTGCAGCAGAGGGCGGTGTCCAAGTCAACCCATTACCTCTATGGTGTCCACAGTCCCCAAGAAAGGTACTTTCTTGACTGGGACTAAAAACGTTCACACTAGGTAGTGAATATCCTATAATGGAAGTTCGTCAGCGGTAACAGCGTAGGCAGGTAATTTTTTGACTCATGGCCGAGATCAGCAGCCTTTGGATCCACGCAGGATTTGGCAAAGCCACAATCGATATTGAAAATAGGATTCTGATAGGAAATAGAAAGCTTTTTATTAAATAGAGCAGTAGGAATATTTCAAGAACTACTTGAATAACAGAAATACAGACAAAGCTAAACGACTGAAATATTAATTAATAAAATACGTTTAAAGAACGATTAAGATAATAACTATAAGAAAATTAAAATATAACTATGTTAATAATTCAAAGAAGTTTCTTAAGATTTTACCTTAATATAAGATATCTAAACCTTAGAGGGTAGAGATTAATATATTATATTCTTATTATGTTTTAGTTATATACACATATTAATTACTTAATAGTGTTTTTCAATTATACTAGCTACAGAAGCTAAAGTTTAGTATAGTTATTAGTTATTAACTTTCTACTTTTTAATACTATTACTATTACTATTAATATTACTACTACCTTAACAATAGCTAGCTATATACAAATTCTATATATATTATTTCTATAGTAAAATCTTTTACCTTCTAGATTACTCTTATAGCTAATTTTTTTTAGGTAGTATACTAAGAATCTATAAAGGCCTACTTTATGTTTTTCTTATTTAAAGTAAAAGTAGTATGTATATACTAATTAGTAGTAATTTTAATAATTTCAGAGAAGATTAGTATAGAAGAAAACTTAATTAGTTCCAAAAACCTATATAAATTCTAAAAAAAGATACTAATACTTTATATTATTATTATATTTTAGTTATAGATATATCTAAATTACTAAATAGCTTCTACTACTTATACTATCTACAGAAGCTAAAGTTAAACCTAGCTATAGGTTAGTAACTTACTACTTTTTAATAATATTACTATTACTATTACTAGTACTAGTACTATTACTATTACTATTACTATTACTATTACTATTACTATTACTATTACTATTACTATTACGATTACTATTACCTTTACTTTCTATTACTATTACTATTACTATTACTATTACTATTACTATTACTAATAATATTACTTTTATTACTATTATAAAATTATCTAGCCTTATCTTTATTCTATATTAATTATAGAGTTCTATAGTAAAGTCTTATACTTTCTAAATTACTTTTATAAATCTTTGTTTTTAGGTAGTATACTTAAGATCTATAAAATCTTACTTAAAGTAGCTTTTATTTAAGGTTATAGTAGTATTATTATAGTACTTAGTAGTAAGCTTAGTAAGTTATAAATTAAAGTTTTATAGAAAGCTTTATTAGTTAAATAAATTTATATAAAAAGAAACTAGATATTAACTCTATAAAGTTCTACTTTAACTCTTTTATTAAACTTATAGTACTATTAGAAATTTTTATTTTTTAAGTCTAAAGAATGACTATTATAGTAAGTAAAACTTTCTATTCTTTCTACTATCTTACTAGGTCTTTAGAAATTTTATTAAAGATATCTAAATTATTATACTAGAGAAATTTAAAGTAGTATACTAGTTCTAGAAATTACTTACTTTAACTCTTTATATATTAGCTTACTATAAAACGTAGCGTAGAAGTTTCTACGCTATACTAATATAGTTATATTTTTAATTTACGATATATGTAGTTATAAAGAAAGATAAAATAGATAGATAAAGATTTTTAAAGTATAAAACATTTATCTTTACTAGCTTTTCTATCTTAAGTATTATTATATATACCTTTACTAAAGTTACCTTACTTATATTCTAAAAGTTACTAGTTTATTAGTAAAAGTTTTTATAAATAAGCTATAGTTAATAATCTAAGAAAGGATTTATAATTTAACTAAGCTTTAACTAATAGCTATCTAGGCTCTTAAATATACGTTTATACTAATATATTAAGTAAAATATAACTAAGAGATAGATAATTTACTAATTAATACTATTATTTTCTACTTTTACTTATATCTACTATATTATTTTAGGTTTATAGCGTATTTATGCTTCTAGTATAAGTAGATAGACGCAACATAGTAAGAATCTAATATAGTAACTTAGTATAGAAGCTATTACTTAGCTCCTTTTTATATAGTAAATATTAGTTAAAGTATATAGTAATAGTAATAGAGAGCTAATCAAAATACTATTTCTTTAATAACTAGCTACTTAATATACTAGTGTAGACGTATATTTAAGAGCCTAGGCAGCTATTAGTTAAAGTTTAGTTTAGTTATAAACCCTAGATTATATTATAAACTATAGCTAGGTTATAAAAACTCTTTAATTAACTAGTAATTCTAAATATATAACTAAGGCAGCTTTAGAGAAGGTATAAGTAATAATAGTTTATATAGATAAGCTAGTATATAAATATCCTATATACTTTAAGAGTTAAGATCTTTATCTATCTATCTATCTATCTTATTTATCTTATCTTTCTTTATAACTAAGATTATACCTAACTAATAATACAATTTTATTAGCGTAGCCTAGAAGTTTCTACGCTACGTCTTATAGTAAACTAATAATTAAAGAATTAAAGTAAGTAATTACTAGTACTAGTACAGTACTCTAGATATCTCTAGCAAGATCTTTAAAGACCTAGTTAGGTAGTAAAAGGAAATAAAGAAAATTACTTAGTATAATAGTAATATATTCTACTTAAGTAATCTAGATATTAAGTAGCGTTTTATACTTAATAAAAGGCTTAGAGTAAAGCTTTATAAAGTTAAAGTTTAGCTCCTCTTTATATAAGTCTATAAAGCTAATAGGGCTTTCTTTAATACCTAGCTTTTCTAACTTAATAGCCTTACTACTAAGTAGCATAACAACGCTATTTTAACTAAGAATAAGAGGTATTTTAAGTAAGCTTTTATAGACTTTAGGTATACTACCTAGAAAAGGAGACTTATAGAAGTAATTTAAAAGGTATAAAACCTTACTATAGAACTATAAGATTAATATAGAATAAGAATAAAGCTAGCTAATAGGTAGTAGTAAAGGCAATAGCAATAGTAATAGTAATAGGAAGTAGATAGTTATAACTAGGTTAAACTTTAGCTACTGTAGTTAGTGTAAATATATAATAAGAACTAATAAGCAAATAAAACGTATACGCAACTAAAATACAATAGTAATATAATATATTAATCTCTGTCCTCTAGAGATATCTACTATATATAAAGTAGCTAGGTATTAGCCTTTATACTAAGTTACTTAACTATAGTCTTACTATATAGCCTTAATCTACTTATATAATAAGTAAAAATCTACTATAACTTTAAGGTAAAAAACCTTTATAAACAGAAGCTAGACTTTAACTTTATAAGGCTATACTTAAACTTTTTTAAATAGCATAAAGTACTATATAAAATATTTCCTTACTAAGTAGAATAAATAATAATTTTAATAAGGAAAAGTATTCTTTCTTTTTACTACTTAGCTAGATCTTTAGAAATCTTACTTAAATTAAATACAAAACTTTACTTACGCTAGTACACAGGCTTAGAGTGCCTAATAACAGGTTAGAGTTTAGTAAGAGTTATATAGACTCTAGGTTAGAGTTAGGTTAAAGTAGTCTAAGCTTAGAGTTATAGCTAAGTAGAGGTAGTTAAAGCTTTAAGTTAAAGTTAAGTAAAAGTAGTCAAAGCTTAAAGTTAAAGTTAGGTAAAAGTAGTTAAAGCTATAGTTAAGGTTAGGTAAAAGGTACTTATATAGGTTATATATAAAAAAATCTAAATATATTATAAGAGTATATATTTATACTAGAATAAAAATATAAGTTAGTTTTATATAGAGAGTATAAGAATATTATTTAGGCTATTAAATTATAGCTATTAATTATAGTAATATATAAAGCAGATATACTTTTATACTAAATATCTTAGGAGGCTCTTTATATCCTTTTTCTACTTAATATTCTTTTTTATAATAATAACTTTATATAGGTTATTTATCTACTCTACTAAAACTAAATAATTAAATAGATTATTAGTCTTATTATATAAAGCTTTATCTATACCTATATCTCTGTTTAAAAGGTTTATTAGCTAGTCTACCTCTTAAGAAATTAAATATTTATAAATTATAATTTACTAAATTATTTAATTAGATAAGTAATACCGTTTGTTACTAATTATATTTTTAGTAATATTAAAAATATTTTTAATACTAACTTAGGTAATTAGTATTATTAGTATCCTCTTTATAATCTTAGCTGGTTAAGAATATATACCTTTATTAGCCTTTTACTACTTTGAAATATTTATAGAGCTATTACTTATTATATATATAGTATTAAGGTAGGTTTTCCGTTTTTGAATAGTTTAGTTATTAGAATTATTAGCTTTTTAAGTTTTTAAAAATTTAACTTAAAGTAGAAAAGCTACTAAATTATAATAAATAAAGGGTAAAAAGCTTTTAAAACTATCTATAACTTTATTATTTTTATAAGTAAAAGGTTAAGCTTAGTATATATTTACTTTACTTTTTTTAGTTTTAATTATAAAAGTATTTTAGGAATTATATATAATATCTATATTTATTCTAAGAATCCTATAATTTATTCTATATATATAGTTAGTATATAGCTTTAATAAGTAACTATAATCCCTAGAGAATAGGAATTAATATATTACATTACTATTATATTTAAGTTATATACGCGTTTTAAATAATTATTAGG